CTTCAGACGTCTAACGATGTGACACGGTCAAACCTAATTGCTATTCACATGTCCCAGGACAGATACAATTCTCGTTTTAAAGTTTGTAGTTTCTTTCATACATTTAAGAAAAAGGAGATTCCAAGAAAAAATATATTCAGACATTAACTATAACACCAACCAAATTCATAATCTATTAAATAATCACCCACAATACCGTAACATAAGAACAACAACAACAACAACAACAACAACAACAACAACAACAACAATAATAATAATAATAATAATAATAATAATAATAATAATAATTACTTTGAGATCATAAGTGGAATAACATGTAAGATTTCCAAGATGGGGAGACAAGTCCGTTTGTCATGTGAATTTACAGTATGTTAAATATGACAGCAGTAGCTGTTGACTTATCTATCCCTGTTACGCACACACAGAGTATACTAAAGTGTACCTGAACCTTCAAGGCTCATCAGTTTGATGCTCATCTTGGTTTCCATGGCGTCAATTGAAAGTATGTGAACCCTCCTGCTGGTACCATTTGTAAAAGCTGGCACACCAGAGAAGTTGGGCTATCCTTGCCCATGGTCCACTTGACCAGCAGTGTTCATAGCTGAGACCTATTCCCAAACTCTGTAAACATTCTACAATATGAAAATATTTCCCAAATGACTGTAAACACTGTGGTAAAACAAGAATTAGAGGAAAATCTCATTAGACCCATAAAACAGACAATGATGGCCTTATATATAAAAAAAGGTTTTTTCCTTCTCTGTCGTTCCAAAGCAAACAAGTGCAGTTGCCACCCACTAATTTACGAACTTGAGGTTAATTTTAACTTTTGCACATTGCATTAATGAGACAATTCCTTTGCAATCTGTGCTTGTATAAAGGAGAACTGCTTACCCAAAGCTTACTCACTTCAGCAAGTCGGAACAGCTCAGCTTTGACTGGAAAACTTAACATTCTGTTCCAAAAGACAAAAATATTCCCACTAGACCATACAGTTTATCCTAGTCAATAAAGTCTCAATCCAGGAATTAGTTCCGTGTTCCTAAAATGTAATTTGTAAAAACAAATCTCATAATTTAGTAAATTATATTTTTAGTGTTTTTGAGTTGCAATGATTAATAATAAGATTCTTTCAGATGTGCAAATTACTTTCCAATGAACTACAACTTCTATAGCTCTGAAAATCGTAGAGCATTTACTAAGCCTATGAGTCAGTGGTTGTGGAACTTGTTACTTCACGTCTCATCATTTTTTCCTGCCATGTGGCATGCCAACACATAATATTTTAAAGGCATCTAATATCCTTAAAAGTTAGAGGTGGAACTAAAGTCATCAGTGTCTGATCTGCAAATGAAGAGATAGAGGTTCATCCGACTCTTAAAATTAGAGTGTAAAACACACAATAGAGCCAAAACATACTTATTACAGTTAAAAAGTAACAGTATATCTAATTCAGAACAGAAAACAAGTACTCCTGTACATTCATTCATGATCAAGAAATATGCTTATTTCCTGAAAGGGTCTTGGCAAACCAGTACCTACCCTGATGGGAGACACTGTGGCCATGTCCCTGCCAGTCCACTGCAGAACAGTAATTCAAACTGGTTGAAAGCTCTGACTGTCAAAATGTATTTTTAATTTCATCCATCTTCTTACTACTTTATCCAATACAGGGTTGCGGAGAAGCCACACACACTCTTACTAGGGCCAGTTCTCCAAGAAGCCATTTCACCTTCCAGTATGTTTTTGGACTGTGGAAGGAAATAAGGGGAAAACATACAAACTTCACACAGATAGTGTAGCGGAGCTAGTTTGGACACAGTGACGTCATCGCCCTCCCTGCGCGTAGCAGGGACCTCAGCTGCCTGAGCTAGGGGAGGTCTCCTTTAGCTCATTGTTGCGGTATGCTGGAGATCCCGGTCCAGGTGTTGAGGGACGAAATGGGCGGCGGAGAGCACGAGCCCGCGCGAACCACGACGGTTACAATAGCACCCCATGTGCATAACTAAACCCAGGGTTCCAGCTGCTAAATTATTTTAGCATACATAATTTAGGGTAGTAACTGTTGTTAGTAACATCTTTACAACAAACCTTCAGATTTTTGACTGCAATGATCCAGTAAATTCTATTTCCAATTTGAACATTTATGTTTGATGAAATATTTTCATAATTGTACATGAATAGACCTCTCTTAGTTTTAACTGTATAGATGTGCTATTATGGATGTAAATGTGCCTTTTCTTTGTATTAAACAAGGCATAATTGTTAAAATTTTACACATTTTAACAAGTTCAGAATGGGAATTCCCCATAAAAGAGGCTAGACAAAACTGTGAAAAAGCCTTTTGTGAATACCCAATATTATATCACAGTATGCGAAAACAAAATGCAAGGCAAAATATAAAGTTTAATATAGCCAACAAATATCGCCAGCAGCCATATCACCCTGCAACTCACAACTGGCACCCCCCTGAAGCTAAGCAGGTGTGAGCCTGGGTGGTACCTGGCAAGGAGACCTCTTGGGAAAACCTAAGGTTGCTGCAGAAAGAGGAGCCAGTAGGGGAGACTCACCCTGTGGTCTGTGTGGGTCCTAATGCCCCAGTATAGTAATGGGGACACTATACTGTAAAGGGGCACTGTCCTTTGGATTAGATGTAAAACCGAGGTCCTGACTCTCTGTGGCCATAAAAAATCACAGGGTATCTCTTGAAAAGAGTAGGGGTGTTATCCTGGCTAAATTTCCCATTGGCCTTTATCAACGATGGCCTCCTAATAATCCCCATTTTTAAATTGGACTCATCACTTTGTTCTCCTCCCCACTGAGAGCTGGTGTGTGGTGAGCGTTCTGGCGCACTATGAGTGCCTTTACATTTTCTAGGTGGGGCTGCAAACTGGTGGTGGTGGAGGGGAGTCTCCATTACCTGTGAAGCACTTTGAGTGGAGTGTCCAGAAAAGTGCTATATGAGTGTAAGGAATTATTATTATTAAAGTTTGATCAACAGAGATAGACGGTTAATGGTAAATATGTTGGAAGTTTTAAGACTTGGACTTCATACCCTAAGTTAAACATTCCCATTAGTTTAGTTATTGTTCTAAATATGTGGGGTAGTGGTACATTCCTGTTGGACATCACCATGAAAACCAAAATAGTTCGAATAATTAGGGTGTTTCACAAGAGTTCAGGTTAAATACACCTGTCTCTGCGAGGTCCCACAGTTGATTAGTAGTTTCATGAAGACAAAAACACATTCAAAGCAAATCCAGGTTAGGGTTTTTTGAAAAACATCAATCAGGGGAAGGGTATAGGCAATCGCCATCTGCGGTCAAGTAGCTGACAGTATTGATGTAGAGAGCTATAAGATCAACAAGTTTTGGAGGTAACCACAAATTTAACAGAAGCAGCTAGATGACAGCCACTGCTGTCAACAGAGCCAAATGCCACTTTCAGTTTGACATATGTAATCCTAACGCAAGAAATTAAATTCTCTTCTGGTTTGCAACAAATTCAATGTTCTGGTGCAATCAGCTGTTGACATACCTGGCACATAATCAGTCTGCTCTGAGAGGCATGTTTGAAGCAGCTCTGGTTTCATCCTTGTGAGCATTGTGATGCTATAATAAAAAAAAGGTGCCAGCCGTCAGATGAGATGTAAAACTGAGGTCCTGACTCTCTGTGGTCATTACAAATCCCAGGGTGTTTCTCAAAACGAGTAGGGGTGTAACCGCGGTGTCCTAGTCAGATTTCCCTCTGGCTTTTACCAATCACGGCTTCCTAATAATCCCCAAATATGAATTCGCTTCATCACTCTGTTCTCCTCCCAACTGCTAGCTGGTCGTGGAGAGCGTACTGGTGAACTCTGGCTGCCGTCGCTCTTCATCCAGGTTCGGTGAAGCACATTGGTGGTGGTGGAGGAGAGTATTCATTGCCTGTAAAGCTCTTTGAATGGAGTGTCTAGAAAAGCCCTATATAAGTGTCAGGACTTAGTGTCAGGGAATGATTTTTATTATTGCAAAATACCATTTTCTGAAAAGCAGGTATCTGTACCTGCCATCCCCAAGAGATGGCACCACTTACCTAGTGGGAGGCTCTCCCAAATTCTATAACAGTCATTGTAGCTGCCTAGACAGATTCCTGTTGCTCACACTGTTCACACAGATATGCTGCACAAATCTGGCACAACACATCATCGTAGAAGAAGTCTGTTCGCTACTGACATATCTGGTTAAAGAAAGGATTATCAGCATCATTACCGACACAGAATTGACATCAACTGAATATGATTTCCATATTGTACAGTATTAGATAATCACTAGTCTCTGATGAATTCTAACAGTCTGTGAAGATGTAGAACAGGCCATTAAAAAACAAATATGTACTGTAAATGAAGACTGATACTGTATTATCATGGTACTGTTAAAGTCGCATGGATAATCATTTTTGAAATGGTTTGTAACACTGCTAAGGTGTATGTTGAAAGTGATGTGCAAATTGAGGAATTTAGATTGGTAATATCCAAAAATTGTAGCTACCTACAGATGTTAGCCACATATCTGGCCTGCTGATCTGCAGATTGAGAAAAGATGTTAATACCCCTTCAAATTCAGTTTTACTATGCGAGGTAAACTTAAAAATGTTTTTTTGCCCTACATTAATGTCTCATCTAGACTTTCCTAAAAATTCATAATGATGATACACAACAATGTGTGAAATTATGCATTATGTGAATTATCCGTTTGTGTTGACATAGTAACAAAAGACTTTGTGTGTGTGGCAGGAGATATACTGTAAATGTTATTCCACCAGAATCTCTAAAATAAAAAAGAAACATTCCTAAGATTGTTGAAAAGTTATCTTTACACATTTGCCTGTTAAATAATTGAGTTATGAATAACTAAAAAACAAATGCAAAGTGTACTTTCTAATGGACTTAATACATGAAAATGAAAAATATACAAATACCTGCCTCCCTAAAAACATAAAATGGACATAAGACTGTATTTGTTTTCTCCTTTCATTGCAAAAGTAAGAAACATCTTATAAGAAAACGCTTACAAAACATGGGGCTACAGAAAGCAGAAACAACAATATGCTGCATTGCAAAACATCTGCACATTTTTGCAGTTTCAGAGAATACTGTCATGCTGGTTCCACAATTGTAATTTTTTAAACGTTTTTAACATGATTTAGCTGGATTTAGCTCTAATCTGCCTTTTATCACTTCATATCAGTAATTAAACTCTTAGAGGTATACAGTGATAAATATCAAAACAGATACAATACTGTGCAAATTTGTTTCAGGAAAGAACACAATGTAATTAGTCATCCCAGTCATAGGTGGTATGAACACAAAAATAGCCATTAACTTTACTTATATACTGAGAAGCATTCAAAATGCAACAAATGAGCATAGGAACCAATGGCATATGCCACGTTTTTAACGCTTCTCAATATATATCCATATTTCAATATATATATAAGATGCAAAACCTTTTTAACAACCCTTACTTTTCAGGGTACATAATAATAAAGTGTATATGTGTACATACGTTTTCAGCTTCCTTTCTTTTTCGTTGCTCCGTAGTCATGGATATTTAAATTAAATCACTGAACCATAAAGCTAGTTTTTGAACAAAGCTTGGCTCCACTCTTAGCCTAAAGCTCCTGTGTGTCGGACGCGTCTGCATCGTCTTGAGTCTGCTTATAAGCTGAACAGTCTGCAGTTAATAAGTCAGTACTACCCAGTTCCTGGTTGTGTTCAAAGGCTTCTGTATTTTCTGAATCGGTGACCTCTGAATCGGAGCTGGGTATTCCCATGCGCTCAGCACCACCAGTTTCACTTTTTTCTTCCATCTGATCCTTGGCTGTTGACGTGAAACTGCAGATTAGGTTGGATGACCGTCCCGAGAAATCCCCATCGTTCAACTTCAGCACCTCTATGCCTGTAGATAAAGACCACAGTTTGCAACTATAAAGTACTGCACAAAAATAAATACAAAACAAAAACCAAATGTTGCAAAAACGTATGCAACAAACCTGAGCTCTCCTGTCCTTCTTTCTTCTCAGACAAGAAAGTTCTTTGCATCATCAGCTTCTTCGCTGTGTGACACTTGTATTTTAGTTGGGGTTTCTCTTCCGATTCTGTGTCTATAAAATCAGAATGTGAGCGATAGCTTTGCTTTGAAAAGTGGTCACCAATCATTTTCCTGGTTCCAGTGTTTACTGAAACATATACAGATTCAGTATCTGCTGCAAGCCTTAGAGAATGCTTTTCTGCAGACATCTAGTAAAATTCCAACACTATACAAAACACAAAATAAAAAGGTTTTAAGAACTGATGATCTTGCTTTATAATATTGTATGTATTTCATTACAACTTTTACTTGAAGTTTGTGGGAGTATGGAACAAGCTACCCAGCCATGGGTTGACACCTAATACTTTCCTCTCCTTTCTTATGTTCATACATATGGACATACGCACACTAAGATTTTTAGATAAATTTAAAATGTAAAGTGCTAAGTTCGTACTGTCTGGATTCCATACATATCCATTTACTTAAAATAAGCAATTAAAAAACAGAAACTGCATCAGAGTTCGTCTATAAATCCCCAGGAAAGTTAGGCTGCTAACAAATATTTTCCTTTGTTATTGACATACTTAGAAATAAAACGTACCTTGGCCATTTTTTTCTTCAAATATAACACAGGACCCCAAAGCATCTATTACAAATAAATGTATAGGTTAATACATGCAATATGTCACGTCCTTTAGTGTCCATAAATAGAAAACATTGTAAATTAATTAATCAATTATTCCTCTCTCAAAACAGTTAAAATAACATCCTGCTAAAGAAAAAACTAAATTCAGTGTGACAAATACAATCATACTAAATGACAAAATGGTAATTAGATTACAATGTTGTTTTTGTCAACCTTATTTGCACCTGGTGAAGAGCTACAAAATTAAATGGCTAAGGAATAAATACAATGATTACAAGCATGCAGCACAGAGATACTCCAATACATACCAAATAAAAAAAAAAACTTACCTTCATACTTTCCAGCAAACACATATCTTCCCACTTGAATTATAGGCTGCTCACTATCGATTCCCTTAAATTTATAGAAGAAAAAATATTCTATCCATATATAAAAAAGGCACAACTAGACTGACAAACAACACCAACAGTACATTACTGTACAGTATCTCATGTAATATTCAGCCTCCATCCAATGGTTTTGTCGAATTACAAGCTATGTTACACTTGAAATATAAGCTACGTAATTGCAAGATATTTTATTTCTAAGTATGTCAATGTATACATTTATTTTTGGGGAAAAGAAACACAGACAGGTTCACAGGCTCAGGAGATGGTGAATAGGCTCATAGGAATGTTGCCAATGAAGTATTCAATGTTAAATCCCCATGTAACTTCACAGAGAGATCTCAAACTCAATACCTCAAGGGCATAGTGTCTTCTGGGTTTTTTTCCCAGTTACACGGCTGTGAGGTGATTTCTAGGTAACTGTACCTTTAATTAAGTGAATGTCTTGACCAAAGCAGTTAAAATAAACATGGTATTATCCTGCCTCATTACTTTCAACATAAGGTTATCTTATTACATTCATTTACATGTCTAAAAACCCTCAGGTATTGAATAAGTCCTTGAAGAATCAATAATACACTTACCACTATTTTGCAGTTACCCTTGCATTTTGTTAAGAAGTCTGAATTAATAACTCCTGAGAGTTCAACCACAACAAGCTGGTCCTAAATACAAGAGTAGAAAACATTTTGAAAGAGTGTTAAATAATGGGCTGAAAATTAAAATTTGATCTGTAAAAATCTAAACATCAATACACTTTACAAAAAGCAAATTAACATTACCTACCAATAAAAAATACTAGATAAATGATAAATGGCAGACCACTTTAGTGCAATTTAAATTTCCTCACAACTGTCTTTTAGTTTGCACTACGATCGTAACGACTTCTTTAAAAAAATCTAATTGAACTAGATTCAACATTTAGTAAATGTGTTCTAATGAAATAATAAATAAATTCGCACAAACCTCTTCCTCCCAGTCTCCATCCATGACGGCAATATTACTACTTTTCTTTAATCTAAGAGTACCGTGGAAAAAAATTAAACGGGAGACGCCATCTTTGCTCAGTACCAATAGACATAGAAATCAACTTCAGAACAATCGTCAGCGATCGATTTAAACTGAAAATAAAAGGAAATTTAAAGACTCAAGCAAATGAAAACGGATTCATTGATTTCATTGTGTTAAATGAGAATGCTTAATCCCTGAAATAATTCACTTTAAAAGGGTCCGAAAAAATTAACAGCATCTGCAAAAAAGATTAAATATAAATAACTCCCATCTTAAAGTGTCTTTTTTTTACATTTTACCATGTTGTCTGGTGATTTGTTATACTTCTACTGAACCCACTAAAAATGTTTTTTTTTTCAGATTTTTGAGATAATAATCTACTAGATGTTTTCGTCCTTTGCTTATAATGCAATATTTTTGTTGTTTCTGAAATGATTCCTCAAAAAAAGATAAAACAAGGTAAATAATAAAAATTCTTTGCCAACATTAAAACATTTTATTTCTTAATGATTTTATTGTTTTTACTCAAAATACAAATTCCATTCTTGATTTGTTGAGACTACATCATTTTTCTCTTAATAATACAATAATAATTGCTTACACACTTTTCTGGACACTCCACTGAAAGCACTTTACAGATAATGGGGACTCCCCTCCACCACCACTGATGTCCAGCCCCACCTGGATGATGCGATGGCACAGTACACTTAACGACACACCAGCTATCAGTGGGGAGGAGAACAGAATTTTAATGAAGACAATTCATAAATGGGGATTATTAGTCCAAGATTAGAAAAGGCCAATGGGAATTGTGGTCATGATGCTAAAGTAACACCCCTGCCCTTTTCTAGAAACACCCCGGTATTTTTAATGACCACAGAGAGTCAGGACCTCAGTTTTATGTTCATCCTTTTACAATATAGTGTCCCCATCACTATACTGGGGCATTAGGACCCACACAGACTGCAGAGGACTTCTCTACTGGCCCCACAAACACCTCTTCCAGCAGCAAACTTAGCTTTCCCTGGAGGTCTCCCATTAAGGTACTGGCCAGGCTCAAGCATGCTTAGCTCTAGTGGGTTGCCAGTTGTGAGATACAGGGTGATATACAGGAATGCTAATTATACCCTCCTCCCAGGAAAGCAGTGGCTAGCGACACCAATTTTATTTTTGTACCTGACCTCTTAGGCTGTTCCACAGTTCTACCTTAGCAGCAAATGGTCTATTACTGAGCAGTTTCAGAGAACACACTAAACAACATCCTAGAAAGACCTACTGTTGTGTGTGCTGTCTAGCTCCTGAAACACAGTGGAGCCACTAACCAGCTGTGAGCACTGTCCAACTGGTACTAAATGTTAAATTTATATTCCATAATTCATATAACATATAAATTCAATTCAATTAAGTTCAAAATACTTTATTCATCCCCAGGGGGCAATTTAAGCAGCAAGCTTTACAATATACAACCCAAGACAGAAACAAATACAAAAAACATTGCTAAGAAAAAATATACATACATATAACAGCAAACAGACCATAGAAGTGTTTGAAAATAACAGTGTGTAGTATTTGGGAAGGTATTAGTACATGCACATTTGTATGTGGGGGAGGAAGGGCTCTGTCCAATAGACATAATCTTGATAAGACTTCTTTACAGTCATTCACATCAGTTATCATGAAGTGCTTCGAGCGGTTGGTCAAAGCATACATCACCTCCTCACTGCCTGACACCCTAGACTCACTGCAATTTGCATCCCGCCAGAACAGGTCAACAGAAGATGCAATTGCCACTGCCCTCCATACTGCCCTCTTACACCTGGATAAGACTGTGTCACCAGGCATAACTCAAACTCTGGCATCAAGTTTGCGGACAATACAACAGTCATTTGCCTGATCACAGATGGTGAGGAGTCTGCATACAGGGAGGAGGATGAAACGCTGGCAGTATGGTGCCAGGAGAACAACCTCTCTCTGAACATCAGTAAGACTAAGGAGATGATTGTGGACTATAGGAAACATCAGGGTGGAGACCACACACCTATTCACATCAATGGGACTGCAGTGGAGAGGGTCAGCAGCTTTAAGTTCCTGGGAGTTAACATCTCAGAGGATTTAACCTGGACCCACCACACCAACACCGTGGTCAAGACAGCACAGCAGCGCCTGTTCTTTCTCCGCAGGCTAAAGAAGTTCGGCATGCCATCACATATCCAGGCCAACTTCTATAAGTGCACTATTGAGAGCATCCTGACTGGTTGCATCACTGCCTGGTATGGGAGCTGCTCCACACGGGATCGCAAAGTATTGCAGAGGGTGGTAAAGTCAGCGCAGCTTATCACCAGCTGTGAGCTACCAAGCATCCAGGAGATCTACTCAGCTAGATGTCTGAAGAAAGCCAGGTCCATTGTGTACAAAACACATTTGCGTATTAGACATTGCCAGTAGTCAGCAGCTACAGTATATCAACCTGCAGCTCTCAACTGGCTACCCACTGAAGCTAAGCGGGTTGGGTCCAGTCAGTACCTGGAAGGGAGACCTCCTGGAAAGATATAGTTTCTGCTGGAAGAGGTGTTAGTGGGACCAGCAGGGGGCACCCACCCCATGGTCTGTATGGGTCCAAATGCCCCAGTATAGTGGTGGGCACCCACTATCTTTCAGATGAGACATTAAACCGAGGTCCTGAGTCTCACTGGTCATTAAAGATCCCTGGGCATTAATCGATAAGAATAGGGAGTTATCCCGGTGTCTAGGCCAAATTTCCCCCCTCGGCCTTTGCCGTGGCCTCCAAATTGTCCCCATCACGGGGCAAGTGCGATGGACTGGCGCCCGGTCCAGGGTGTACCCCGTCTTGCGCTCGTTGCTTGCTGGGTAGGCTCCAGCTTCCCATAACACCGTATGGTATAAAGTGGTTTGATAATTGACATGACATTACATTCAGGTGGGTAGCTGGCCCTGCTAGTGATCATGATCAAATCCTGGCACAGGCATATAGTAGCCGCTCTCATCACATTGGTTTTTCCCAGTTTTTCGTATGTTCTCATTTCAAAGTAAATCATAAAGATGTCTATTTTGAAGACTTTGGGTGAAAATAATTTTGATGAACTAATTAAGATGGCAAATCCTTGACAAAAATAAATAAGAATGAACCAATATACAAGTGAAACAAGCTTACTTCTATGGCTTTACAGAAGCAGGTATGATAATATTTTACATATGAACAGAAAGATCACAAAAACATGCAAAAAATGGATAGTTAACAGCTAACAAAAACTGTTCCTTCATAAAATGATAAAATGTCTGATTACCCGGTGTCAAGGTGCAGGCAGGCTAAGCTTTTATATCCCACCATCAGCTAGGCTACTTTTTTAAAGACAATATTGCAATTACACATTCACAAAGTTATCAAAAAATGACAATACAACAGCAAAAAAGAATAGTTCAAGACCTTCACAAGCACACATTAAAAAATATTACATTTTGAGATTGTAAATTACTAAACAAGCATAGCTTTATACATTATACAGTAGCTATAATTGCTCTAGCTATAATTAACCTAATTCAACTCATACATACTCATACAATTCAAAGTTAATGATTAAACATTAACATGATTAAAACATTAGATGACTTTTATTCATTTATTTGTTTATGACTGTACTGTACAAAACTTCATCATTTTTTCTTATATGTGTCTTCTTAGTACTAATTTTTACTGTTGAATATGAAACAAAATCTTCTTCCTAGAAAAAACATTTTATTAGCATGGCAGGCATTTTTTATGTAACTACTGACATGAACATTACAGTAACTCCTGGACACAGAAGCCTGTATACATGTACTTTAATCTTAATTATTATTATAATTGTATTATTTTTTTCACAAATTTCAGCTTTTATTCACATTTTATTCTTGCTATCAAAACTAAAGTCTAGCATATTTTTCATTTTCCTCAAGTGAGTGGCACAGAGAATTTAAATATAGCTGAAATGTAAAATACCTTTTTTTAACTGTTCAGCATTTGATGTGTTTCTTAAAGACAAAATGAAGCAAAATAAAATAAATGAAAGGAAAATAAATGTATACATACCTCATTTCCATTGGTTTCTGTTGTGTTCATTTTGCCTTCAAAGTAAATAAATTATTGTAAACAAAAATGAAAAAACTGATCTTGACTGTAAATTAGAGCAGAAATGAAGCGGCGATAATAGTATAATCAGTTGATTCATTAAATTAGAATATAATTATTTTCTCCCTAGGACCAATTCTGAACATCTCAATGCCTTTTTTATAATACATCTGATCAATTGTGCAGTACTTTATACAATAATAATTCCTTACACTTATATAACATTTGTCTGGACACTCCACGCAAAGCGCTTTACTGGTAATGGTGACTCCCTTCCACCACCACCAATGTGCAGCCCCCACCTGGATGATGTGCCAGTACTCTCACCACACACCAGTAATCAGTGGGGAGGAGAACAGAGTGATGAAGACAAGTCATAGATGGGGATTATTAGGAGGCCATGATTAGTAAAGGCCAGGGACAAATTTGGCCAGGACACCAGGGTAACACCTAGTCTTTTTGTGAAACGCCCTGGGATTTTTAATGACCACAGAGAGTCAGGACCATGGTTTTACATCTCATCCAAAGGACAACACCTTCTTACAGCGTAGTGGCCGCATCATTATAATGGGGCATTAGGATGCACACAGACCACAGGGTGAGCGCCCCCTGCTGGCCCCACTAACACCTCTTTCAGCAGCAACCTTGGTTTTCCCAAGAGGTCTCCCATCTAGGTATTGGCCAGGTTTACACCTGCTGAGCTTCAGTGGGTTGCCAGTTATGAGTTGCAGGGCGATATAGCTGCTGGCAAATTGGAACCATTATCTACCAAACACTTTCATTTAGCCTGCCAAGTGGCTCACTCAATAATGGTGTTTTCATGAGCTGAGATCAATGAATACATGTTCAATCCTGGCTCATGTTACTAGTGGATTATGACTGGGATTCCCCAATTGGTGTCACATACTATAGGTGACTTGGGTGGAAGTTGGATGGAAATAGTTGAGCAGAGCTCTCTTGGTTCCCAGTGGCCTAGCAGCCCCTGTTATCTCTCAGGCACTCACAGGCTTGTCCTGGTGTCGATCAGATAAGTAGCTGTGTTGCCTGTGATGTGTTAAAAGACTAGAGGCTTGAAGGCGGGCATATTGGAGCTGTCAGCCTGCACCTCCTCATTCACTACAGTGTGTAGTTGCAGGGTTCCCAACTGCAAGCCAAGAAATGAAAAACACACATATGGCTATTTCACACTGGCTGGTCATAACAAAAAATTCTGTTTTATGTTGACATTCACACACCGAATTTGAGTAGAAATATGCTTTTTACTTTACGGAGTAATTTTATGAAATTAACTTTGTGATTCCTTATGTTTGTTTTTAATGGAAATGCTTCAGATAAGAAAAAAAACATGATGTGTGATTAATTTTTTTCATAAGACAAACTTTGGTTTAAAAATACAAAAGATATTTACAGTATTTCACACATGTGCAGTAAATTCAGACTTTAAAAAGTATGTCAAATACTATTTTCTTTAAGAATATTTTTTCTAAAAAAACTGCTTTAGGGATTTTGTCTTGAAACATTCTATCACATGTTGGTACTGCATGCTCATTGCCTGCCTATTGCCTCCTTGACGCATACTAAGGTAATTATGTATCTGTTGTGGTGTTTATTGCTATAAAAAATGTATCAATTTCCAGCTGCTATTAGGAAGCTGGGGGGGGGGGTAGTAAATTAAAATAAGTGGTTCAGATTTTTTTTTCTAAAGTATGAAAAAACAAACCAGAATTTTTTGTCTCCCTTTAAATAGCAGAAAACATCTAAATAAATACTTAGACGTTACTGTGTATTTCAAACCATGATGTTCAGTTTTTCTTACCATGCCATGATAAACCATCCTTTTGCAGAGCATTCTGACTGAAATGAAATGTAAGGAAAAGCATAAAGTTAATGCTATATGTTCTGAAATACTGTCAAAAACAGAAAGAGGGTGATGATGAAGGGCAACAAACAAACTGATATAATCAAACAGGAAATTGCTGCTGCATATGCATTTACTTTTGCACAGATGCACAGCTGAGCCTGTGTCACGTCACTAGCCTGATGTAACCAGAATTCCCCAAGCAAGAGTGCAGAATTGCCAATGTGGCACCAAGGGTGATGATGGTTTAGTTAACTACAGCTCTCTCTGCTCTAGGACAAACAGAAACTGTGATGTCCCCTGCGCGTTTATGTTAATGTCAGTGAGAGACATGCCACATAACAACATAATGCCCTTGAGGATTCTCAATACTCATTCTCCGTTGGATTCTATATTGTATCAGGTCCCTTCATAGACTTCTCTGTTCGAGAATAAAACTGTTCTTTCAGTCTGGCAGTGTAGGACATGCCCCTTTATCGATACTCTCTGTTTTCTATTTATTAATCAAATCTCAATCAAAACACAAACATTTTCCTGAATGCCTATCATTTATGTTCAATTTGTTTATTGTTTTTTCAGGGAAAAGAAAGAATATTACATGGTACTATATACAATAATGAATAAATGTGAACAATCATCATGAAAGAGTTGGATGAGGAACTTTATATTAGGCTTCTGAAATACAGTATGCTCAGTGTTGTGATCCTTTACTGTTGTTGCTCTAAGAGACCTCTAAGAGATTGGTTAAGCTATCTTTTCTAAATCTGTACTGGCTATTCCCTAGGATGTTATTTCCATGTAGGTGAGCCTCTAGTTTAATTCTTACTATTGTTTCCTTTACCTTACATGTGAAAGAAGTAAGAATTTTTGGTCATTAATTACTTGATTCAGTATTCTCACCTTATAATGAATGGACACTACATTAGCAATTATCCAGTCCATTGATACTACCCCTGTCTTGAGTTGTGTCAATGGCTTTTTAGCCATCTGGATTGTATTCACTCTCCCAGTGACAGCGGCAGGAGCAGGGAGGTGTTTTTCAGAGTTCAAGCTGATTAAAACACACCTGAGGCCTCAGTGGACTCATGATGAGCATCAAACATACAGTGGGTTGACCGTTATTGCATGAAGATGTAATTAATGATTTTGCCTCCTGGAAATCTAGCCAAATCGATTTATAGAATATTTTTTATAAAACATTCCCATATGCTCATCCTTACTGATCTCATCTCTCTTGTTATTGAGTAAACTAATTTCTTAGTTAATTACATATTCATTTCTAGAATTCCTTGGACAAAGGTTTCAATGCAGTTAGTTTAACTTATGATTTGCTATAATTTGTAAATAACAGAGATCCCATCTATCATTATATATTGTTATTAATGCTCCTATTTATTACTTTCAATGTTAAAATAGATGTTATCCTTGTTCTTGATTCTTGTAACCTATTAATTCTGTGTTCTTCAAAGCTGGTTGATAGGTTTTCTAGTTATATAATTCATTTATTTAATTGTTCTAAATAGTAAAATAGTTTGGAGTGGGAGCTGATAATAGTAGTGTATGTGCTAATTACTTCCCCAGCTCAACCATACAATTTGTGTCATGTTTCTTGACTTAAATCTTTCTCTAAAAGCAAACAGGATCTGTGATGTGGTTTCACACCTTATTTTCTTGACCCTTGACTTGATTCACTGCTCAAATACTTCAGGTCACTGGGTTTTGAATGACAGCTTGTAATAGCTAGTGGCATTTTATCTCAGCATCAGCCCTGCAAGCATCCTAGGATTTTTATTTTTTTGGGGGGGTCATATTGGCCATAGAGACACCAAATTGTGAATGTGTAATGAAAAAAATAAAACATCTACATTTAATTACATTTTTAAATTAGGAGATCTAACACTGCATAAAAATATTGTAAAAATATACTTGAAGCTTTAAAAAACAGAACAGGGCAGAGTCTCTCACATTTTGCTCTGCTGCTGATGCTATTTCTGCCAGTGTGACATCAGAAGTGTTTGTATTTCTAGCTAAATTTATCTACATTTATAGTTCATTTTGTCTGCTACCTGCAAGTAATGCTCAGTGCTTGTCTACATTAAGTGACATCTGTCAGGTTTTTACCCAATGTTCAATACTGACTTTAATATTGTCTACTCTGTTTTCCTGATTCTCCTGTTTAACAATCATCTGTAGAATCATATTACTACGCCAAAACCTAGATCACTGATTTAAATTAACTGTAGTGGTACTAATTCAGATGCCTGTGGCACTGCAGTAAGTATATCACTCACCCTTTATTGTCACTCCATTAAACATCTCTGAACTGGAATGTACCTTTCTGATTGTACAATTAGTTTCCTTATGTTTCAAACATAATAACATAAACTCCCATCTTTCCTCTGCTTCATGTTACCCCTTTACAAGTCTTCCCTTATAAATGCCTAAAATAACATGAGATGGGTGCAGGACAAAACCTACAACAAAACCTACAGCAGAACTGTCACAATCCCTTCACTGACTTTGTGAATACAAGCAGTAGAGAGTGCCAATAAAAATAAGATGAAGAGAGGCCAAGATCAAATAAGGTCAGGAGGGGGACTACAGTGGCTCTGATTCTAGAGTGAAAATCATATATTTCAACACCCAGATATCTGAAGTGTTTTGTCCAATGGTATGAAACACCACTCATACAGAATAAGTAAAAAGTAAGGAACTAGTCACTAGTCATGTGTATCATTTCCATTCCTATTGATTTGAAATTTGAAATCTCTCTTGAAAAGCACTTCTTTGTTTGTAATTGTATTATACAATCTGTCATTGCAAGTAATTGTAATTGTAATTAAAAGATGAAATGGTGGTCTGCATACTATGCCCTTTGAATGTTTCCAGAATTCTGAACCATACACAGTAGATTCTGAAAAATTTAATTTTAATTCATCTAGTTTAAATGTTCCTGTGCCTGAATATTTTTTTTACCTCAGACTCTTCCATCTCTCCTGTCACTGTCGTACAGTGTTCATTCGTCAACTTTGGTCTTTGTTAGCCATATTTCTGTGATCTCATTTGCATCATAGTTGCCTACTGATTCATTCTATCTCACACATTTTTGCTTCTTATACTCTTAGAATTTTGGCATAAGCGCTTATTGGTATAGTCAAATATACTTGACTGGTTTTAGACACAATTATGGCGTAAATCAAAAATCTGTGTGCTTCTTTTGGAACTGGACGGGACAGATCATTTTAATACAAGGCTGGTACAGTACCATCCGGACTGAGTCCTATGACAATAGGTTGGTGGCACTTTGCATTAATTCATGGTGCTGTCATCTAGTGTACCTCTTGGTATAGACAGCCTTGCACAATATGCTTCCTTTAACAACTGTTACCACATACCATGAATATCAAGTAACCACAACTTGCAAGAAACAGTTATTTATAAATTCTCGTCAATGCATGTGGTTATGTGTTAGCTCTGCAGATGCAGAATGTTTCGGAATTATAGTGGTCAAGGTGTCTTGTTCAATAAAATGTTTTTCCATCACTGAGGACAGTACGTAACGTATACAGTGTGGGTTTAAAAAAATAGTAAAATAGAGTACTGTAGTTAAAACAGTTCTGAACTATAAATTGTATATAAATATATACAAACAGAATATTAAATATTATAAAATAAGATTAAATAAATTGCTGAGTTTTGTTCAGGGGTCAAATAAAACATAGCTGCTTAATCACCAACTTACGAAATCCCATTATTCAATGAGCCAATTGGAACTTTAATTCAATTACTTCTTTAGTGTTATAAGGTTCTTCAGTGAAGAATTTTTTTAATGCATTATTGTGTTTTGTGGTGAAGGTCTTGTTATGTATCATGTCTATTATTATGCACCGTGTTTTTTTTAATACCAGAGCTACTGGTAGAATAATTGTAAAATATTTTAAAATAGTCTTTAAATTGTAAAGGGTAAGTTTGGAAAATAATCATGAGATTAATTAAAACAGCTCTGAAATATTATCTTTGGCTAATTTGAAGTTGGAATAAGCAAAATGTTTTGAATCCTAGCCACACCTGACAAGATGTCCACAACCACATAAAAAATGGAACTAGAAAAATACAACTAATTTTAAACCAGTTTGGATTTAGAATTTAGGTAGGATTTGGTTTCAGTAGACCTTACTAAAATAACTTTTTTGAGTTTTTTATTAAGTATCCACTGCACGGAACACACATAAAATACACAATATGGTATATCTAGATATTCAGAAATCTTTTGATGAAGTTCTTCATTAAACATTAATTCACAAATTGGAGACCATAAACATTCAAGGTACTGAGCAATAGTAAATGGGTTGAAAACAGGAAGGATAAATGTAACTACTTAGTAGAGTACCATAGGGATTTATACTAGGACCACTAATCTTTCTGATTTATATTAATGAGTTAGCCCCATGTATCTAGATCCAACACTCTAGAAGCTGCAAAGATAATCAAATGTTTAAAAGAAAAAAATACCATTAAACAGAATATAGATATTTATGAAAACCATTAATGAAACTCTACAATTAGAATTAGACATATGAATAAGCCACTTTATACAAATATGTCATTATGTGATTTAAAACATCAACAGAACTTGAATCTTTAAGAGACCTAGACTTCCAAAGATCTTGGGCCAACACACTTTCACTCCATGCAGTTTTGTCCTTCAGACAATAAGGCTTTCTTTGGCAGAGTGGAAGATAAATTGTTGCACATTGTTGCACATGTTGCAACAGAATCTTGTTGCAAAATTGAGTATTTAATTGGTAACTACAGAAGTCATACTAAGATTTTTCAACCTTTAACTTGTTAAAACCCATGTCACACTATTTTGAATAGTTTGCAGCACCTGCAATGGCTTTGTTGAAACCCCAGCCAAAGATGCTTTGTAACCGTCATGTTTTGAAGAAAGGAAAGCATTAATCAGTTCTATGTGTCTGTTCTCTTGTGTCTAGGCTGAAGTAATCCGAAACACGTAATATTTCACAAAACCAGAAAAATACACTGTATTCTGCCCTGTTGATTTCTTCTACACACTAATAAGACAATACAGAAATGATAAGATGTCATGAGCGTCAATCACCAATCTAAAAGCTCGATCTATCCTGACCTGGTTTGGAAGATCCACTAAAATTATCTAAATTTTGCCATCAGAGTCAAAACTTGACTCTGATGGCAATTTAAACGGTTAATTTAAATTAATTTAAACGGTATACTATATACAAAAGCTATGAATGTCATATGTTTGAAAGGCTCTTAAGTCCCGAAAGCTAGCCCTGTTAAGTGAAGTACCATGCAACACCAGGTCAACAAGAAAAATGGGTTAAGAGGCCTGCCTACTAAATAAAATAATCCTACCCAAGACTAAATCTCCCTTCCTACAACATGGATGCCCCAAATTGAATATTATTATTATTAATATCTCCCAGTTGTAAAAATACATCACCAACCAGGAAAAAGAACATATTTTGCCTGAGGATTCCACATTAAAATGAAATGGGAATTTCCTAAAATAAATAGAACAGCAGATCCTTTATAACAAGGTTCAAATTGCTTATTCAGAATCTGGTCTCTAAGCCTGATCAGAACAAGGTACTCTCACATGGCACAAGCCTAGAGGAAGAGAAGAATGATAGTGTCTTTCTACTCTTTTTCTCCTCTCTTTTGGTCCCTATCTATCTCCACTCTTCTCCTTTTCCTATTCTGTCCCCTTCCTACATTCCTATCCTATGTTTCTCTGTTTGAGATGTCTAATGGTTTTAAGGCATAATGATCAAGCAGTTAATTATTTCGAGTAAACCAGAAAATTCCCTTTGATCACCTGTGTTTGCCTGTTTCTCAATCCACCTGCAGCAAGACAAACTCTTTAAATAAAACCTGTTGTTTTTAGCTTTTATGACCCTCCCAGTTGTGACAATTCTGTTAACTGATCAATAACAAAGAATTAAGAACCATTTCTGGTGCACTGATTTTGCTGTACAACATAGCCCTGTAAAAATATCTCCAGTGTCCTAAATGGAATTTCAACTAGACATCAGACAACAAAGACTCTAATTTGTTTAAAGCCAATTATATTAAGATTCAGTTCTCATCATATGGAAAGCTGATGAATAATAAACTATAACATCAAAAGTGGAAGTAGTTCTAATAACATTTGAACAAGACTATAATTTGATATTGACTGTAACAATAATTCCTGTCAATGGCAGCAGTTAATAGAACAAGGAAAACACAAACACTGAAAAGAACTGAAAAAGGATGGGGGCACAGATGGCTTAACAAAGGGTTTTAGGTGCATTAAGTAAAAATGTACAGATCTAAATATGTTTTGTTTCAACTGAAATTATTACGTGTATTTTTTATATTGGGTTTTTATATTTTTACGATATTACCTTGTAAATGACAATGTTTTATGATTTAAATTCCACACATACTGTCATTTAAGGTTAGGACATTAGTGCCTTGAATACATCAAAAATTATTCATCATCATCATCATCACATCACTTTTAATTACCACATATCCAATTCAGGGTCATGGTATACTCACAGTACAGGATGCCAGTCCATCGCAGGGCACACACAAACACACACCAGGGTCAACTTGTTCATAGAAGCCAATTAACCTGCTAGAATATATCTTGACTACCCAAAGAAATCAGAGCACCTGAGTAGTTATAGCACCCTAAGAATTGAACTCAGGGCCCCAGACCGGTGAGGCAGCAATACTAGCCTCTGTGCTACCATGCCCCACACAATAAAGTGTGATATATTTAAAATAATGACATTTTGTTACCTTTTATGTTCACAGCAGAGACATCCTTGAAAAAAAAAAGTTGTTATCATATTTGTCTTAAGAAAATGTTCTTAAATTGTATTTTTCCACATTACATAATTTACAAAACATTACAGTTAAATAATTTAGAAATTTGACGGATTAAGTCTATACAAGTAAGAACAATGTTTTTGTTTCAGCACTACAGATACCTACAATACATAAGCACTAACAGTGAATTAAAACATATCCTAATACTCACTTTAAATAGAGCTGAAACAGTATATTTCTATATTTGATAACATTAGAAATGCCAGGTCTTCTTGTACTGGCATTGACTAAGAGTAAAGGAAAGAAATGCGGTAAAGTAGAAGGAAAACAAAATGAATTACCTCTTCAAACAATTTCCTTAATTACCATGACAAATAACTACTCAATATATGGCCCTTTCAAATCAATATCTGTTATCCTTTCCTGTCCTCTTCAATCCTGATTCAATACAACTAAGACATTTGGCAGCAGCGCTTTCACTAAAATTTGTTGTTCATTAACAAATAGAAAACAAAACCAGTAAGATGCCATCACACCACAGCTGTCAGGTTTCTTGCATACTTCATAGAGTTTTCTGCATTCCTACTATATAGTTGTTCAAAAATTATGTGAAAAACATAAAAACGAGTTATGAAAAATGGTAAAAAAAACTGCAAAGGTCCTCAGCATTTTGTGTTAGTTTTTTTCTAAGCAATGAATACTGCATCTTCACCTAGTATTCTCTTATCTACTACTGATAGCCATAGTACCGATATTGTAATTTAAGTCTCTGGTGTTTTTCTATGTTAGCTAATAATTTATTCTCCTCTAAATATCTACATTTGGTATATTTTTACAGTATTTCAAATTTGCTAGATAAATTAATATTTCCTGTCTGTTCCAAGGTTCTGTCTACTGCTAAGTCTAACAAATTTTGTCAAACTGCATTACATGATTACAACAACTGATAATAGACCAATTCAGATTTTAAGATTCACATACTGTATATTAAATATCTTACCTTTTATAAGAATTGTAACAACTGCAATTATGCCAACACCAGCAGTTATCCCAGATGCCAGTAGCATAGTACTGCTGTGATAGTAACCTGCCAAAGACATAAAACCTTGTCACATATTGCATTTAGTTTTCATTAATAGTAAATGTTCAAAACGTCAACATAATTTTGGAATTTTACCTTTTTCTCTTTTAGCGGATATCCACTGAGATTTATTTAGTGTCACCCGAGACTGTGCATGATGCACTACACAGCTTATTTCTGTTCCATTGTGGCAGGCTTCAAAAGATATCACAAACTTCTTTGTGGCATTAAATGTCATATCATAGTTTTGGTCAAGTGATTCGTTTAAGGTTTGATATGTGCCACATGTACTTTGGAAATGCATCTCGATATTTTTGGGGTAGAAGCTATGTGTGCCACATGATATCAGAGAATGTGAAAGAGCTCTGAATTCCATAGTCTTTGGTGGAGCTGCATTGAAAAATAACGAATAATGAAGGCATGAAATATATACATACATAAGACTTCACATTTTTCCTTTTGAGTTTCTACCTTTTAATTTTGAATTATTTCTTCCAAAAGATGTAGCATGTAAGATGTCCTTCAGTAAAATGATTGCGAGAGTGATAAACATAACACCAAATCAAACTTTTGCCATGAAACCTATAGGGATATCTAGAAATCAACAACAAGTAAAAATGTTCTAAAGAGAGTATTGAGGAGTTACAATAATTTCAAATGAAAATACTGCATATCCATGATATACAGTATGTGCATATAAATATAATGTATTTGCAATAAGCTCCATCGCTTAGGAATTACCTTGTACACATAACTTGGTTCCATTTCCTATGCCTGATATTGCTGGTGGTGGGGTAATTTTAGTTATCTTACAAGTATAAATTCCTTTGTTTTGAACCTGGACATTTTTAACTGTTAACACGTATCTTTTATTTAACTGGTCATGTTGTGTGTGAAACTGATTTCCATAAGTAGTATCTGAAGTTATGACAATTTTGTCTTCTGTTGTATTCTCTGTCTTAAACCACCATTCTGTCTTTGCACGGGTAATCACATCTTTTCCATAGTAACAGCTGATATTAATAGTTCTCCCCAGGTCTTCACAGATATTTGGAAACTGTTCAACATGAAAAATGTTGAAAGATAAACCTGTAAATAAAATAAAACATAAGACAGTTGTTCAGAAAGCATAGCTCTTTGTTTAAAATGTCAATAAAAATAGCATTTTAATTTTTATTGTTTAGTACATTAGAGTTTTCCAATTACTGTATATTCTTATTGTCCCTAGAAACAACTTCAGTTGTATTTTAATATGTAGGTAAATATGCAACACATATATAAAGCTAAAAACATATGTCAGTTTATCATTGATATTAACATAACATATGGTTTTCATACCACATGTTCATTAACAAATTGTACAATTTGTAAAATTTCAAATACAACACTTGTATCTTTTCTGTGATTTGTCCTTTGCACTGTTTAATTCAATTCATCCCACATCTCATCAATGAAGAAAACTTCAATTTAAATTTAAAGCTAAGCTAAAGGAATTTAAAGCTAAATTATAATTTAGCATACCTGTAAAACATAGTAACACAAAGAGATGTTTAAGCAGATCCATTCTGGTTACAAGCTCTAAAAAAGTTCAGAACACATTACCTTCCTTTACAGGCATGGCTCTAGATATTGCACTAACCACAGACTTTAAACCCCGCCTTACTGCTAGATATGCCCAGTAAAGGTCACTATATTAAAATAACTAACAGACATACAGAAGGACACAAATATTCAAGAGCATTATAATTTAACACATTATAACCATGTAACAGGAACATGGATGTTACATTTAATTTGTAAACTTCTTACACTGAACAGTGAGAGTCAAATGTCAGTCCAATGTTTTGGTATATTGTTAGTTTTGTATATTTGTTTCAGGTGTTGCTCAGTGGGGGCAGTAGTTAACAATGCTGCCTCAATTACTGGGGTGCTGCCTGCATTGAATTTGTATGTTCTCTCTGTGTCTGGTGCCTGGTGCTCCAGTTTGGTCACTCACAGTCCTGGTAGATTAATTGGCTTCTGAGAAAACAGGCCCTGGTGTGAGGGTGCGAGTGTTTGTGTTTGTGTCTGCCCTGCAAAGGACTGGCATCCCGTCAAGAATGAACTCTGCTTTGTGTCTTTTGCTTACCAGATAGGCTCTGGCTTCCCTGAGATCCTGTCATGGACAAAGTAGTTAGAAAATGGATGGATGGAATGATATGTACTTCAGCTATAACTTTGGGAGAGCAATTTCCAATGTATTCAAAACATATTTTAACAGCAAGGTGGAAACTAACATTTTAGAACACTGAGTAGTTTGAGAGTTGTTTGAGTAGTTGAAGAACCACTGCAGTCCTGATTTAACACAAATTAAAGCCACCAGAGACTACATTAAGTCATAATAAGACTCTGAAAACCATACAGCTTTCTGAGGTTACACTGGGGAACAATGTAGGTTTTTAAGTTTCAAAGGAATAAGGAGTGGCTTCATTTTTGCATTTCCATGTTGAAAAATAAAAAGAATAAAATAATTAATTGTTTGGTGTTCAGGAAGCTGATTATTCAAGGTAACGGTAACACCAATCCAAAGCCCATCCCAGAAGCACTAGCGCAGAAAGTAACATCAAATAATAATGATGATTTGCATACTAGAAATACAGTATAGTGCTTTTTATCTCAAAATGTCACCAAACTTCATGCTTTTTCCTTTATTTATCCTCAGGTTTAACAGTGGAGTTAAGCTGAGTAAATTATTGGGACTCCTTTGGATCAGTTGTGTCCTCTTCCATATTAACTTGCATCCTGGCTCAAGGACAGCTATGTAAATACAGCCAAACAAGACCCATTATTCCAAACCTTCTGCATAAGGCCTTCAAGCTGGGATGTGCAAAAGCTGGTAAGCCCACCTGAAAATCTGTCACAATTTTATCAATGGGAATTCCCCCCAAAATTGTCTCAACACTTATACCTGCAGTCATTACCTCTTTATTAAAGAAGCGGAATTTAGACTCCAGCCTACTCAGTATTTGTCAGTATTTAATATCCCAATTATGGCAAAGGTTCTAGAGTAAGCTATTGCTTTTTAGTTAGCAGATCACTTATCTATAAATAAACCATATGAGCCTTTTATTAGTCTGCTTTAAGAACCATACAGTATGTATAGCACCAAAACAGGTCTTAATAGGGTTAGTAATTGATTATATATTGACTATAAATGACTGATGATGATTTTTAAACTGTTTTTTGCCCTACTGGAAATTAGTGTTGACTTTGAGACTATTAATCACACTATCTTTTTTATTGCTTCATAATGATTCAAATCTTATCTTGACAGAAAAAAAATAAATCAGTTCTTGTTTTTTCTCAACAAGGTTCATCACCTTTGGTGTCCCACAAGGCTCTGTTCATGGTCCTTTATATGTTTGCATGAAACATATGCCTTGTCACACTTCTTAGGTGTTTTTAAAATAGCCTATGAAGCAAAGGTGATTTCTGAAGTTATACTTATTGCAAGCTTTTAAAAATATATATTTTAAGTATAGGAAGTGGTTTTAAATTGAGCAGGAATGGATTGTAATTAGCGGGTATTTGGAAGATAGGATTTTTTATATTAATTTTTTATCTTTTCCACCAGGAACAGGATTCTGGCCTAGTTACTGTACATGGATGTGTGTAAGCAAGTCTGTTTGTGTCTGGGAAACAGGGCAAAAGTGCTTTCAGGTTAATAAAAGGATTTAAAAGGTCTTGAATATGCTTCAGTAGTGAGTCCATGGGGATACTTACAGATTTATCACACAACAGCATAACTTAATGAATGGCTCTAAACATTTTGAGTAGTTGGAACAGATTGGAAAATAGTATGAAATGCTAAATAAAGTAATATTATTAGGAAATGGGGTGATGATGTTAAATTTAGAAATTACTGTATTTCATGGTCAACACTTTTTGTCTTATCCGTCATTGCCCATTTTGGCCCATGTTGAGTAAGTGGTAATTTTATCCATTTCAGATGACCTCCCTGTGATCTTTTACTAGCATACAAAAATGTGAAATATCCTGTTTTTGCAGAGACATCACTGCTTTAAATAACAGGAAATCCTGCTGGTTAACAGATCAGAAAGTTTTGTTTTAGGACAGGAGTGTTTAACACAGCTTTAATTCAAGTAATGAGACATTGTTTAGACATAGGTTGCGTTAACTCTTTGAAACTGAATCTAAAATAAATAAAGCAGACTAAACTGCTACTCAGAATAATGACAATGATAAAATATTGTCATTATTGTCCAGAATTATGCAACACTGGTTTAAAGATGTTGTGGTCACATAGAAAAAAGGTGAATTAAATGCTATTGCTTATGAGGATTCTTTGTTGGTTTATTGTACATCTACTTTTTATAAAAATCAATAGGCCCTTTGGAGTCTTTTAAATTATTCGCTATTAACTTCTAGACTCCAGCTTTGCACTGATGATCTCCACCAATTAATATTTCTAATCTTATTATTTGTATAGCAGATAACAATGTTCCCGTTGACTTACATAGGAAAAGTTCCTCTAGTGTAAACACAAGGCAAAATAAGGTGAAAATAAATCATAACATTTCTATATGTGAAGACCAACTCAAGTTCATGTTTTACATTAAACAGTAAGACCTAAAATACCTTACAGTGTGGATACAGAGCAGTTTATGTAAACGTCCCGTAGATATTAGTTCCATGGTTACAGTGAATAAGTACAATTAGTTTGGATACCAAGAGTGTTTGTGTGAAAAAAACAACAGCTTTAATAAAGGATGTATTTCAGAGATGAGAGATCACAGGTGATATCTAAACAGATGAGTCTTGAGCAGGTGCTGAACACTGGTCAGGAACTGGGTCATTCTGATTCCTGTGGGTAGTTCATTCCAGCTAAAGAAACTGAATTGATGAACTGCAACCACAAGTGAAAAATACAATATTTGTTACAATATATAAAAATATATTTGGTCGCTGTTTTTTTGGTGTAGCCAATACTTTAATACTCTTTTCTGTATGTTTATCAATAGTGGATACTGGCCTTATTCAGCCCTCCACCCGTTGTTAGGTGTTTTTCTCTGCACACGGAGGATGTTTCTACAGATATCCATGTGCAGGGTTTCAGGATGCAGCCCTGTCTCACCCCATGGCCTTTGGTGAAGAATTTGGTCCTTTTGTTTCAAATTTTCACTGCACATTGGCTCTCCGAGTACATTGATTTAATTATGTCGTACACTTTGCCCCCTATGCCACTTTAGAAAAGTTTATAAAACAATCTTTCATGCCAAATCGAGTCAAATGCTTTTATGACTTTTTGCTTTTTCTCTCTCATTCTCTCTCTCTCTGCAGGAGCGCGGGCGCGGAGGGTGTGCTGTCTGTGCCGAAAAATAAAACCGCCGTTTTTCAGTCAACGAGTGTCTGAAAATAGAGTATTGTACTATTTTCGCCGAACCCGAAAATAGTACAATACTCTTTAGCCTATTTGTTCATATTTGAAATACCCCTTCAACTCAATATATTCGGACGACAGATTTAGCAATATCAAAAACACGACCAAAGCACCGAAACTTAAAATGCCAGCTACTCCCCCAGTTCCTGTTACGCGCTTCGTGTGCAAAGTGAACCAATACCGAAACTGAAAGTACTGTTAAAAACAAACAACTCGTCTTCACCTACCTGTGTGAACTCTGGAGCTCGGCAGCACTTCGTTGAAAAGTGCAAAATCAAGAATCTTTGCATTCCGACAGGTATCTTCACAGTTATTTACTTAAGAGTTACTTTGGCTTATTAATCTAACATTTCAACGCGCAGTTTTAGTAAGACATTTATCTGAAAATTAACCGAAAGTACCGCGAAAATCCTTTCGCTTTCGACCCTTTTTCTCGATTTAAAATGATCTCTTCACACATACAGCTGTGTCTTTTCGAAAACATGTTGCATATGTTTACACCAAAATCCATAAAGAGAATAGGGAGTTACTTTTTTTATTTTATTTTTTCATATATAGTCCATCGTTGTGCAACCTACACACTCCAAGACCTATTCAAGATCGTTTAGAGACACTTAAGTTTCGTTCTATAAGATTTCTATTTTACAAATGCTAGAATTGTTTTTAAAATAGTTTACTTTTAAAAAATATGTAATGATTCTCATAGCATTAATGTTATATCTTTGTAATTCTATTACTAAAAATTAAGCCGCTTTCCTTAAGACTTCCTTATCGTCGTAAATACTGTAGTTCATAAAAACTAGTAAAAACATGAAGCAAGGTAGCAATAATCCATGAATGTACAGGCATATTTGAAATTTGAAATAATGATGATAAGATAAACCTATATTTTTTCAAATATTTTATATCTTAAATCAATAAATATAATCTGTTATTTTCTATGTTTTCCTGTAAAAATATTAGGTGTATTAAGATACCAGCCCATGAACAAAAAACATTTTATCTTGTCACCCTACATGTTTTACTGTGCTTCATCACACTGAAGTCTTTCCTAGCTTTCACATTCTTGTTCTTAATGGAGGCAAAAGGTTCAGGAATTGTTTGCCTTCCCATACTACTCTTTTCTATTTATTCTTTGGATTTGGCTTTCTAAAGGATCATCTTTGCTGTTTCCTTTGATACAGACAGATCTATGAAGCTAAATCTGAAAGCGGGCTGTACAGCCTAGGAAAGGGTTAATATTGTACTATCCAACTGTTTTTGATTTTTGTTGTTTTCCTTTATCAACTTTTGTTTGTATGGCTACCAGCTTTTTGGTTTTATTTTTTATTATGGTTTAATTATGCTGAACATTTTACTTTTATTTCAGTACCTCTTCTTACTATAATTTGTAATGCATGTTCAATTACAGAGTCACAATGTCATATAATGTTTCATTAAAGTATATTAATTTACTTAAAACAGCTGTTATCCTATTGCACGGCTTATGGTTCGATTTTCCCAGATGCTAAAATCCATGTCGTCGGAAGCACTCCAAAGCCTTCTGTCTGAAAACATGCTTTTAACTGAAAGAATATTCATTTCAAGGAGTAACTAAGGTAAAGCACAATTAAATCATTTGTATTTCTTTATGACTGAATTTTAAATTTGTGCATGGGGTAGCGGTTTCATTAAAATTGTCCACACTTAGTAGAATTTGAGTAAGGTTGCCAAGTATTTCTGTAGCTTTGACTGCCAATCTATATTGTCATTTTACCTGAACCAATGCTGTAAACTGCAAGCAGAAGTGCATTAATTAACTTAAACATAAGAGCTGAATTAACCTAAAAGAAGATGAGAACATTAATCTTAAACTGTACATCATTCTAATTTACTATACATGTTGCCTCATTTCTTTGACAACAGATTATAAGCAAGCCATGTTCCAAGGAATAATTGAACGTTTAACTCTTCTTCTTACTCTTTCTGCAACAACAGGTAGGTAGAAATACTACTACATTTAATAGTAGTATTTTTAAACTACTAAATGTTTAATAAACATAATACTAACTTAGCTGCAAATTTAAAGATTGATTTATTAATTGACTGATTGTTTTCTTTTTTATTTTCGCAGGTGCACTTATCCTGAATGTTGTGGGAAATCAGAGTCAAAATGTTTTGCTTCCATGTACATTCAGGCCACCGATTAATTTTAGTGTTGAACATTTGGTTATTAACTGGCAAAAAGCAGAGCACAATACAATTCTACACAGTTTTTATGACATGTCAGACCATCCAGATTTCCAGCATGACCAGTTTAAAGGAAGAACAAAATTGTTTCAGCAAGAATTTTCAAAAGGAAATGCCTCTCTTTTTCTTATGGCAATAACACCACTGGATTCCGGAACATATATTTGCTTAACAGCCGTAAATGAAAAAAATGATTTTACAATTAATGAAGTGACACTCAAAGTTCAAGGTTTGATATGGCACTTAATTCTTTGTGTGTGTATGTGTGTGTGTATAGAGAATGTTGCCACTTCTTTCTGAAGTTGGTCAGTCTGTAAGTTTATAGACATACCAGATACTTTCTTAATGTGTAAATCAACTAGACAATAGCCAAGTCAATTAAGTAACCTGAACCTGAACCTGTACAGCTGTACAACAGCTATTTTACAATTCAATATTAGTTGAATTGAAATTGGAACATAATTTGGGGTTTAAATTGATAGGGACGGTCTATATGTATCCATGTGTTATTTTCTGTGTGGAGTCTGTTTGGATGTTTTTGTAAATCGACAAGTTTACACTTTCCTATATCGCTGTAATAATAATATTGATGATGATAACAGGATTATTTAATCTTGCTACTTCTGTTTTCTTTGCTGTTTTTGAATTAGTTTAATTGCCTGCCTTATGTAAAGTGCATGAAATGCCCTTTTCATTCAGTTAAAATACTTTAGCATAGCTAACATTGTATGTTTTTTATCACTGTAGTTTTCAGCCATGGAGGAGTTTATATTTGTTGAAATAGATTGTTCAGTATTTCTTGGATATTTAAAATGCCTTAATGAGAAACATAATGATAGCATAATATGAACCTGATCGCTTTCACAGTAGTTTTCCACAACCTTTATGTGACTGTGGACATTTTAGTGAAAAAGAAAATGTGTTTTTTTATATGCACAGTTGAAGGTTTAATGACTTCTGGGAAAGTTGGCCCAGGTGCGAGTGTATGCACATCTGTGTCAGTGTGTGCACTGCGATGATGGTGATGATATAGGGAAGTGTTAATTCATCAATTTACACAAACATACTAACTATACTAACATCATACAAAGAAAGTGATTCATGCATACTGTGATGCTGGGGCTTAGCTGTTACCACGATTGAGCTCTTTTTGGTTTATTCTCTAATATCTGGAAAACTGAGCAGGGAATAAGTGCAGGTGCCAAGTGCAGATTTATTCATTGGTGCCAAGTGCAAATTGAATTCACAGCTTATAGACTGAGTATATGTATATGTAACCATTTTAAACTGAAACTAAATGGTGTTTCTTTTTGGACTCCTAGCTCTCTGGCTAGACCTTATCCCAGGCGCTAAAAACTAGGGAAAGTGAAATTTAACAATCCTGATTTCATGATCCGCATAATCACGAGTACCTCTCGCCACCAATGCTCACACACGAATTAATCAATTGTCATTCATCACACTCTTCCCTGTTTATACCCTCTCACTCCACTCAGTCCCTGACCAAGTTCTACTTTTTCGACTTTGGTTTTTGCCTTTTGCCTTTGGATTTGGTTGCTTATTGGTTCCAGTCATCCTCACGCTTAGCGCCGCATAGGGTCCAACCTGGTGCTTCTAACGCCATATTTGACATCCTGACATGCTGGCACACTTTTAACATTAGCTGGTCTTTAATTAACCCTCTTGTGGTCTCGGAAAGACTGTCTTTAGGAGACTTTCTGCTATTTGTGTTCTTTTATTCTACCTGAGTGATTTATGAGGTCAGATCTATTCTTCAGTTATCTCTCCCCACAAATCGTTGTTTTTTAGATCAGTAGGCAGGAATGGCCTTCAGGCTGTGCCTCCAGAACTCTGGGAGCTAATTGTTTTTAATTCTTCTCTGCTGGGTTTCCTTCTTTTAAGACATAATTTGTTATTATTTTCTAAATGGTACCTTTCCTTTTCCCAATATCAGTACAGATCTGGTTACACTTTGACTTACCATGGGTGGCATTTGTTTTTCAGATGTAATATTCATAATCTTATATGGTCAGTTTCTAATGTCTTTAATCACCACATACATAATATTGTGTGAATCATAAGCTTGGCTTAGATATCTTTTTCATTTCCTGTTACATTCCCAATGACATACTGTAATTGTACTTTGAAATACTGAATAGGGTTACTTAAATTATTATTATGGTTATTCACAGATTTGAAGGAACCAGATCAAAGTGAAACATGGGACACCAGACTTTTATTAGTCCTTTTGTTCCCAAGTTTGCTTGCTGTTGCCATTTATGTTATTCTAAGAAGACGAAAGATTCACATGCATGTGACTGAAGGTAAATTCAGCTTTCAGTTGTTTCTATATCAGATTGGCTATATGGCTAGAAAATATTTTAATTATTACAAGCTTCTATAAAAATTGATATTGTGTGATATTGTTACACAAATGTTGAACTACTACAACTACTAATGCAATTCTTAATTTTAGGCCAAAGTATTTTAAAAAGATTAAATCCCTTTACATTCAGTGGTAATGCTTTTTATGGCTAAGATTTTTTTAGTGTACTGGTTTTCACCTTATGCAGTTTTGCATATAATGGATTTACTGGATATACAATTATCAATATTATTATTATCAAATTATCAGATACAATACAAGCTGTTTGTTGAATTTGTTACATAGTTGAATATGTCCACATATCGGCTTGGATATTTGAGAACTTTGCCAGATGAGTTTTTCCACTCTTTATATAATTAATAGAAAATAGTATGATAGTGCAAACAAACAATCATACAGTAACATTTTACAAGTAAAAATTGAAATAACCTGCAGCAATGTGGAAACACTGTTGTGAAGCATATTTTTAAACTTTAAGTTAAAACTAAATTGAAATGTATGTAATAATATCTAATAAATATGTTTAGTTATATGAAATGTAGGCCAGAGGAACAAAATCTATGATTATGTCGAAGAACTTAACAAAGTTTACTTTTTGAAGAGTATGTATTGAGGTATAAACAAATTTGCTATGTCTGACTAGTTCATGCTTCTTTTTAATGAAATTGTTTTTTCTTTGTCCTTAGAGGGTGTGCCATTAATCAGTATAAAAGACCGTAAGTGTTTTTTTTTTGCTACTCCAAAATAATGTACAGTATATCACAAAACACAAAATGTGAAGTATAAACATATATGAACAATGTATATTAAATACTTTATGTGAAGTAGAGAATAACTTTTTTCTTGAAAAAACACTTGCTTAAAAATTGTGGGAAATGAAACACTTTTTTTGACACTTGACCAAATATGTTAGTGTTAACATGCAGGATAAAATGAACACTGTGTTGGATTGCATTTTCTAAGATGTTTGACATAGTTCATTAAACATTCAAAATAACGTTGTTTTTTTATGCAGATTTTGAAAGTATTTTTTTTCTTTTTTTAGGAGACATTGAAATGTACAAGAAAAGTATTTTGAATGAATATAACATGATTGATACAACACGTATTATATCAAGAGACCTTGATATTGTAGATCCAAAAATGTTGGCATCTGGAACTAGTAGAGAGCTAATGAACTACAATATGACAATGGAAAAAGAACCACTTGATGATTTCTTGACTTTGAAGCAGTGTCCTGCTGGAAAGCGAATTCTGCTAATAGCAGATGCTGGAGGCGGAAAAAGCTGCATAATGAAAACAATGGAGGTGGTCTGGGCGAAAGAGACAAATTTATCAGATACATGTATCTTGAACTTTAGCTGTACTGTGCTAAATTCGGTTAAGGCATTAAGTGTTAAAGAATTTTTAAATCTGAAAGAAATACCTTCGACCCTAGCTGATGCATTGCTCCAAAATCCTGATCGCATAATTATTACTTTGGATGGTTTGGATGAATTCATACATATGTTAAACTTACAAAGCACAGCCAACACTTCGGACACAGTCAGCTTTACAGATACATTACAGATAGGTGACCTGGTATCAAAAATAATAAAGAAGGAGCTGCTACCTCAAGCTTCTGTAATTGTCACTTCCAGGAGAAATTTTGACAGTTCTCTCCCCAGATGGTTTGACCGTTGTGTCATTTTACCAGCTCTTAACATAAAAGAAATCAAAGTATTCTGTGAATCTTTTTGTGAAGATCAAAAAATGTCAAATGACATTTACAGGCAAGTTATAGAAGATGAAACATTGTCTTGTTTAGCATCAGTTCCTTTGCACAGCTATTTTATGTGCCAGCTGGAAAAGACAAACAGTAAAATGTTAAACAAGTCAAACACATGCAGTAGTGTGTTCATTGGATATATATCAAGTTTAGTTAGCTCCACCTTGAAAGACTATGCAGATACTCAGGAAAAAGTTAACCATTTAACCATTAATGAAAAGGAAGAGAAAATCATTAAATGTGTGGAGAAGCTTGGGAAATTGTGTTTGGAGACCCTCAATTCTGGACAATTGAGAGTAAATAATATTGACATGAGAAAATATGGCTTGGAGCCCAAAGTCTTGGAGTACTTCTCTAATGTGCTCCTCAAGAAGAAAAATCGAGAAGAAGAATATTTTGAATTCTCTCATGGCGTTTTCAAGGAGCTTTTTGCCGCATCATACTTTGTCCATTCCATAGAAAATGACGATGAATTAATCGCAGCTCTCAATACATTGCTGTTTCTCAAAGACAGTATGAGCGGTATCTCAAAGACAAAAAATGATTTTCAACTTTTAGAAGATATGAAAACGAAACGATATACGTTATCCAGGCTTTTCATGGGGGTTTTGGCATCACAAACAGACCTCTTCTGCCAGACAGGATCTGACATTTCTGAGAACAGAAAGAAACTCTTGATGGAATGGTTTCAGGAGCGGATTCCAAAGTACACATCAGAAGACCAGCTGAATCTCCTGCATTGTTTGTTTGAGCTACAAGATAAACATGTAACATTCCATGTTTCGACTTACATAAAGGAGGTCGATCTACTTAACACTCCCCTAAGCAGTGTGGATGTCATAGCTCTTAGTTACAGCCTTCGACAGTGTAAACTTGACAGGCTTGATTTAAGATTGTGTGAAATTGGAGATGAAGGCATACAACAACTGAAAGATGTCATCGCAAACAGCAAGGATGTCAGGTATTTTAGTGCAATAATTCAATACATTGCTTTAAAAAAAATGTTTTTTGATAACTGTTTATTAAAAAATCTGTACTTTTTGTTTTTTGTTGAATAGAATCAGTGCCAACAAACTAACAGACAAATCTGCTAAAGTAATTGGCCATATCCTAAAACTGAAGGATTGCAATGTTGAAGAACTTTCGTAAGTATCTCTTTGAAATTTGTTGTTATTTTATATATTATGAGGTACTTTAAGATTAATCTGTCACACTAAAATTGTGCATACTAAAGTTAAAATAAGCAACATCTGTCTTATATTTAGGATTGGAACAAATAACCTTCAGTCTTCAGGGGCTTGCAAAATATGGGAAGCTCTTGAGGTAAACAAGAGCCTGAAGACTCTTTATTTACACCATAATAACATTGCTGATGAAGGAACAGAACAGATGAAGAGGTTCTTAAGCAAAAACACGAGGCTCGTTAAGATCAAGTGAGTTCAGGAATTCATTTATCCTATCTTAGTGAAATTTTTTATAAACATTCATGAATGGTTTTATAACCTTCCTTTGGATTATTGTTGCAAGTCAGAATTCATTTCTATGGAACAGTAATTGGGGGTTGATTTTGTTGTTAGCTATCAATATTTCTTTTGTTTTTAATAATAATTTGAAACTATTTTGATACAAATAATTAATGAACAAATCTTCAATAAAAATTTTCTTTGTTGCAAATATACTGTAGTTTTAGGTATTATGAAGGACTGTGTCACATGTTTAATAAACAGGGTTTTTGTAAATGTATATTCACAGGCATAAAAACACAACAAAGAGTATTGGAACCTGTAGTATTTGTTGCATTTTTAATGTTTCTCAGTATATTAATAGCTTACCATTTATTTGCATTTTGATTCAGTGTTTTAAAAGCATTCTAAACCTTAGTGTAGCACATTTTCAGGCAGTTAAATAGGGCTTTCAAATGGACCTAAGAACTTAAATGATTTAATTTGTCTATTTTTATAACCACTGATTCTTTCTACTTGTTATTTTAGTTTGTGTGGAAATAATTTTTCAACACGAGGTCTGGGAAACATCACAGATATCAGAAACTGCACGAAGATTGAGATTGCAACTACAATTACTGAGGATAAGCCATTCTTTACTTTTGTCCAAGAGAAAGTGGACACGTTGCAAGCAGAAATTAAACAGTATAACCCTGGATGGGTAAAAACATGCCTTGAAGCAGTTAAGAAAGACCTTGAGGAGAACATTTCATCTGAGGCACAAGCTTTGCTGGTGAAAATCAAACATTTACTAGATGAATTCAACCAAAGTCCTGTACCTGTTGTACAGTATGAGCACAGCCCTGTCTGAACCACATCTGGGAGAGTGAGCTGCTGCTCTTAGTCACCTGACCTGTAGCTGAAAACAGTTGGTCAAGAGACTTTTAAAGTCAGGAAGCAGAAGCTTCCTGTGTCAGTCTGTTGGAGTGATGTCTACCAGCTGAAGGAAAGAAGGAAGAACCTCTCTATGTGCCATTCACCTGAGGGAGAACTAACTAACTGTACATAAACAACTTTGTCTGCTCACAAAACTATGTCAATTCTGTGGAATGAATGTGTGAGTTGAGAGATTTGAGTTCTGTGGAAGTTTGGTTTTGAAGAGTCTGAGAGCTTGATCCCGGAAAGCAGTTTAGCTGCTTGACAATGCTAGAGATAGACTTCAAGAAGACCTTAATATCTTGAAAAAGAGTTTAGGCTTTTGTTTTGGTGTTTTGAGTGTAATAGATTTTCATATGTACCTAAGAACTTAAATGATTTCACTTATCTACTTTTATAACTAGTGATCTTTCCGCCTGTTCTTTAAGTTTGTGTGGAAATAATTTTTCAACACAAGGTCTGGGAAACATCACTACAATGCAACTACAGTTACTGAGGATGCACTGTAATTACTGTGGATACACATTTAAGATCTAGTTACAATGTGCCCAGAGTGGTTGTTGCACTCCATAAGGCCTTTAAGGATGATTCTTATCCAATTATATTAATCTGTTTTTTCTGCATGTTAATATCACATGCTGCTCTTAAAATTTCCTGGTATATAGCATGCTGATTTGAATTAAATGAATAGCTAGCCTGTAAGTCTTAAGCCAGGGATAGTTTGGAAATTTAAGAAGAAACCTGCAAGTATTTGTGTGCGTTTTGGAGTGGATTTGGAGTGGTGATTGAAGGAACCAGAGTGAATTTAGTATTTTTGTATTTAGGTATTCTTGGATATAATTTGAATCCTTTGTCGTCTCTGAAGAGCTGTTGAGTGATGCTGATTGTAGTTGGAAAAGGGAATAAAGGGGAGCTGCAATCCCAGATTTTCAGACTGGTTATTAAATCTTTGTTAAAAAAAACAAACCAATTCATTGATGTTATAGGAAACTTTTACGAATTGGAATTATTTGCAAAATCGTGAACTTTGTGAAAGTATTGTAAGTCACTGTGTTTTTGCAAATGGGCTCCTATGATCTGCGATGTGAAGGTTCCCTTCCTGGTCACTAGATGGATGCTTTATTGATCCCGTGAGGGAAATTGCAGAAAGTCACATTAGTCAGTGACTAATGTGATGTACTAGCAAATAAGTAGAGGTTGAACAGCAGATATTTCACTGCAGAATGCTCCAGTGTGATCTGAATGTAGAGTTAACAAGTATTGTAAGTTGGCAAACCTGCCTTGAAGTTGAAAGCAATAGTTCTATTTGATTAAAATATGTATTCACAGCTTGATTTTCAGTGTAATAAGCCTGCAACGCATCACTGGAAATTGTTGCCTCGTTCTGAATCACAGAACATGGTCCTGTGCACAGCTGGAAATGTCAGCTATTTTGTGACGTAACTTAGAGATTTTACTATGTACATTTTATTGTGGTTTGAAATGCACTCACCAATACTGATTCTTTCTAACCCCAAAATATAAAAAGTGTTTCAGTTCCCCTTTTAGTCAAGTGTGGTGTGCCAGTAGGCCTCTAAGGACACAAGGGGCATATCTTCCTATTTAAGGGGAAGCCTGGCCATTTATGAGCCCAGTTTATAATAATAATTGCTTACACTTATATAGCGCTTTTCTGGACACTCCACTCAAAGCGCTTTACAGGTAATGGGGTCTCCCCTCCACCACCACCAATGTGCAGCATCCACCTGGATGATGCGACAGCAGCCATAGTGCGCCAGAACGCTCACCACACATCAGCTATTAGTGGGGAGGAGAGCAGAGAGTAATGAAGCCAATTCATAGATGGGGATTATTAGGGAGGCCATGATTGGTAAGGGCCAATGGGACATTTGGCCAGGATGCCGGGGTTACACCCCTACTCTTTTCGAGAAACGCCCTGGGATTTTTAAAGACCACAGAGAGTCAGGACCTTGGTTTTACGTCTCCTCCGAAGAACGGCACTTGTTTACAGTATAGTGTCCCCATCACTGTACTGGGGCATTAGGACCCACGTGGACCACAGGGTGAGCGCCCCCTGCTGGCCCCACTAACACCTCTCCCAGCAGCAACCTTAGTTTTTCCCAGGAGATCTCCATCCAGGTACTGGCCAGGCTCACACCTGCTTAGCTTCAGTGGGTTACCAATTGTGAGTTGCGGGGTGATATGGCTGCAGTTTAATGTAAGGAATAGTCGGTTTGAAGAAGAGGAAGGAGTGTTTCCTGAGTGTGGCTGTTCCAGCTTCTCCAGGGGATTTTGGAAGATTTAAAGAGTTGGTCCATGGAAGATGAAGACGAAAGATATTTCATCTCATACCTCTGTGATGGAGTGGTTTTTGGGAAAGCGCAGGCTTCTCTGAAAGGAGACCAGGAGTCCAGAGGGATTCCAAAAGCCAATAATGGTGTCAGTCTGCCAAAACATGCACTTATAAACCCATAATATATTTGTTCAGAGTCTCATATTGCGGGTCGTTGGTCGGCATTCTCCACTTTATGTTAATAAAACACTTATTCAGCTGTGATAAACTGTATGGAGGTTATCTGTTTTGCATCTACAGTTCCCAGAGCCTTTCTTAGGCAGGGGAAACAGTGAAGTTCCACACGTACCAGAACATTGGTTCCCAAACACCTGGTTCCCTCTGAAAAAAAGCTTAAGAAGGTTTGTGTGAAATGAATATTCCAGGATGAGTGATCCAAAGTAGATATCGAAATTGACTAAGAAATAACCTGTACATGAATAGTTATCTACTGGAGATATCAATCAAATATCAATCTCCAGGCCTCTGGGGATCTCAATTTCCTAATATTGTTTTCTGTCTTTGAAAACAAATTGGTGAAAATCGATCTATACAAGTCAGAAACTGAATAGTAGCGTGGATGTGCAAGTACCTTTTAAACCACCAGGTGGCAGTACTGAACTACTTTAATTGACCAATACAGTAAATGGCGTTTCAGTGTATTGCAGCAGAAAATTGTATACTATAAACCCCAGAAGTATTCAAATATTCACACCCTGTGTCTTCAATTAGTTAATTCACTCATCTTAACTAACACTTGTTCAAAGTCAGAAGAGAACATTTTATGTAAACAGATTTTATTAAAGTTAATTGAAGCTGTATAGTTTTGATTTGTTGTGATCGCATTTCTGAAGACTAAACAACATTAATTAAGAACCAAGAAAATTAATTTCAATTATAATATTATAATAGCTATTATAATAGCTGTTATAATAGTAGAAAACACTGGTGGGGGCTATGAGAAAATCGTCGATGCCCATTCATTCATTTTTAAGAACAGATTAATCCAATACAGGGTCATGGTAAACTGGAGCCTAACTAGGCAGTGAATGAGTACCAGGCAGGATTCCATTCAGACAGACATCAGTCAATTACAGTGCACACACACTTATCTAGAGATGCCAATGGAGATAAGCAGCATGTCTATGAACTGGTAGAGGAAAGTAGTGACCAGTGAAAGGATGCCCTAGGGCATTTGAATTCGGGACACTAAAGAGGTGAGGCAGCAGTGCACTCTTGTGCTTTCACCGTGCTGCTCTCTCATGTCATACATGTATTTCTGATTTTATAAAAGATTTTTAAAACTTCTGATCAGCAGTGTGTTTCAAGAACACTTAACTGATGTCTGAATTTTAGTTTGGGTGCTAATAGATGACCTAATGAAAAGCTACTGATGCCCCCTTGAAGCAAAGACTAAGAAACCAAACATAATTCATTTTCCAGGGTAATATACCATGTCTTACTGGATAATTTTAAAAATATTTAAGAAACAAATCGATTCTTCTCACTTAATGATTGCACTCTAATGCTATTTGTGTGCAAGGAACGCGGCAACATCACCTGACAGCATAAAAAATCTAATGTTTCTGTAACTGATGGAGAGACCATCTCAACACACAGCTCTTTGTTCTGTTGCATGAAGTTCTTAATGAAAAGGAAGATGCTACATATGGAAAGTCAAAGGTAATCTTCCTGGCTTGGTTATGCTTTATATAGTTCTGAGCCGGAAAGCTTGTACAGCAGGCATGTGATCCTTATTACCACTTCAAAAAGCAGAGAGGGGAAGGCCAGAACACCCACTTCCCTTGTAAGTATTAAACATTTGCATGCAACGAGTAATTCTCGCATTAACATTCTGTAGGCTACTTGTAGTCTTCACAGAAGCATGAGATTTCTATAACTTAAAAATTCCTACCAAATAGAATGCATTAATTTTCCTTTGAGCTGAGAGCTGCAGCAAAGGAACTAGAAAGAGTTAATTTCGACAGTTTGACTTTCCTTTTCAGCATGAAATTCACCTCTTCATTTCCTTTAGATCAGCCCTGCTACTCTTAGGGTATGTAGGCTAAACAGGCATTTTTATTTTTATGTCAAGTCTAATGATTTCTGCATGCACTTAGGACATGCTTTATCAGATAAAATCAGGGCTATCTGTCAGAGGTGAACAAGAGGATTACAATTCCACTTTGTAATCAACCTCAAGTCTTATCTTAAGCATTTTTTAAATGCTGTGATAGACTTTAGATGTTAATTGTGTCTCATCCTAAATGAACTCACGAATATGTATATTTACTTTTATTAAGCAGTCACTAATACATCACATTGAATACATTAACAACATTTTGAGAACAAACATACAGATTGTTTAGTAATTTGACTGGCATTTACCCTATATTTAGAATTGCTTAATTCAGCTCTATGTTTGAATATTGCAGTCATGCAGTGTGCGGATACATTGAGGACATGCACAAGGAGACTGGCTGTTATGTGCCACCAAAAGTATCTCTATGTGTGGGTCTGTAAAAAAATAAACCATCTTGGTTTGTGTCAGCAAGTTTATATTTTGTGCCTTTGTCTACTCAACAAGCTCACAGTTAAATTCCACACACAAGCGCAAAACAGATTTCTCTTTTTAAAGGACACCTTTTTAATTTTTTGTATGTGCATTTGTTTTTATTCAGTTAGGTTGACAAAGAAATACTTATTTAAGATTAGTTAAAACTGGATTACACAAAGCTATGTTAAAATATACTGTAGATTATTTTAAGTATAAGTTTAAAACTCTACCAGGTCACTAAATACAGATGCAAGAACAGAATTTCAGACACAATAAATCATTTAGTGAGCACAGAATTGCATTACTGTAAACCTTAAAAGACAAAGATAACGTCCTACCAGGACAGTTGAAAATTGTTTTATGCATTTATAAATGATGGAAATGTTTTGAAATTATGTCAGCATGTAATTTATTGAGTATCTATCTCAGAAACTATAACACTATAACTATTAAGGCTGTTAAAACTGTAAATCATACTGAAATGAGATTCAGCTCCTGGGGTATCAATTCATATTTTGATTGAGTTTTATAAAGACCCACTGGGGAAAGAAAAACAGGTGCCTGTGTCATTCAGAATAAGACTAAAGGATTTAGGGAATTTGAATCCATTTGCTTTTAGCCTCAGCTCTCAGGTGTTCACCTCAATGTAAATGTCTGTTTAACCTTGTTTTCCTTGAAAGATGGGGGACTCTGCGCCACCAGTAAGAGGCTTTTCTAATTAAATCCTTCAGCAACTGTCACAGGCAGTCAGTCACCTGCAGATGAAGTCGTCAAGAGGGACCTTAGCAACGCAGCAACCTTGGGAACACCAGAGTTTACCATCACATGCTGTTCTCAAGCAAGACAAGGAGATATTCCATACGCCTAAAGAAAAGCATCTCAGCATGGTAACGAAAGTGGAAAGGGGATGCAGTTCGGCCTTTCAGGGAAAATAGTTGTGAAGCTTACTAAAGGTGACCAATGCTTCTTGCGTAATAAGGTTAAGATAAATGTCATTAGGCCTCAGACAGAACCCTGTGATACTTTTGAAGTTCATAATGCTTAAATCATCAGACTACCAAATGCAAATACCCTCGGAAGATGTTGTTCCTAAAGTCCTAGAATATATTACCTTGTTTTGAATTAGAGGAGTGTTGGAGTCATCATCCAATGCATAAAAAAGTTTCTTAAAATTGAAAAAAAAAACAACACAAAACCTGTTCTTGAAGTACTAATTCCTTCACTTATAGGAAATGCCCAACTTGTTATTTTATTTAAAATATGATTAAATCAGGTAATCAACTGAAATTCTGAAATATGTACAGTAATAGGGCTAAGAATGACTGTCACACAATGCTTCCACATGTATACTGTATATATAGTGTATATGAAATGAATTATGTTATTGAGTTGAATTGTTATGTAATTAATTTTGTTCTCTATAGCATTGTTAAAAGTATTTGAACCTAATTAAAAAATCCTACAATTTTCCAGAAACATGATTTGTGCTTAGTGATTTTAAAATTCCACAAAGAAATTATTCTGTTCTTTTTTATACTACTTTTGTCTCAGAATGTATTATAGAGATATATTACCATATCTGATTGAATGAATCACTTTACTGTCCTATAATCCCAAAACCTCTTTTATGAACAAATTTACTTAATGATATACAGTACACAATGTCGACTTAAATATTTAGTAGGTCTCAATCTCAGAAACACATGCAAATTGCATTCAAATCTTTTGCACTGTGTAATACATGCAAAGTTCAGCAAAATAAGTACTTGTAAATAATAACACATGGAAATATTGAAATACAAAATATTTATAAAATAACAACTGTAACTTGTCCAGGAAAACATATCTTGAAAACAAGATACAACAGAGAAGACAAATGCTGCCCCAATTACATTTTTGCATTGGATGTGGTTTATTTAAAGAGATATAACTACAGTAAGCTTTCATTGCTTGTTATCATCATTCAATTTTTACTGTACAAATCTGCTTTTGTAGCATTTGTTCTCAATAGCTTGGCAACAAACCATGACTTACTGTAAATGAGCTCCTATAGAGACATGTTGACTGAAAAAACAGGAATTTAGACTTCTAAGTGAATGTATTACTCTAAACCTCACTATGATATTATGATACTTCGACTACTTAAACTCTGGCCTAAAGTTCACAACCAAATTTAGAGCTTTAAAAATATATTCTATTGTATATATTTTCATACTGTGTGTCAAGGCTTTGCATTTCATACGGCAACCTATCTCCTCCCAAAATATGTGTATTCAGAAGGTACAGGGATGTAACTTGACCTGTAACTATCCAGCAAAGGTGTGTGGCAGAAACTTCAAGGCTTACCTATTTAATTAGTACCACATTTTGTGTATTGGAGATTAACAAGCCATCGTCAAGACATGGAATTTCCATGTGATCATGTTTGTGTAACGACCTCTTGGGAAGCCATCCACTTAAGGTCACATCTGGGATTTGCATTTGTTTTTCTCTTACAGTGAAAGTTATATCTCTCTGGGACATGTGCAAACACACTGTTGTGATAGCAATAGGCGGGGAATGTGTGTAGAAGTGTTTTGTCGAACGCCCCTGCCCCCTTTTTTAATACTCCAATCCTCTTTGCTAAAGTGACGTATGCTCCTGTCAAAAACAGGGTTAAGCTGGCCAAGTGGAAGGATCTCAGGACAGCAGGGAAACAAAACAATCTCCCTGCCCTTTACTGAACAATCTGCCCCAGAGGCCTGCGAACTAAGAATCTACCGTTCATTGTAGAAGGCAGCTTCATCTGGGACCAGAGTGCTCTAACCAGGTCAGAGGAAACTAGGAATACCTCTCTTCAGCTGAAACCTGTTTATTATGCTGCTTCTGTTCTTATCATCGGATCCAATATTGTTGTTCACTTTGCTCACCATTTCAAGGATATCAGCCCATTAAATCTCTGCTTTGTTTTTTCAGCCTTGCTATGATAGCCAGATAGCGAATATTGCTCTGCTTTCAAACTAGAGTCCTAGAAATTGTTCAATAAAATCTGGAGGATCCATTTGTGTATCCTTCTGTAGGAATAAGAAGGCGAGCAATCTTTTTTAGAAAACTGAAAATATTTTGAAAGTCGTGCATTCCTTTGGCATCAGGAGGACTTGAGGGTTTTTTTTTCTAAACTGAGAGCTGGTTATCCGCATTGAAGAACACGGTGAGAGTTCCAAGGTTTTTGGGGAGGAAGGGTTGGAATTAGGTAATTCGGAATCCCTCACACTGGATCTTGTGGGGATGGAAGGACACGGGTATGACTGTTTTGGAGAAGGGGAGAGAGAGCCCTATCAGATTGATTACCGGCGGATCGTAGGGGACACAGAACCTGCCAAGCCTCGCCTGTCTCCCAGAGAGAATGACCATCATTTCCATGGGTCACCACTCCATGGGAACCCCCATGGGCATGGGCATGAGACAGCGGCCCAGAGGTACAGTGCCACCCGCATACAGGCTGGATATGAGCCAGAAAGGTGAGGCAAACCTTTCAAACTGCAAATCTAAAAAGATACAAACAAGCCGTGAACAAACACTGACCATCCTACTGCTCTGTAGAGAGCAGTAAACTTAATACGATCATTTTCTGTGTTTTGTAGCTGCCTCTTCAAAACAAGGATGCTTTTTGCAGAGACAAAATATTGTAAATGCTGCACTGTTTAAGATTTTGTATTGCTCACAAGAAAGAAAAGAAAATCTCATTAAGCTTGTTATTAGTAAGGTATCAGGTGCTTACTGTACATAATGATGCCACAGTTTTACTATTTATAAATTAAAAGCAGAAATTCTAGACTATAGTAAGGGATCATCTTACGGCAGTTTTAATTAATTGTTTTTGTTAAATACTGCGACACATATTTCTGTGCAGGGTTATGTGATGTGCGGGATGATTAACTCTCCACACAGCATTGAGTTATTGTGCTATGTCTGCAGTACTGCATGTGGCTCATCATGTCCTTTAATTATGCCAAAATGGGGTTAAATGAATGTGGAAATTGGTTTTGTAATCTGGATTATAACATATGTTCTAAAATAGCTATAGTAATTATAATAATTTTCATTTAATAATCATAAATGTCTACATGGAGACCTGCTATGGAAACATTTTTTTGTTTACAGTGCCCCCTATGTCTGGTTTGCAAGCATAAAATACATATTTCAGAGAAAATAAATATACTGAGAGGCATTTCAACTGCAACAAATGTTACTAGTTTCAATACTTGTTGCATTTAGTGTTTCCACAGCACAGTATAGTTTCTTAAGACATTCCTCTAATTGTCATACTGTGCACATCATCATTATTATTACTGCTACCAGTACTGATTCTTTAGGAATTTCTTTTTTTCTTTATTCAATTTGCTGTGACCACTATTATTTGTCATATGCAATTGATGTGACCATAAAAAAACCATGCATTTCAGCAAAGCTAACGAAAATTCATTGATCTGCTTTTATGAATGAAAAAGAATGTTGCAGAGGCATTACAGTTGTACTCTGTTTCAAATATATTTTCTATGTAAATTTTAGGTTGTTAAAGACATTACAGTTCCATCCTTCTGCATGTCTGCAGATCTGATTTATGTTAACAGCATTTCATCTCTTTACTGCCTTTTAAAGATCTGAAAACTTTTCAGCATTGGCAGGGTGATGCATATAGGGACTGAGTCAGCACTTTCAAGGAAGCTCCTGACTGCACTGCCACAGTAATGGGGCAGAGTGTATTGATTCACTGCAGATGCGTTGTTAGAATTATATTACAGTGTTTTGAAATGTTTAAGGGAGTAGGATTATGAGACTAAAAACCTTAGGTTTTTTGGATCTTCTAGGACTGTAACTGTACATGCATTTTTCATGAAGTTGGAAGAAAAAGCTTTTGAAATCTTTTAAGCAGGAAGAATGGAACTGGAAAAAAGATGTAGCAAAGACAGATACAGTCCTTTCACAGCTCTGGAAGCTGACACACACCTGCTGTTTTTTTCAAGTTAATGAATTATTTGAATGTTTCAACGTCTAAAAATGTGGAAGGTGGCCATTACACTATTGCATTTCATAAGTACCAGAACACATCATTCCAAACTTTTCAGTAGAATTTTCTATTAAAGCAACTTGTTTGTTATAGGCTTCAGTTCAGCAAAGAACTCAGCTGGAAAGAAAACCAGATGGTGTGTGTGGTCCTCCTGGACCAGGATTATAGAATCATAGTCCCCTGCAGAAGCCAATTTTTTAAAACGTTTGGAGACACCAACTCAGGAATAGAGGAAGTGGGAGAAGTGAGGGTGAGGACAATATTGTTAATTTTTCTTTCACTCATATTCCTGAATGATTAATATATTTGCATTGATTAACACATAAGCACCTATTCTTTAATAATATATAGCTAAAATTGATTAGGAAGTTGTCTCTTATATGGCTGCTCAGTATGTGCACCCTTTTTTCTTGGAAAGCTGTACAGTTGGAGAGGTTATCTGGGTTGCCTGATAAGTCTTCATAAAGTAATACTACTAGCATATTATATATGTTGATTTCTCAGACTATTTCAAATACATTGAATAGAAAACATATTTGTTGTAGTGATGGAAAATGTGTTAAAATGTAATACATTAGAATATTTAAAGCATATATAAATATTTTGCTTTAATTAATCTTTAGCTCTTGGAATTAAGGAGGGAAATGAATAATCTTTTTTTTCTTGGAGCTGATATATAATCTTTTATAATTCTTTCTTCTCTTCTGTTTTTTTCTACAGTTTTTATAATAAATGTCACAACAAATACTGCAATGCTTTTAGTATTTATAACATTGAAACACAACAGAGAGAAAAAAAAAGAGTTAATCATTTGGGCAGAAGTCCTAGAAAATTAAATGTTACAATGTAATGTTTTAGAAAGATAATTATTCAGGCAATAGACATACATATCCCTCTCTGATATTCCCCTTATGAAGGCAAATATATTGGACTGACATGACACATCAGAGACTATATCTTCATCATTGCTTGTAGTTTATTTTGACAGAGAACGCAGTTATATATTCACAGAAGCACACAGTGTATATGAGAAATGCCTACAGTACATCTTTGGTCTAATATTCTGAATGCCGGTTTCAGATTTATTATGCTGAGTGCAAGGATAAAATTTCTGGCACTTGTGTTCTGACTGTCAAAAGATTTGGGAACATAAAATTCAATTATAAAATTAAATCTAGTGAAATAAATGGAAATGGAAATATGTTATTACTTTTTGTTCTTTTCATGGTTACTAATTAATCAATTGATTCTAGCACAAAAATAATGCTAAAAAAGGTGAGGACAGTTGATGTGGAGTACAAATTAGAGCTGATGCTGGTTCCTTTTCCAGATAAGCATTTTTCTTAAAGCAGTACTTTTTGAAGATCCATTATGACCTGGGTGATCAGTGGAGCAACACATACTGTAGCAAAACCATATTGCATTAATGATTGGCTTTTTCAAGACATGGAGGAAATCTGTTCATCGTATGTACTGTATATACACTGTACACATTATTAATTATTCCTCTCTCTGTTTCCAGACTGTTTTTGCTTTTGAGTTTTCTTATTTGCTCTATGTTTTAACTTTATCTATCTATCTGTTATAGATCTATAGATGTTTACATGTATTTTAAGTACATTGCTATTTCTTTCTGTCAGTGGTCTTGTTCCGTTAACTGCCCATTTTGGTGTATGACATTGCTTTTTTGCTTATCGACAAGCAAGATAATGGAACTACAAAGTCTTTTTGTGCAGCCTGAACAACTTCAATCCTCAAACTTAGAACAAACATGTAGTTTTCTGTTCCTGGTGTTTCTTATGTCTTCCCAATAGAAAATTTGAAAGTAAACCTGTTACCTTTAAGAAACAGAAAATATTTTGTGTTAGCCCTGTACCTTCAATAGTTGTAAAAATACATTACAAAAAGGCATCAATGCAAAAAGTGATTACAATGATTGAATCTGCTGAGTCATTTTTATTTTTTTAATAAGAAGTACACTGGGTTGTGGGGAGATGAGTATTAGTGAATCTAATTTATTATAATTTCTTGTCAATAAAGTTTCTGTAATATCATTGCTAAACTACCTTTGGAGATATCTTTAATCATTTTTGTTAATATCGATATAAAGTCCTTTAAATGCAACAAACATTTGCATGAAAAAATATGAATCCACTGTCATTTCCATTAATTTAGTTCATGATTAAATTTGTAAAAAATAAAAGATTTTCTTCGCACAAATATTGTTTGATTACATTTTGAGTTAATTATTTTAGTTGTTTAATTAATGGAAGACAGAGCTGATGCCCTGAAGATAATTAATTTACAATTTTATTAAAATATAGGTATAGTTTTGGGAAATTGTTAGGGAGAAATTGTATTTCTTGCCTTGCTTGAAAAATTGATATTCTAAAAACACATCATCGTTGTGGTTATTTAATTCAAGTCATTTTAATTTCTGAAAAGGCAAAGTGATTTGAAAAAAACTATGCTTTAAAGGTTGTGTACTGTATATCTTTTTTTGCATTTTGTACAAATTCTGATAGATACTCACGCTATCAGGTTAAGAAAAAGAAAAAACTGAAAAGAATACAAATAGAACAAAATCATTGCTTTAAAGATCTTCCATACACTGATAAACACTGATATATATCTTGTGGTCCATATTTGCTGGAATGTTTTTTTCAAATTTATGAAATCCTAGATTTATCGAGACAATTTCTGAATTATTTAAAGCACATTAAAATGTTGATCTGATCATCCATCTAAAGCATGCATTAAATGTTCTGTATTGTTGAGGTGAGGGATATACCCAGATATCCATGATGCCTGGTGCAATACTAGTGTGCATCCCAAAACAGTAGTTCTCAATCTGGGTTCAGTGGACTCATGGAAGTCATCAGGGACTGCCTACAGTTCCTCCACAAATAAATCATAAACTTTTCACCACTGAAATAGTAATGATTGAACCTGTCCAACCCTGGGTTGGATAACCCAGGTCAGTTGTACTGGGATATACAATATATAATTGATCAATATAATTTCACTTCGTTTCCCACAGCATAAGCAATCCATAATAAGCTATTCAGAGTTTCTCTCCTGGTATTTACAATAGTCCCATCTCAAGTCAAGACTTTGAATAGTGCTCTAGTTAAGCCCTTATTGGCCCCTAAAACATGACCTGGACTAAAATTTGGTCATTAAAATATTTTAACATTTAACATTTAATATTTAAATATTAAATAATTATTTGTCATTTCATCTCACTTGAAGCTATCCAGATACTAAAAATACAGTTTCATCATGACTTAAATCAGGTCTCTGTTTATGGAATGTGAAACAATAAAAGATCAAATAGAAGAATCTATTGCATAACTGCTATACAAGGATGGAAGAGGTGCAAATATTGATAATTTTATCTGAGGCTTTGTTTTTTAGAAGCATGTGACTTGTTAAGCAAGCTTTCTGTGTGTGCCCTCGTGATGGTGGTCTTGTGTCATGTCCAGGGCATAGTCCTTCCTTTTGCCTTGTGCTTTTGGGTTTTCATAACCCTTAACAGGAGTCAATAATTTCTCACAGTGGATGGATTTTTAAAATCTATTATATTTTATATATTTATATATATAAATTATATTATACAATTATATTTTGTACTGTATGTATATCGAGTGCTGGGCAAAATACACAAGGATTTATACAAATAGTAAAAATCTGTAACAGATTCTTTGTAACAATTTATGATGTGTCCACAGTTGAAGTAAATGACAGCTCTCTAAGTCACACTGGAAACCAAAGTAGTTTATATGTATCACTACACATGTGTTATAGATTCTCTTTATCTATGAACTTTCAAAAAAAGAAACCCCAAATTATAGTAAAGAGTATTTCAGTCTTTTATTATTCATAAAAATTCAATAATATTATATTATTTTATTAAGAGGTTTTCTTAAACATGTAATGTAAGGTTAAATTACCAATCTAGACATAATATAACACTTTTTCCATGTTTGAACAAAGTGTTTTATATTTTGCTATTTTTCTAACAAGATGAAAGTAATTTCCATTTTCTTTTCAACATCTGCGGGGGGGTTCCACGAAGAAGAATGATCGATATATGCTAGTGGAAAACTTCATGCAACAGAAAGTTTCTTGTGTTAAATTTATCGAACTAGTAAGTCAGCACTTTGACAGGGTAGCTCTTTATTTCATGCACATCTCCCAGTAACTGCACAGTGCAGATAATCAGATTAGAATGGAAAAAAAACGAAGGCATTCTAGGTTCACAGGGGCCTTCATATTCTAACTGCCACTGTTCTGGCTAATTAGTCACATTTAATTGATAACAGCTGACTTTAAATTTGAGTGGTGTCCCCCAGTTCATGTGTCACCAGGTGCTTTTACAAAAGCAGTTTTGTATTACTGTGCCTTTGCAGTTCAAATAAATTACAGAGCAGGGGAAGAATTGCTGTGTTGCAATTCATATTTATTTGTGTTGGTGTTCATTCTTCTCTGATGCTGTGCTGGTTAAAAGTCTCATTTCCATATTCCGTAGCAGGGGTCTCCAACCCTGCTTCTGGAGAGCCTTGATAAAGCATGTTTAATCACCAATTTTTAAATCCCTGGAATACCTGGACAGGGATCAGCTACACTGGTGATTTGGAGATCATCGCCATCACCATCACTTTCGATAACCGTTTATCCAATGCAGGGTCTTGGTGGCCTGGAGTCTATCCCAGGAACCATTGGGCACAATGCGGGATTCCCTCTGGATGGAATGCCAGTCCATTATACACACAGACACAAACATACAGTACACACCCACACCAGGGCCAATTTCACATACTCCAATTAACCTACCAGCATGTTTTTGGTCTGCACCTGGAGGAAACCCCTACAAACATGAGGAGAACATGAAAACTCCACCCAAACAGCACCCCAGGAACTGAGTCCAGAGTCCCAGTGCTGTGCTGTGCCGTGCCGTGCCGTCATGGCAGCCATTTGGAGATCATTTGGGACAAAAATAGAAAACTCTTCAGCTCTTGCTTAATTGATCAATAACTTCCACGTAATCCTCATGTTTTGAAAACAAGTGATTCAAGGTGACCTATAAGATTAACTGCACTGCGTTCCTCCAAGCACAGGGTGCCTAATCCTGAAGATTTTTGATCCACTCATATTTGTTAATGGAATTACAGTTCTTATTTTTCTATTTGGAAATTGGGAGATTTTAAGTAATTTATGAAAAGCCGAAGATAAAAGGCAATCTCTAAATGATTCAAGATCTGAGAACAATTGAAGAGTTGTCGAATTAATCCTGTTAATCCACACCTCTTCTACAGGAAGCCTTGGCCTGATTAAGGAAAGTTGTTGTATCATATACTGTATTAGTTAAAAAAAAGGAAACATCTCCATTTTTAAATGTGCACTTAAGATAACAGCATTTCCTTTCCCTGGACCCTTGTGCAATAGCGACATGAAACATGAAAAACAGTTTGAACCTATTTTCTGTTATTTCACTTTCTGCAATTAGTATATTCTAGTGTTTCTGTCTTATTTGTGAATAGAGTTTCAGAATTTGTAAATAATTTAAATTTACCTCCTATTTCAAATGTTAGACAAGCCTGGTAATTTTGGTGATAATCTGGTAAATTTCTTCATATAACAAAATGGACAGCCATCGATTTCTGGTACTATTGCATGTACAAACGTGTACAAAGACGTTTGACTGCATTACTATTAGCAGAGGTACCAATGTGGTGAAAATATATTTGAATGCTATGTGGTATTACTGTCCATACTAGGGCTTAATGATGCCCCGTTTTGGACGATTTACACGCTTCTCTGAGGCAATTCAGCTGACGAAACTGAAAGAGTTAATAAACAACGCCTCCACCATTCTCCTCTACCACGTGTGATTTCTGTCTTGTAGTAGAGAGGATGTGACGCGTGTACAGATCCAGCTTTCATTGCGCTGAATAACGAGTTGAGAGGGAGCCACGAGCACTCATTAGAGGCATCTGGGTAGTGTTGTCTGTGTAGCGCTGAAATTGGGTCAGAAACGGGATAGGTGAACTGCTGCGTTTCGTTTATTTTACCTCCTTTTGCTTGCTGTTTGGACTCGGTTTTGTTACAGTCCGTAACATAAAGTTTGCTGCTGCTAAACCTGGGGGCATTGTGAATAGCCTTTGAATGAGAGGAAGACAGCGGTATTGAATATTTATCATCTACAAGGTGTAGTGTCTTTTTTTATTATTACGTTTAAACGAGCATGTGTTGAGGTTGTGTTTTTATGATCGCCCAGGAACGCTACTCGCCGCATTATTCTTTCCTGCAGCCGATTGTAGAATATGTTCAAACTGTTTTTTTTTCTTTCATTTTTGATAGCACTATTTTTATTTTCGGTTTGTTCAATGACAGGGGAATTAAAACGTTTGGCCCCTTTACGATCTGCAAGGCACGTACAAAAGAAAATAATGAAAACGCAGTCTACCTCGCATACTTAGAAATGTAGCTGCTTGTTTCATACCCACATGGGTGGCATCGGATGATGAAACATCTTCTGACATCGGATTTACTGGTTGTTGTCACTGGGTTTGTATGGCTTGTCTTTCCGTTTTATCGGATTCAGTACACGTCGACCCGTGTTTCTGTTGTCTTATAACTAGAATTAAATGAAACAAGGCGTGTCTTATTGATACATCTAGCTCATGTACATCTTTACGTTTTTACGTGTCTAAATCGAATTATTATAAAGGGCTTTTTGTGTGAAAGAAGGTTTGTATTTTCATTTAGTTATGTTCCACAAGAGCTTGTTGTCTGTTTTTCTCAGTGGAGAAAGAGATGGTGTGGCGTGCGCTCGTGTTTATATGTAATATAGGTCACCAGGCCAGCAGATCCGGGCTGAATCTGTGCCAGTGTGCGACAAACGCCAAGCAACCAAAAGTGTCTATTTTCTCCTTCTCTTTCCCTTCTTGACACTTCAAGTTGTCCACGAACGATACATACCGAAAGCTTTGAAAGGTAGTCTTGCACATCGCGAGCAGTGCCCCGATAAAGAAGAACTTGTGCAAATGTTCTTTATTTTTTGTCATTTCATATTAATACTTTCCCCAGTAGGTGATGCATTTGGTTATTGGTTGACACGGGGTGATGATTGAATCAGTTTGGAAGCATCATTTGATTGATATACAGTAAATACTGTTTTGGCCGATGTTTAATTGAGGGTTAGGTTTTGATGAAATGGACTGTTATTTAAAAATGAGTAATCTAAACCACAATAAAATATTTGGTTAAACTATCTTATGTCATAATTCTATACTTTAATTTTTTTTGTCTTTTTATCACTACCATAGCATGGCTGATTACCTGATCAGTGGCGGCACAGGCTATGTTCCTGAAGATGGACTCACTGCACAGCAGCTCTTTGCTATTGGAGATGGTCTCACTTACAAGTAAGTACTGTAGTTTCTGGTTGTTCTGATGAGTATGTCACCCATGCACCAGCGCATATAATGGGAAAAACGTTTTGAATCGGCAGATCAGCGCATCAATCTGATGCTGATGGACTCACAGCAGAACAGCTATGCTCTAAAGGGGATGGATTGACTTATGAGTGAGTAATCACCTGCTTTTTATTTCTTGGAATCCACGAATAAGCAATTTTGTAATGCTCTCATTAACATTGGATGGGCATAACTTGGTCAAATCTTTCAAGACGATGACTTTCTAATGAGAGAGACTGTATGACTAATACTGATTTCAGAATGTATTTGTTCATTCAACTTTAGGGAAGTTTGATTTGGGGTTCACTCATTCACCTCTTCTACATTTTTTCTTTTTTGTACCGAGGTTTTTGCTACAAATTAATGTGATATGAAGGAAAAAATGTGGGTCTGTGATTAAAAGATGTATTTATCTTTGCCATGTGAGTTCATGCATATCCGTATCTGTCATTCATATAATTTTTGTCATGTGGGATCTTAATTGTAGAAGAATTGATCTGAATTACTGTCAGAGTGTCTGTGGTTAATCTTTTAAAAAAAGGGGAAGATTTCATTTGTAACGCATGCATCTAATTGGGAAATTAACTGAATTATTTAATTGAGTACTGAAGCCTGCCTTTAATCTAATCTAAGAGGATGCATTTCACATGATGAGCTAGTGTCTCGGTCATGTGAGACCATCTATAAAGACTACCAAGGAGCTTATAATTTTCAGATTCTTAGTTTTTCTTGAAATTTTATGTAGTTGTACCAAATAACTCCCTTTTGCTGTAAGGTGTCAAGCATTTTGATTAAATAACATTAAATATTCCTCCCTTTTTTTGTTTGTACTTTGCCTGCACTATCATGTTTTTTTTCATATTTTTTTGTGTTTTTAGTCTATATTTCGGCCTTTTGAGTAAAAAGAAAAATGTTTTAAGTTTTTTGTTCCATGTTTTATTAAATATACTGAGCATCATAAGAGATGTATCACTCTATGTATGTGTGTATGTTTTTAGAAAAAAATATTGATTTAGGGTATTTAAGGTATATAAGGCACACTCAAACATTTAAAGTTGAGTCATTGATGAAGCTGAAGCAAAAATTATTGTATTATTGTAGGGAAGGATTAGTTTGAATCGATTGCATATTTACTTGGCATCCTTATTAATTGGTCATTTGTGACTTACTGTGATGCAGCCAAATGACTGTTACATAAGTCTTAAATCTCCTCGTTAGTGAGAGTTGGTTTGGCAGAGGTGATCAGGTAATTTAACCTGTTGAATGTCAAGCCAGGGGAAAAATAAAGAAACAGAAAATAATTACCCTTCTTAAGAAAACCTTACTGCATTTTGGTATGTTGGAAGTCACTTTGGTGATGAATCATGGTTTTGTATGGAACATCCTGATGCAGATGTGCAGGATAATATGACTTTTGTGTACAGCAGACCAATTAGTGGGGTTGTCAAGTGTGATGAGCTGGGCAGGAGTGTGTTGTTGCGAAGGACCTCTGCTTGTAGGAATCGATTGCAACCTGATCGCAAGGCACTGCATTGATCCTCACGTGTTGCTCATACTGACATGACAACATGCCACCAGGACAATACATGCCCTCATGCTGCTTGTGAAACAGCATGTTTCCTATTGAAGAGAATGTGACAGTAATTCCATGGATGCCTCTTACCAATTGGATTGAATTTGTGGAATGAGTAGCTTCTAGGGCTCGGATACTAGTGTACAGACACATGCTTGTCCAGACACTACTAAATGAATGGGATAGAATCCCACAAGACTGTATTTGCAACACAGATGTACAGCATCCAGAAGTGGCAAGACGCTACTGGTCTGACTTTCACAATAGCTCTCCTGTTGATCAGCAGTTTGGCTCATCTGCTACAAAAATAATTTGAATCATTTAGAAAAAATAAAGAACCATACACTTGGATTACAGGGTAAACTCATTGCATGTTCTCTTTATAACTTGACTAATAAATCCTAAAACCCGCTACTGAGTTCATGGGCTATAAAGTATGTTTGTTGATATTTTGGATATGCATTTATTAACTGGAAAAAAAAATTTCACACCTGAAGCACTGTTTGGATTTTATCAAGGTGTTTTACCTATGAAATGCTTTTGAACCAAGGTATGCAGAGGTTTGTGGAGAAATTACATGGAAAAACGAAGGGGCATGAAATAATTTGATTTGTAAATTTCATACAAATTCCTCAAATCTGCTACACAAAACAGTTCAGCCTTCAGAAATGCCTTTAGAGCATTCAAAATGCTACCCTCTGCTACATTATATTATATAGCACTTATCATGAACGGAAGTGAGTTTTTAAAAAAAAATCACAGCCCTATTTATAAAACACATTTTAATTTTAGGCACACTTTCATCCAGTTCTACAGGAATTGATTTTTAATTGGTTGTGAATTTGTAAATGATTATTTTGGATAAGGGATGGCACAGCATAGCGATTGTTTCTAGACTCCTAATGGGTAGGTGGTTGCTACTGGCAGTGCCTTTAGTTTGAGTGAGCCGATTTTCCCCAGTTGCCTCAGTCCACCCAGCTGTATGAATGGGGACGAGAATTTCTGGGTGTAATCCCTACAATGGACCTGCAGGGGAAGGAGATCCACACTCTCCTTTCTGCTTAACATCATGGAAACCAGAATTAGCGAAACGTGGTACTGGTATGGGAATTACTTGTGCTTTTAGGCCAGTGTATGAGACCTTGCTCAATTTTAAATATTATTGGAAGGTTTTTTTTTTAATTGCGATTCTTTGGCCTTAAGACACCTAGAGAACATTCTGTGCTGATTTATATCTGTCTGCACACCGTATTCTAGACAATGTCTTCTGTAATCAAAAACTGCTAAAACATCTATGGTGTAGATTAGTCTGACATTTTTCTGTGTGTGTGATGTTTGGTGGACAGGTGTCCCCTCCTGGGTATCTCATGCCTTCTGTCTATTGCTTGCCGAGTTATGCTCTGGCTCCCCACAATAAAATGGTTAGAAAATGCATGGATGGCCCAGATGTTCTTCGTTTCACAAATACAGGTGCAGACAACTAGAAACTAAGACCTTTAGACATGTTTTTTTTTCTTGCATTCAAGTGTATGAGTCTCAGGGAAAGCCACGTATGTGCATATAAACGTGATGCAAAACATGCTTATTTCCACGAATCATTTGCAATTCAACGCCAGGCAATATGCTGATTAGGGAGTCTGCTTTCAGCTGCGTGGCAACCTTCAGATGGTATCCATAGAAACCCAGAATGACTTGCTCTGCAGATTTATTTCCTTTTGTAAAATGCTGTTTAAAAGTAATGCGTGATGACGTTTTTGTTTCAGTAAGGATCTTGGCACTAGAAGCTGTACTAATAATTTAGTTTGAGTTACATTTTCATGTTCCCTTATCATGATGGAAAAAAAAGTGCTTAGACAGAATATTTCATAAGTCGCCTCTTTGATATGATGATTTCATTATTCCTGTATACTGTATGCTGCCTGTAAAAGACCATTTGCAAAGAGGAACGTTTTTGAATCCCCCTTATTATTGTTGTGGTTTAAGCAGCTGCAAAATAAAGTGATAAACATGTTTTTAAATGCCATTAAGGTGCCATGCACATGCTAAATTCTGCTGGGGATTGTTGCTTGTCCTTCAAAAGTCACTCTTTCCTTCCTTCAGGCCTTTTGGCTTAAGATCAGAGTGTGCGGTGATTGGTTAATGCTTATTATAAAGTACTGTACTTCTTAAACTGCTGTCGCTTGTTGCTTGTTTTATGTTAAGAAGTAACCAGAAGTTTTAGAATGTTAACTGGTAAATGAGACACACTTTTAAATATGATGACGGACAAGTAATGAAATTTAAAGTTTTTTAATGTTTCAAAAAAAACTTTTAAGAATGTTAATCGTGTATTCAAAGAAAGAATTTGTTCAGGTATCCCTTGATTTTTTTTTTTAATTATTTACGTGTTTGGTCGGCAAGTACAGGGTATTTAAGTGGAAATATATACCACACTGTATATTTGAAAAAATTCTGATTGTGCAGTAAATGCAATGTACAATGCCGGACAAGGACTCTAAATTGGCAAAATAATTGGTCATTTTGAAAAAAACTAAACGGGCACTTAAGGATTCTCATTTTCGGTGCTGATTGTGCCCCACCTTAAAGTTATTTTGAGAACGTTTTATCCATTAAAACCACAAACCGTTAAATGCTTATGAAACAAGGGCAGTTGCTATTATGTTTGTCTTGACTGAACTGCTGACATTGTAACTGGAACGGTTCACAGGTGGCGGTAACTTAGTGTCTCTAATCTTATTGATATGAATTTCATTCCTCCAATAACATAGTTTACATTAGCTTTTACTTTCTGTTTCTGTTGTTACTCAGGTTATATTTCCTAAAAAGGTTCAGCAACGGAGAAGTTATTTGTTGCATGACCTCTTGTCCTTTTAAGACGGTTGTTGGCTAATCACTGCAGACAACTGGATTTTTAGTTTTGAATGACTTATTCACAATGTAAAAGAGACTTCAATACTGACAACAAAAAGCATAACGCATATTGCAGAAAAACAGAACTAAAATTCCTCAGAAAAATGAAAAGTTCTGTTTTTCCAAAGAAAGTGCTGAAGAGGTTAACAGTTATCTTTTCTATTGTGATGTAATTTTCTTATTTATAACCAATTAAATAAACCTAGTTATTTAATCAATGATGGCAAAAAAGAATACTATACAGTATGGCTGTGTTATTTACTATCTCTTACAGTTACAATGTTAAAATCTACAGACAAATCTAAAATCAGAAGTAAAGTTGCCAAGTTTTTATTCACCACCAGAAGATAAATGGAGATTTTTGTTTGCAGTCATGGAAAAGTAAGGAGTCTCTCACCATGGTACAGATAAGTAGAGAAATGCCCAATCCCAGTTCATACCGCAAGATGAGAACCTGTTCCACACAAATGTATATTATGTCTGGCAAAAATTAATAAGCAAATTGTACATTTATAACTGGGAAAAAAAACACTTTTAAAATAGCCTATTTAACTTTAGTGTGAAATTACTGGCTGTTAAGTTTATTTTGGCTTTGCAAGAGCCGTCTTATAAACGGGATGACACATTAGGCTGAGCGTTTCCACTGTGATGTTTATACTGTTATTTTGCTGTATAAATGAAATGACAGTTAGGCTGGAACATAAAGAGCTTGCCATGCCACCTGTACAGCAGGGTTGGTCTTCTGCTTTCAGTTTATTTTTTTGGACTTCTAAAATGAGAAAATTTGATACACCTGTAAATGTTTTAAATGAAGTGTTACTGTATTTGGCACTCACTTTCTCGGAGTACAGTTTGCCAATGGAGAAAGATTTGCTAGGCCAAGTAAAATACTCTAAAATTAAACTTTATGAGCCCTAGTTAAGAGATGTGTCAGGTCCTCTGGCTGGCATTTGTACAAACGGTTTGCCTGAATTTAAAATAACATACTGTGTGAATGCTCTTGTTGGGTTGCTGTCACTTTCAGTTTTTATGAAAATGATTTTTTAGTTTTAAGAATTTTAGAATTATCAACAATTATTATTTCTTGCATTCTTAATGAAAATGACATAACATTGAATGCATTTGTTTAATTACCTGTATGCTATTTAGGTTACATTTTACAGAACTGCTAACCTTGAATTAATTGTCATTTTTTATTTTAATTCTCAAATCTATGAAAAAATACTTATTGAAAAATGAATTTTGAGCTGACCATGTGGACATGATGCAGCATAACAACATATGTGATCTTGTCCGTTAAGGCTTTTGGACTTTAGGTTATAGGTGGTCTTGTTGCTATATAGAGAGGTTTGAGCTCTTAATCTTTCTTTAATGGAGGATTTGTCTTTTGCAAATTGGGACAGGGGCTCTCAAGAGTCAGACTTGGAAAGGACGGAAGGAGTTTCCTTTACAAATACTAAAACTGAAATGGGATGAATGAGAGCCCTCGAAGTGCATACTTCATATTTTTTTTAAAGAGCTTGCATTACCCTCAGTATATAATGTTTGATCCTATTTAAAACTATAAGTAGTTCCTTTCCTTGAGTGTCATATTCTTATTCATTGCATAATAAAGCTACTGTATTTATGAGTGTTTATTGGCTCAATCAGACTTCAAGCAGAGCAGATTATTGGGGGAAATAATACATTGCATTGCTCACTGTCCTGTTTATTTTTTACTTCTCTGTATGCAGCCTTGACATTTGTGTTGTTAGGTATGGTTACATTACTTCTTATCTCGAATGCATTAACCAGTGTATCTTCTATTGGGCTTTGAACCACAATCTGTAAAAGATACTGGTTGTGCTTTGAGGAAATTACTCTTTTTTTTCGTTGTTTTGACATTTCCTGGCCTGGATCCTAGAAAGGCAATAATCTGCATGGCATTAGGTGGCATTTTCTGCTGTGTAATGCATCAACTAATGGACTTTATGTAAACCCACTCCTTGCAGGATTGCATTTGGTTGGTAGCATAAGATCCTTTTTCATGGGTTTTGAAAGATCAGGGTGGATTAATATTCAGTGGAGCAGATAAGCAGGATTTGTGCTTTTAAATTATAGTAACTTTGAAATGGGGAGTATTTTTAGTTGTAGGCCACATGCAACTGGACAGAATATTAGTGGACTGCTAGAATCGGTATTACAGATTTCAGAGAACTCTAGTGGTCTGTGTCCACAAATAAAGGTTATTAGTTGGTAGTTGGTTATTAACTATTTTTTAAATGATTGAATTCACTTGATTGTTTTTATAAGAATTCAAACACGCATTTCCTCCATTTCCACAAAGAACAATAATGACAGGTTCAAGTATTAGCTGTAAACAATCAAAAGAAGATGATTTCCAGATTTAATACACTGATGTAGGCAGTGATCGCTTCAGTGATATTTAGTACAAATTTAAGGGAAAGATCACGAAAGATTACATGCAGAGGTAAAATGACTGGGTAATTTGCATATATTTTATTATATCTTGGTATAGTGTTGCCAGACTTCTGATGTAGCCCCAGACCTACATGTTAATCTGCCACGAATGTGTAAAGTAGCCTTATCAATCACATAATTTGGCCACAAGTCCTCAGGGGTTTTTCACTGTATTTGAATATCTTTTTCTTTGTATCCAATGAAAAGCACAACCCTGAAACTTGTTCATGTACATGACTGTGAGTTGTTCAGGACATGTTTAGCTGTAGAATTGGATTTGCTTAAAAACTGTCAAATAATGCTTTCTTTGAATGCACTTGGCCAGTTGGATTCAAGATTAACATAGGCAGACTTGGTTGGGTTTACTCTCCAGATTGTTCCAGATTGACTAAAACACATAACTGTAATGAGCCAATTGAGTTTCAGGTGTGCTGAGACATAGGAACAGCAGCTATGTATGGGTTATAGTTTTTAATTTTTACATTTTAACCTATGAATGTACACCTTTGCAAACAATGTATCTGCCCAAAGAAAATCGTGAATGGTAATTTAAGTATCCTGTATGTTGTGATGTAATTTATAAAGTGAGTCAATCTCTTTGTATTCTGAGATTCTGAGGACTTTGATTTATTTTAGTTACTGTTTGGTGCTGTAATATTCAGATGCTTATGGCTCTTAAAACTTGCCAGTTATTAGTTATTTATTTTTAATTCATCATAGTCTAAACTAAACCAAACTGCTATATTGAAAACAGCATGTTGAACTACTGTATCTTGGTGTTGGCGTTGCAGTGAAACTCTTAACACAGTGAAAAGAAAGACGTTGGTTAGTAAAGTGGTACAAAGGACACAGGCAGTAGTCTACTGAGCAATGGAAAAGAGTAATATGGTCAAATGAATCATCCTTCACACTGTTCTGAATGAGAGGGTGAGTACCTGTGTGGCACATGTGAAAAGAAAAGGCTCTAGTGCTTGTTTCCCCGCTGTGAATGGCTCTAGTGCCTCTGTTATGGTGTGGGGTGCATTTTCCTATTTTAGCTCTGCTCAATCCCTTAGAGAGCAAGGTGCAAGGTGCTAGTCTTCCAGGATGACAATGCCCCCATCCACAGGGCACATGTGGTCCCTGAATGGTTTGATGAACATGAAAACAGTGTAAACCTTATGTCATGACTGTCTAGGTCACCAGATCTCAACCCAATCGAACACTTATGGGAGATTCTGGAGCGGTGCCAGAGACAATGATGATGAAAATGATGGAATTTCTTGAAATGCTGTCACATTTCTCCAGTAGGGTTCAGACACGTTGGTGTTGCCTTTACTTGAGCAGTTACCTGTACATTCTCCATATGTTTCCCTTTAATGTTAAACTGAAATCTTCTCCATCAATATCTCGGTATAAAATAAAAGCTGAATGACAAATATCTGGAGCATATGATTCTAAACTGCTTATTTATCCTTATCTGTGCAGTATATCACTTTACATATAACTTTGCACCTTGCAACATTATCAGTATTCAAATTTAGTTCCCAGTAACAATTATCTATTTCTTCATATCTGTTAGGAACATGCAAATATTAGTTCCAAATCTACCCTGAGTTATTGAGATCTATGTAGCCAGTACACAGTGTTCTTGCAATGTGCTTTGCAGGACTAGGTGAAATATTTTAATTGTTACTCTACCTCAATCACCTACAGAAAGCATTTCCAGAGGCTACTGTTGCTGCCATTGGTGGCCTGATACATTAAAGAAGAAAAAAACATTTGAAGGTTACAGGTGACGGCATGTGTTAAACTTCAGAAGTTTTGTATTTCAAAGGATGAGACCATTGCAGGTTTCTAGAATGCTGCTTATAATAGAACTGTAGACTTCGCAATCCACCCTTGTTAAGGAGGGGTGGTGATGGGTTTAGCTAGTTACAACACTTAGTGTGGGCAGATATTGGCAAGCTCTTATGTATGGGCTGGGACAGACTGTGAGCCATCTCAAGAATAAGGCTTCTTTTATTTAGTCAGCCCCTTGGTTGTATGCATATGTCTGTCTGTCAAGCCACAGAAGTCTTGGATCTCAAAACAGCAACACATCTTTTGTTTTTCACTTTGCTTAAATTTATACATGTAAAGAGATGTATGCAAAGTAATATAAAAAATGTTGAACAATAAAACTCATATTCCTTTGATGTATCCTTAACATGTTTTTATTTCTTGGCTAACATGTATTTAACTCTCAGACTATATCCTGAAGGGATGTCTAGAACAGATAAATATGCATCAAGAAAGGCAGTACCTTTTTCTTTAGGTAATATGTTGAAGTTTTTAAGAGAGAATTTCTAACTTATGAGGAGTCAACAGTCTTTAAACCACTAGGCTATTTTAGTTTTTAATTTATGCTTCTAAGAACAGATGTAATGCTATGGAAATGAAACCCACATGTGCTGACTGACGGATTGTATGGTGCTTTCCCTGCTTTTGAGCTCATTTAAACTTGTGTGATATTGATGCAGAAATCCTAAAATGCCGAGAGAGAAACCATAAAATCATAAAAGCTCGAAGGTAGAGCTTTTTTTCCCGTTTGCAACACAGACACAACAGTTGCCTTCTCAAACCTTCACCTTGAAAAAATAAACTTTTACTGTATTTGAAATTGTTGAAAGTGTAATCCAGCAAATATGAAAGCCAATTAAATGTGTATTTTTTTGCGCTACATCCTTTATAATCTTTCCTGTATTTATGATTTGTACATTTTTTAGTCTGTAATGTTAATAGTTTTTTCCTAGTCTTCCCACTACATCATTATAGGGATTGAGACTATGATGCAAATATATGATGAGACTGAATAATATTTGCAAAGGAAAGGGTCCAAGTCTCCCCTGCAGGTTAAATCCTAGCAGATTTCACATTCCAAAATAAATGAAGTATTTGGGTGATCTAAACATTGTGAAATTAGCGCCCTGAGTGTGGTTTAGAATACAAGGTTTTTGTTTGTCATGGTGCTCTTCTTTTTAAATAAACTGCTTAAATATAAATGAGCTTTGAGCAAACAACCCAAAGTTTTATAATACAACCTTTTCAGCAAATTAAATTGAACTCCTGTTCTTTTTGTTTATAGCGATTTCCTGATCCTTCCAGGGTTCATTGACTTCACTGCCGATGAAGTGGTGAGTAACGATCTCAGGATTAGTTACGTCCTTATGAAGTTCTCTTTATTGACAAGCAGTTGAGCAGGGTATGCAAATATTGTTAGCTGCAGTATACTGTAGTAAGTTGAAACCTGAACTGAAAATATTTGGAATATTGCCTTGTGAATCCAGAGAATACTAAATGGGTTCAATGCTAAATATGCAAGGTATACATGCATTGAAGATGGTGACTGATGAAGAGAGATATCTAGTGCCTTGTATCATACTCCTATCCACAGAGGCCTCCAAATGAACACCTCTGATGAAAAGGGAACAGAGGATATCGAACAGATATTTAATGTACACTTAGTATACAAAACATTAGGGAAACCTGCTCTTTCCTTGAATTAGACTGACCAGGTGAATCCAGCTAAAAGCTATTTGATTTCACATGTTAAATCAACCTCACTCAGTCTAGATTAAGGGAACCAGACAGGTTAAAGAAGGGTTTTTAAGGATTGAGACAATTGAGACATGCATTGTGTATGTGAGGGAGAATGGGCAAGGAAAAATTCGTAAGTGCCTTTGAACGGGGGTGTTATAGTACTGTAAGTGCCAGGTACGCTGGTTTGAGTATGTCAAGAACTACAATGTTTTTCTGGAATGATCCACCACCCAGGAGACATTAAGCCAAAGGCCAGCCAGCCGTCGAAAACAGGGTGGAAGAAGGCTGACACGAATTGTGCAGATTCAACACACAGATGGTCTACAGTTAGTCACCTGACAGTACAACATTGGTGCTGAAAGACCCGTAAAAGAATTCACACCTTATTGCACTATACAACACGAATGGGGTATGGCAGCCAACAACCTTACAGAGTTTCACTTTTTTCAGCAAAAAAAAGAAACTTCATTCCCTTAGTCCACTGCAACTGCAAACATTGGACACTGGAGGATTGGAAAACCTTGCCTGGCCTGAGGAATTCTGATTTTGTAGTTTTGTACGCTCAGTGTATTTAACGGAACACAACAGAGTTACAGGTTAGATAATGTCTTGCTTAATTCTGAAAGTTTTATACTGTGATCTTAATAGCATTGCACAGTTATTTTTTTTATCATAGCTGGATTTTTTAAAACATTTATATATAAAGTATTCCTTTAAAATCCACATGAAAACAGATAGACAACACCCTTCTGCTCTTTGAGAGTGCAGTTGGTCCAAAAAGAACTTTTATCTCTGAAGATGTGTTTCCCAGAAGTATAAAAGGAGGCAAAACGTGGAAGACATTAAGCAGTAGCATACTGCACAACATTGTGGTTATAGTTGGATTGCTCTCTGAAGCCTGTACGCAAATAGCCATTGACCTTCACAAGGTGGGAAATGGCTGTAACAATCTACAAAAATCGGGATCTTCTGTAGTGTCCAATGTTAAGAAATGTGGCTCCTTTATACTACTAGACTACATTTATCTTTCTACTGCGAGACAAGTGGTTTTTGGAGGCAATGAGAAACCCAAAGGCTAAGTAAGAGATCTCTTACACAAATTTGACACCTTCAGGATACAAAGCCTACTACTTTAATGTAGTATGGTCAGATGAAATGCAATTGAACTTTTTGGACATGCTCATTAGTGTTTCTGCTTGATATAAAAAAAAGTATGAAGTACAGAAGTTTGAATAAATGTGATCCTGCTATTCTTTGGATTAAAATTATGGCTTTAATCTGTGCAGTGCTATTAAGGTTACAGTATGACATTTGTTTTTCCAGAGTGACACATTATTCCATCTGTAAAAGTTTATTATACTATTCTATTACTATTTCATTGAGTATGTTAAGAACACAGTATATGTAAAGCCTAGGGTTGTGATATAGTCTTACCTCTAGGCACAAATGTGAATTCCGTTTTCATCTATAAAGTTAAGATGAAAATAATTCAGATTTTGTCAAAACTAAAAAAACAATGCATCATGTCCTGATAAAGTAGGTGCTAATAAGATGTTGCATTTGACAGAATTTCTAAAATTATAAATGCAACAAATCTCAAATTCAGTTTCAGGATGATTCAATTTAGTTTGTGACATACAAACTTTAAAGCAGACATACAGTACATCATCTCTTTTGGAACTTTTTTTAACTATTGACGTCTCGTTGTACATGTTATATAAATTTGAAAAATGAACTCATCCCATTTTCCAAGTAGGAGGTATTTTCATAGGATTCTGTATGTTCAAAGATGGTTAAACTAAAAGTATATTGGCATCATTAAATTTTTTTTATGTACCGGGTTCTCCATTTCATAAACTTTTAAAGATACTTTTAAATAAACCTTTTTTACACATAGAAATAAAATACAGATTTTTTGTGGATGTATGCTCATCTGCAGCAGTATCTTGAGACAAACTATTAGTTATACAAATTATTGTAATACAAGTGCTACATCCTCCTTACAGTAAGAGAAAAGACAATTTTTATAAGGAAAAGGGCTTGTTTTTCAGTCGGATATCTATGAACATAAGAACAGTTACAAATGCAGAGAGGCTCTTTGGCCCATCTCACTCGTTTGTTAATAACGAACAAATCCCAGGTGTTTCGTCATTTTGTTCTTTTTATAAATTCTGTAGTGTTGATCACATAAATGAAGTGCAGGCTAAAATTTTTTTTTTCTAGGTAAGCTTACGAGTTGCCCATGAGAGACCTCTATAGATGGTTGTTATAAATTAATGAAAACATCATTGTCACGTTAATCCCTCTCCTGTTAATTAACCAAGGAAACAGGTGTTAGCTGAGCCACAAACAGCAGTTAGCTGAGCTGTCCAAGATTTTGCCTTGTTGCAAAGCTAAGGGACTGGAGGTGTTGGGACATGTAAGTGTCTGTGTTTGAGAAATTTAATTGTTGATGTTTGCAGAAAGTCGTGATGTGGTTTTCTTGGAGCCCTAGTTGGATAAAATGTATAGTGGCCGAATAGAGTAGCAAAATTAAAAGACTGGAACACATTTAAAAAAAAATAATCCATTTTATGTGCCTTTTTTCTACTTTTTGTGGCTCATAACATTTGATGCTGCTGGCTGTTTTTGCATATTCTAGTCTTCTGTGTAATATAAATGTGCATAGGATATGCAGAAAGTATTGCATATTCATTCATACTATTGCCTACCTACGGTTAATATAGTACAGGCAGTGGTTTAAAGTCTGCAATTTAGTTTTTCTTCTTTCAAAACATTTGGGCACATCTTTTTTTCTGCTTAGCCTAGTTCTTTAAAAGGTTTTTTTTGGCCTGACTAATCTTCCAAATTCAAAGTTGCTTTTCTTAGAAAATCTTAAATTGATTATTTAATTGCTCAAAGTATCCCATCCCTAGTTCCTTGTTCTTTTTGTAATACCGGCAAATTGACTGACATTGTTATTATGATTACTTCAGTTTTTAATGGAAAAGAATAATGTGATTAAGATTTTTTTGTTTCATTTTTGTTTCATTTTGCTGACAAACGGTCATTGAATTTTTGATGCTGTAGAACGCCCTTTTAGATGAATTGCTTGCATTTCAGTACTCTCAGCCATCAAGGGTTGGACAGTACATGCTTGATTTCTTTTCATTTTTTACATTCATTTAATATTTGGCGACCTGTAAAAATAAATCCATAAGGTTTGAAGCATTGAAGAGCAGGATTTTGACATTCATCCTGCAAACATTAGAACATTAGTATTGTGATCAATTAAGCAAGTGATTGTGAAATAAGACTAAAGGTAATTTGGGAACACAATCTTGAGTAACCTTCAACCCCCAAGATTTTCATAGCAGAATATATTGCTTATTTTTTTCATTTTTCCAACTGCAAACTTTAGAACCTCGTGGTTTATGCAAGGTTATGTTAATCTTTATAGACATATTGCTATACTGTTTCCTTTGAAGTTGTTGTACTACCTGATTTCCAGAAAAATATTGCTTCCTTATAGGGTTATATTTAATTAACCATGCAGATTTTTCCTTGTAGTCATTAAGAGTGATACAAGTCAAAGTTAGATGTTCACTTTTCTTTTAAAAAGAGAAAACTGAACATTTCAGCTGTGTTCCAATATTCCTTATTTTCTACTTGTTCCTTGGCAGCTTGTGTGCTGAAGCAGATCCCCACTCTGTTTTTCTGTAGCAGTCTTTAAATGAGCTCTGCATCTTGTCTAGCTTGCTCTATCACATTGTTTAAAGCCTGCTAAAAATAAATGAATTTGTGACATGCCTTATCCTTTCTCTTCATAGTGAAGTCCACTTAACCGATCACTTTCTTACTTGAGTATTAGCCTTGGCGTCATCCGACAGAGTTGCGCACACATAATCCTCGATGTCCAGTGACTGCTGCCAGGTCGGGGTGTCTTTCTGTCTCTCACAGAGTTCTTAATTGAAATGCCGCCCCCCCCCCCCCTTGGGTAATGTGCTTTGCAAGGCCTAAAGAATTAAATTGCGTATACTTCTCTATACTTCATGCTATATTTCTCAGGTATGAGGAAATGCATACCATTATCAAAAAAAATAGTCATGTACTGTATTTTAATGTTTCTTACAGATTGTTTCCCTGATCATTGAACCTTTTATGGGGCACTCTATAATTGCGTTTTTGTAAGTGTAATGTCAGGGTGGTTGGATGTTACAAGTTCATTGTTTTAGGTGACTGCGAATGTTGCAGTGTGGAAAGGAACTTTATACTGTCCCTTATTTCTGTTGACCAAGTTGAGTGCATTGAAAAGCTCTCAAATAGTCTGAATTCTCTTGAAACTTGATTTTAATAGTGCAACATTTGTCTTTTCCAAGTTCCTTTAGTTAGCATGTTACTTACAGCCCATTTTTAGATGTAATTTGAGAGTTAAAAGTTCTTGAAGCTGAGCGTTCAAGAGATAAACCAAGTACATTATTAATAGATACATTTGCTGTCATTAATGTACTCTAAGGAATCAAGATAAAAAGTAATAGATTTTCCCTTTATTTTCCCCTTATTTTTTTGCTCAGACCAGGTTCATAAATATTAACGTTAAAATGAGCTATGTAAATTATTAAACTTTATTTATAAAAAAAGTATTTGATTTTGGAAGGCTTGTGTGCGGGTGAAACTTGACAAGTCTTGTTAGGTCTTGAAAAAGTGCAGTTTCCTTTGAAAGACAAATCACAAAGGAAGCAGATCGCAGCACAGGGTTTATATCAAACAAGTGTGATGTGTTGCACCAGATTTAAAATATCAAATACAAATGAGAAAGCTTTAATGTAGTCTGTGGTAAAAAGGTGAAATTCACTTAGATTACTTAATAGAGTTATGACTCCATTGAACTGGAATGTAGTAGCTTTTCTTATTAATCTATTATTTCCTGTTGAATCTGCGATCGTTACTCTTCTTTAAGCAGATGACTCTGTCTCTGAGTCAGGTCAATCAACACTGTCATAAATTACTTAATTCACAAAGTAAATTTTGTGATGATCCTGAAGAATTCAGGCCAGGTCAAAGAAACCAAGCACTCAAGAGAATTGTAACTGGCAGCTTGCTATAAAAGTCAGGCCATGAGCTGTTGATCTTGGGTTCTGCTCCAAGTGGTAAGTGTCATAAATGGTCAGTCAATTACAAGAAATTTGTACTTTCAATCCTTTCCGTGTAGGATCGATGCTGTACAGTGGGCCATTCTATTATTGAGTTATTGCTCAGTGTTATTTCTACCACCTATGTATTGTTTGCTGAAAATGCACTTTCTTTTTAAATAGGAATCTAACGTGTTTTATACAGACGTTTTATTGCAACAACATTCAAGTTTGTTTGAACATCCTATTTCAATCACGGCTGTCATTCATTTGATTTTGGGTGTAATTTTCAGATTGCTGATTATGGTAGTAAATATATAGGTTGAGCATTATGTAAAAGATGCAGGGGTAGCTTAGAGGAGCTCAGAAATTAAGTAATATCAAAGAACTCTACAGATTATAACTTTAAGTCAGTCTTTATTTGATGATTTTAGCTTTATGTGCAGTGGTTTGTTAGTTCTTTTTTAACGTTACTGCAAGTGGTCTTAAAAGAGAAAATGACTTTCCTGTTCTGATTTGTTTCTGTTTGGAGAAACTTAGTTCAGTTCTTATATCATTGGGCTATTTCTGCTTTACATTTAACACATTGTGCTATTGTTTCTTTTGTTTGCCTTCTGAATAGTCTGTTTTAAACAGATGTGATGTTTAGTTAAAATTTGTACATCCAGTACTGTTTAAATAAATCTTCATTGATAGTAGAAGTCTTATAACTGCAGTTACACTGTATTTAAAGTGTATGTTGAAAGTGAAATAACACCGGAAAAGTCTCTCTAGTCACTTCGTGGGGCTTGGCTGTGTTGATCACGGTTTTGTTTTGGGAATTCGGTTTGAGTGAGATAGGACAGGAGGCTTGTCAAGGCCAGTTGTCTGGGTCAGGGATCTTAATCTGTTTAGGAAAGCCTCTCGACCTCCATTAGAACCCTGTGAAGGTCACTAATAATAAACAGACACAAAACCTTTCCCTTTCCCCATAATATTTTGTCATACTGCATTCTCTGTGTGTTTACCATTATATTTATATATATGAAAAAATCACATACTGTAAAAGCTTGAAGTAAGCTAAGTTTTATTGTTACTTAAATAGTTAATATATCAAAATGCTCTCATTGTCAAAGTGACTGCTTCATCCAAGATGACCTACAGTTCGGAGAGCCAACTATAACTACTGTATAAAGAATAAATACAAGAACCCTTAAACCACTACTGCCACTACAAATTAGGTATCAAAGTGTGTCATACTATAGCAGAAAGTGCAAGTTTACATTTAACCACCACCACTTCCACAAAGAAGTTCAGGAGTGTTGACAGACAAGACAAGCCAGTTTTACCTGGCTGGTTTAGATTGCAATCATTACCGACATTTGTTTCATGCTACATCTTGCACACATCTCTTCTGGCTTTGTCGCACTCATGCTGCCTCCACCATTGCAGCTACCCCTTGGTTAACTCCTTCCTCTGAGTAGAGGATCGAGCCTACGTGTCCGGTGGCCAGGAAGTTACCTCTTTATTGAACAGGTTAAATGTTTTTCGCTTAAATACTTGGACATTGTTATTCCTCATGAATTTATTTTTCTTTGTACCAGTTACAGGGGTTCCTGCACAAAATGCTCTCTTTTAGGCCTTAGCGGCAAACTGGCTGGGGTCAATTACACATCACTAAATTGCAGATTTTAGTGGTCACATTGGTGAAATTTATAGTATTGTTAGGCAGAAGTGCCCTCTGGTGGATACATTTAAAATTTTGTGCAATGTAAATTTTATACTCTGTTTTAGTTCTTTGCATTGCAGTCATACCAAACTTAAAATAAAACATTTTACACTGTAGGGGTGTAAGGTTTGGTATTTATATTGGATATTTTGAAACGTATTGCTAGTTATACCTGTGCAGAATAGTTTTAGGCACTTTAGAACTTGGCTGGATGGCTGTGGGCTTAAGTTCCAACTGAGGACACTGGAGCAGCTGCTGTTCCATTTGAGGAAGGTACGTGGCCCAGTTTGGCCAAGTCCCAAAATTTGACTGTAAAAAAATAAGTAATTTAGGTAATCAAAAATTCTGAGGATGGTTAAAAATGGGTGCCATGTTCAAATTAACAATGCTTCTGCTATGTCTACACTTTTTTTTTCCCTAACATGTTTTACAGCCTGAAGCTGATGTGTTGTACGAAGTTACCCCTAAATCACAACTAAGATTAATAACCGCTGACATAATTGTCAACGGTGACAAAGACACATTTACAAAATGTCTTTAAAAAAACATGCACTTTCATTATTCATACCTGCAGAACAACTGCCTCAGATAAGCATGAAAGGGGGGCTGCTTAGTAAAAAATTAACTTGTTAAATTACTACTAGTCACACATGTTCAAAATGATGGCACATATATACTGATGGAAAAAAGAAATGCAACTCCTCCTCCTCCTCCACACTCTGGCCCTCTTGTCTGCGTGGAACAGGCTGAAGAGTGACTCATCTGTGAAGAGGACCTGATGGCACTGCTGACAAATATCCATCACAGCCTCTGTCTGGTCCAAGCCAGTCGGGTGTGACGTCTAGATGTGAGCGGAGGGCAGTTCCGGCAGTTTCAGCAGCAGTACGGGTGGCAGATCTGAACTGATCTCTCAGATGAATCAGACTGATGTGTTAGTCCTGCAGTGGTGTGGTCACTCAAGGGCAACCGGATCTTGGATGGTCTACCGAAACCTTCTCTGCAGTCGGGACACAGTGGAGCGGCCTACTCCATAGTGTCTGGCAACGCTGGCACAAGACATGCCTGCCAATAGCCCTCTCCCTTGCTTCTGGTGACATTATGGAATGCACAGAAAACTAAGTGTCCTTTTTCTTGCAGTGACCTAAGCTTTGAGATAAGGCCTTTTTAAAGGTGTCCTGATCAGGCATTGTTCCACCTGAACCTCATTGGGTAAAAGTGCACCTAACAAGCTTTTGTGTGATTGACAAGTTGCAATGCCTCACTCCACAAGCTGTATTGCTGGTCAGAGGGCTTAAAACAAATTGTGAAAGTACGTAGGCTATAACTATAGTATTCTCATTCAAAAAAATGTTGCAATTATTTTTTTCCCCATCAGTATATAGAATCCAAATTGTTTTGGAGCATTACATTACTTGTTGAAATTAAAGCTATTTGTCCCACTTGCTGCTTGTTTCTTGTTGATTCATCCACAGTTTAAAACACCATGTTTATCACCGTCTGCAGCTGGATTAAAACAACAGCACAGAATTCCAGTAGGAGTAAAATGAAGGGTGATATCTGTTTAGGTGCATTACCCCTCTGTATACTGCATTATACTAGTACGTCTTAAATCTGAATCATGCATCTTTAATTTTGTGAGACCTAGCATAAAAACTCTAACGTAAAAGGCTTTCATTTGCCAGCCTTTCTTGAAGACTGACAAGTGTTTAGCAAACTCATTGCTGTACTTTCTTGAGTCAGAAACTTACCTTTGCATTTGCATTACAATTAATTACAATGTCTGGTTGCCCAAAATACTAGACTGATTCAGTAATCTGTCCTCCCAGTGTATGCAGCTCTAACATTCTGCTCTAACAACTAGTTCAAGTGTACGTGGGATTGTAATGTCATTTTTTTTAATTCAAAGTTTTACCTTTCTTAAACTCCTCCCTTAACTACTGCATTGGTAGGCACAATTATTGTCCTTATATGTTCACATACTCAGAATGATGTCACTGTTGTTTTCAGATAAGTTAAAAAAAAACATTTCCTCATCGACCTTTCAGATCAATGCATGGTTTTCTTCTGATTGCCTTTCAGGACCTGACTTCTGCACTCACAAGGAAGATAACCTTGAAGACCCCTCTCATCTCCTCCCCCATGGACACTGTCACAGAATCTTCTATGGCTATTGCAATGGCAGTAAGTCTTTCTGAACATATTGCCTTGTATTTTGCTTCTTTGCTCCTTTTTTAAGGCAGATTACACAAAACAAATTCCCTTGCAGACGAGCCCTTTGGACTAAAGTTTCACATCTCCCCACGTTATCTCCCGTTTTGAAAGTGCATGTAAAATCGAAAACAAGAAGCACTTATTTACCCCAAGGAAAGAGGAACGAGCTACCCAGCTATTTTGTTGAAGCTGATGAGCTGCCTTCTCAACAAACGGCAATCCTTGGATTTTGGAGAATGGCCAAATCTCATATGGAACCTTGTTTTTCTTAAAGATCACAACATCAGCCAATAGTTTCAGAATTTCTGCTGCCATCTATGAAATTAAGTCCTGTGTATCTTTCATTTTAGAGAGCAGGAATATGAGTCACAGGGGTGGGTAAGACAATCTCCTGTTCTCGCTCACTCCCTCATTCCACCACACACCGAAGGCATTTCCATACTCAAAACATTTTTTCTTTTTTTCTTCGGTGCGATATTAGCCTGTAATTGTTTCTTTCCTCGGGTGGCACGGTGGGTCCAATTCCCGGACCTGGGGTAAAACCTGTGTGCAGTTTGTATGTTCTCTCTGTGTTCGCGTGGGTTTCCTCCAGCTGCTCCAGTTTCCTCCCACAGTCTAAAAACATACTGGTAGGCTACTTGGCTTCTGGGAAAATTGGCCCTGTTGTGAATGTGTGCATGTCTGTGTGTCCCCCCTCAGAAAAACGCACACCACACACAGAGTACACTCCCCCGTGCCCACAGTGTTCACAGCGAGACGCTCGCGCCCCCCTGGCCCCCAGATGGAAAAAAAGGGAGAGGGGTGTCTCTCCCCACACGAGAGTTATAGAAAAAAACAAGAACAGCTTTTAAAAAAGAACATGCAAAAAAGAGCTGAGAGCCACAAAAAAAAGGACACATCTCGACAACAGATCGACCACAATAGTACAACAGTAGAGACACTGTTGCGCCCAAAACACACTCAAACCCTGAGATGTAGACCACAGAAAACACACACAAAAAAAAAAAAAACACACATACACAAAAGTTATAGAGTGATATTTTTTAAAAGGGATTTACCTGTGACAGAAAGTCAGCTGCATTTTGCTGTGTGGTATATATGCTTTTTCTTACTGACCAGTTAGCAATGGTGTTTTTCAGCTCATGGGAGGCATAGGTATTATCCATCATAATTGCACACCTGAGTTTCAGGCCAACGAAGTCCGTAAAGTCAAGGTAAGAGTGTCCTGTAAAAACTGTATTAATGATCAGTATTGTATTAACAACCCATTTCTTTCTCCTTCCACAGATTTCATTAATGTTGTGCGTGCTATGCATTCAAGCAGCTTTGCAATTATTTTATTATATCTTGCTGACTCAGATGTCAACTTTGATAATATTTTGTGCTGAAGCTTCAATCTGTTTATCTACAGTAATTATATACAGTAATTACTCCCTGGAATTTTATTAAGCGTCTTTATATGTCTGTCAGCTCTATGGCTGAAAATTGCAGTTATTCTGTTTAAATAATAACAGTTCCCAATGGATTTGAGGAAGTGATTAATTTCTCATGTTGATGGATTTTTTTTTTTTTTTAGAAATTTGAACAAGGCTTTATTACTGACCCTGTGGTAATGAGCCCTCGCCACACTGTAGGTGATGTCTTTGAAGCCAAAATCCGTCACGGCTTTTCTGGGATTCCAGTCACAGAGACGGGTAAAATGGGCAGCAAGCTGGTGGGCATTGTCACGTCTCGTGACATTGACTTTTTGACGGAGAAAGACTACGACACACACCTGAATGAGGTAAGGAAAGAGTTCTTAGCGTAAGTGGCCATTGTGTGATGGGTGACCACTTGAATCATCACAGTGAAGGCTAAAGGTTCATTTAGAGCAGTTTTCTCCAGACATTTTAAATACCTGATCATGTTTTGAATTTAAATGCATCTCTGTAACTTTCCCCAATAAAATATAGGATAAACAGTCTATTTTTAATTTGTTGTGTACGTCGGAAATAGATTAGATTGACAAATGTATACACAGTGTCCTTTACTCGTCATGTTCCAGTGTGATGACTGCACAGATTTTTGTAGATTAAGACTGCGTGTTGGATACAGTTAATCGTATCTGTGAGGTGGAGTGATAATTGAACTTGATTATTTTTATTTAGGAGAATGCAGTATCACAAAGGTATATACAACCAATGGAAACCCTTTTTTGAAAAGCACAGGATAATTGAGTTTGTACTTTGATTTTGCTGTGTTTGTGTCCCCAAAGATCACGGTCACTTAATATGACCTTCAGTTGAATATCATTTTGCATATCATTTTACAATAATGATCTCTGTATCAACTCCAATGCTTTGTAAATCCAGCACCTGCTGGAATTTGGTAGCCAGCCCATCAATGTCCAGTTGAAGTAAGTAATTTCCTGCCAGAATGCTAATTTGTTCTACCTAATACCTGAAATTGCCTGTTGAGTTTCTCTGCTAGTTTGGCTATGTTGGCACAGAAGCTTTATTTTGTCTTAGATTTTTTGTATTATTCTCCCCCAACTTTTGAAGTACTGCAGCATTTTATTCTTGGGAGAATATATGGATATTAAAACCATAGATCTAGTGTTATTTTGAAAGCATTCACAGCTCTGCTCATAAAGTATGTGATAGGTCTCTGACCTTTCCCTGCAGTTCCTGCTTTATGTCCATAAGGAGTCCCAAGTCTAACATTCTGTCAGCAAGGCTTGTTCCATGATATTAGAAAAGTGAAGATTTCAGGGATTGATTTAAAATTCTTTGCAGGAACCTCTCTTGACTCAGCCACCTCATATCATTAAGAAGAATTAGTATCAGAAGCAACATCAAAAGTTGTTGAGTAAAGACTTGAACAAGTGCACTGATGGGCTGTTTTATAAATTGGTTTTACAGTTTTGACTATTATTACATGAGAGATTTGACAAAAGGGGGGGAAATCGGGATCATTTCTGCTCAATGCAACAAATCCTCGGGTTTTTTGCCATGCACGACTGGAGCCGCATCGGATATGATGGAAAATAGTTTCTTACTTCAAATGTTTTTTTTGTGAAGTGTTTTGAATTTGCTGAGATTTTGGGTGAGAAGATCCTCTTTAGTTGTCAGTTGGGTTGTCTGTCATCGTCAGATTCATCAGATTTGGTTATCTCTAACCTTGAGGCATGTTCTCATTTTGTCATGCTAGCATAATCGCTAATCCCATGTTATTTTTACATTGGTTAAAAATTGCAATCCTAGTGATAATTGTATGCATATACAAGTAGTTGAGGATGGCCATAAATATTGATGTAACCAACAATTTTGCTTTCAGTAAACAGTTTTTGCAACCTTATGTGCAAGCACTTTTTAGCCTTTTCAGTCTTCTGCTGGAATATGTATATATTCATTGATTGAAAACTCATTCATGTTTAAACGTAACTGCATGTGCTTTCATTCCAAATGATCAATATTAAAGAAGGCCATTATTTTCCAGGTGATGACAAAGAGGGAAGATTTAGTTGTTGCTCCTGCTGGAGTCACCCTGAAGGAAGCGAATGAGATATTGCAACGCAGCAAAAAGGGTAAGAAGATGTAAGGGTAAGAAGGCCAGATAATGGTTCATAGTACAAGGTACAATCTCTAAACATTATTCTTATTCCTTCTTCTGTAAAAGTCTGTAACATTAATGGTGTCACACACTATCCTTAAACTGAGTCATTAAACCAAGGTCCTAACTTCTTGGTTGTTAAAGATTGCAAAGTGCTTTTGAAAAGTGTTAACTTCTACATGGTTTGCCCAGTCTGGTCTTGCTGAAGTTCTTCTTCTTAATCCAGTTGGTGAGGTTTGCCACTTTTCTACATAACGTGCTGCATCATGGGTTTGCTGGCACATTATAGTGGTCAATCAAGATTACCTCATATATATATATATGCTTTGGAATTGTTTATATATTGAATTCTCCTTATTAAATGCAAGGTTTTACATTCATGATAATAGTATGACCTAAAATCTATCCATCCTCATCTCTGTCATAATGCTGCAACTATGCTGGATACATTACAGTTTGATTATGTAATCTTTGATATAATGGATCATCATCCTAACAATTTGCTTCATACTCTTACTTTAGATTATGGTTTCTATATGCTATGTAATTCATAACATTTTAGGCGCTGACCACTACACTTGCTTTGTCCTCTTTCCTGGATTTTGTACGTTTTTGTGTAGTTATTTATTATACTTTATGTATCTTTTAGATTGCATATGCATTTGTGTTTGTGTTCTTTGTAAGGTGCTTCAAGTTATTAAACATCGAACAGCATCTGTGCAGTTTGTCTTATAAAAAAATTCAGTGAACTACCCCAAATAAAATGAGATGGGTAACATCAGCACCAAGAATGTTAGGAAGGAAAGGGTAGTGTACATTCAAATGAATCTGAATTGTATAAAGAGGATTACATTATTTAAATTCAAACAGGCTATGCTTTTAAATTGTAGATTTAGTCTTTCTATCAATCATTTCTAATTGAAAGTTAAATTTGTTTTATCATTTGTCATTTTTAAATTATAACCAGGAGTGTTTTACCTAAAACTGGTTTTACTGAATACTTTGAAATTTGTGTTAGGATATGTCCTAAGAGCCAGGAGAGCATTGCAAGAGTGCTACACTACTATAGGAAATATATTTAAAAGGTTAGTGCTGCATTCACCAGTGGCAGCATTTTATTCACATAATGCCTTTAACAAGTGGTACTTAACAATTTAAATGGAAAAAATGCAGAATCATACACGTTATTTATAACTTTAAGGGAAGGTGAAGCCAAAATGTAAATTCAAACATTAGAGCTTTAAACAAAAGTTCTTAATCTCCACATGAAGAAGTCCAAAGTCTTAGCCGAAGGCTGTGTTAGATTAACAAAGCCGTCCTAGTAACACTGCATATGTGAGCCTCAAGTTCAAGTACAGAAACATGGTAACATTCTAATGTCTAATTTACAACTGGTTTTGATTTTTGAGCCACCTAAAAGCAATGACTAGAGCTTTGCTCTGCTGAGTTATTTCCCCAGATGCTAATAACAGAACTTCATACAATTAAATTCTGATATTGTGTAACCAGATGTTTGTCAATGATATAATGAGTACCCAACAGTACTAACAAAACTGACTGCTGCCAGTTCATTTTAAGGGAAAAGTAAATCACAGTATTTTTAAATTGAAAACAAACAGAACAAGATTGAATGACCTGGCCTGTAGGCAGCATATAAATGTTAAATAATAAGGGCCCGAAACTGCGTCTTGTGGTATACCAGAATCAAATTCACAAAAGGAGAGTTACCTAGAAAGACTGCAAAGCATCTTTTGGTATGAATAATCTAAGCCAGTCCAGAGCAGTGCCTGAGGTACTAATGGCCTTCTCCAGTCTTTTGGGGAAAAAATGCTGTGATAGATATTCTATGATAAAGTAACAGAAAGATGAAGAGGCATTCAGAACCAGCTACCATTGAATGATCATTCACTCTTCGTCCAAGAGTTATCTGTACTCTTCTCTAAAACTGTACTGTAAGGGCTCAAAAATGTTAAGTATATCTAAATCAGTGGTTCTTAACCTGGGGTGCATGCACTCCCTAGGGGTGCGAGAATTTATTTCTTAAGGGATGCAAGACATAGTAAATTTGAAAACACAAATTACTTCAACAGTTTTAATAAGAAGCATGTGAATATATTTTCACAACCAAAGGGGTGCAGGCTATAGTAAAGATTTAAGAACTAGTGATGTAAATGGTCCTGTGATCTAATGGGTCTGTAGTTGCTTAGCTGTTTGGGATCAAGAAAGGACATCTTCAACAGGATTTTAAGTACCGTTTTAAAAATGAAAAAACCACTACTTTATGAAAGGGATTTATAATATTGAGTCAAGCCTAATTGATAGAAACAGACACCAGTGCATGAATACTTGAGTTACTACAGAGGAGACCAAACACGTTTAATCTCCTACATAAAAAAAACTCTTGAAACTCTCTCACAAAGGCAGAATTAGGTTTTATTTTAGAAACTGCAGATGGGGCTATGGATGGGGCTAAGGCCAAATGTTTTTTGGCAGTATTTAAAAAATGCTTGTATTAACAAGATAATTACATTTTAGCAGGGCAAATTCCAATCGAAGGCACAGATATTCCAGTAGAAAATCTAAAAGTAAATGTTAGTAGCATAGGAATCTTTAAACTAGTTAAAACATAATTGACAAGGCAATAATGGAAGAGTGGCATTCCATACCCTAGTGTTTGCTCCACCTACTGTATGTCCAGTCATACCGAAGAAAATTTTCAACTTAATAGGATTTTTTTCAATTATCACTTCAATAGGAAGTTCTGTATATGATTTTAAACATTGTTCGTTTCATTAGCATTTGAAAAAATATTTTATTCTTTCTTTTTGAGCGCTTCATTTTCTCAATATCTGAGTGTACTCACGATAAAGTGTCATTCTTTAACTTTTGCTCTTCAGTTAACTCTGTTTCTGTCCAGTCCTTCAAATAAAAAAGGCCTTTTTTAAAAAAGTGGGGGGCTTTTCTGTGACCAGAGCCCATGCTTGTGAAGTGTGTTACAAACCTTTGGGTATGTTGTTTTTTTGCATAAACCTTGCCTTCATTTGGGATTTACTCTTCTCTTGCCTTCACTCTCTGGCTTTCGGTCACGGAAAGCATCCTTCTCTTTTTTTTTTTAAGTTACGTGTACACTGCTGACTCTGTTCACCTTTGTAGGAAGTGGAAGCAGTTGGAGCAATGATCCCAATGCCTGTCCTAGCCAGGTGCTTAGCAACAGGACTTCAGGCATTAGAGGTATTTTAGTAGTAACATAAGGCATTGATTAACGCTGACTGGCTTTACTTGCTGGCTGATCGCTGGTCGACACGTGAGTGAGGGTTTTTATTTGCAGCTTGTGTGTGAAATGTTCAAACCCAACCAAAGACTTATCATTTGAATAAATACAAAAAATGTGTTTTAACAGCACAAAACCAATCATATACAGTACTTATTTGAAGGAATGTCTAGCAGCTTAAATACCATAAAGTTTATACAGTACTTGGATTTTTTTTTGTCAGTTTTGATGGACTTCTTCATATAATGTTTTGGATTTGATCAATGTGTAAATCAAACTAAACCTGTTCATATGATGTATGCCATGATTATAATATCTTCATTGTTCCCAAGAATCCAACTCCATTAATTTGTTTTAATTAGTTTTTTACATGCTTTTGCTGTACTCTCAAATACATTCCTTGTGCTGGTGAAGCAGATTTGATGTTGCAGTTCAAATGAGTTTGCAGTCAAAAGAAAAAGTTTCAACTTGAAACTATTTTTTTAAATCTTAAAAAAAAAAAAACTTTTCTCTGGTTTCGATTAGGAAAGCTGCCGATCGTCAATGATAGCGATGAACTTATTGCCATCATCGCACGGACGGACCTGAAGAAAAACCGGGATTACCCGCTGGCATCTAAGGATTCGCGGAAACAGCTGCTGTGCGGAGCAGCCATTGGGACCCGGGAGGATGACAAGTACCGACTGGACCTGCTGATGCAGGCTGGGGTGGATGTTGTTGTTCTGGTGAGTTAAAGCAGAATTGTACAGTCTGCTGGCTTGTTTTTCAAATGGCTCTCCGCATGAACGGACTTGGGAGTTTAAAGTGAATTGACAATATGTCTGCTTTTTCCAATGCTGTGCTCACAGTGAATGTTTTCCCATTACAGGGGAACTTTTGAAAATTTTCATTTTGTTTGTATGTACATAACATTGTAGTTCAGTTATTGTAAAGCTAGGAACTATTTTTTAACAGTACAGATCAGTGATGTTTGCTCCATATCTGGAAGGGACGCAGAATGCCAGGTTATCTTTGATCGTCTTTGAGGAAAGAACTAAAACAGTCACTGAAAGACCAATTAAATGAACAGTCGATTCAAATCAATTCTTTAAGAGTTCTGGGTGGAATGAAAGTGGGGAAAACCCTCCAGGACCAGGGGTGAATACAGGTAGTGAACAAAAAATGGAAACTCCAATATGAAGTATTTTGATAGGGTGTTGGGCCACCATGTGCAGCTCTACAGTCTCACAGTGATGTCCTGGTCTGTGAAGCTCTCAGTAGACCAGTTTTTGATTACACTGGTAGCTCGTGCCTTGGGTTGAAATTGCAACCACTTGATCTGCAGTTGCTCACCCGTTACACTTTATACTTTATATTTAATCAGTCTGTCACAATCTTAGAGTATGCGTTTTTGCCCGCTGTTGCCCTTTGCTGATGTCTTTTCCTCAGACATCCATGCTGACATCACCTTAGACTCTGTTGTCAAAGTCAGCAGGTCTAGCTGTCTTGTTTGCTGAAGCACCTGCCAAATGAGCTCCAGCCATCAACTCCCATTCATCAAGTCTCTGAGGTCTGCTCTTGCAGTCATATAGTCTGAACTATAGGCACCCAGGCCTCTCTAGTTTTTTATACCTCACCCTAAAGGTGCTGGGATATTACTTACTTGATTAATCCTTGAGCCACACCTGTGTGGAAGCCTTCGTTATCAGTACACGTAATATCCCTTATTTGCCCGGGTCTTTCCACTACCTGTAAAAAAGGTGCAGAAATAGAACAAATGTCATATAATATTTATAAAAAGGTCACTAATAATTTCCTTGTTGTTCCCTGTATTTTAAAATTGTCTTTCTTTTTTAGGACTCATCACAGGGTAATTCAGTTTATCAGATAAATATGATAAATTACATCAAGCAAAAATACCCAGACCTTCAGGTGGTAGGAGGAAATGGTAAGTTACAAACATTAATTTTCAGACAATACATTTTGCTTGTGCTGATAAGTAGATGTTTTTTCAAGTTTGTTTGCTTTAATTCTGCTCACATGGAAGACTAGCATCTTTCTGCTGTTCATCTAACATAGCAGTAAGCTTTTAAATTATGTAGTACTATGCTTAGGAGAACCTGCAAATGCTGTCAAGAGAAAAATGATTTCCAAAACTCCTCAGTTTTTCAGTCATGTGGAGATGCAGTTAAATTTTAAATGTATTTAAAAAAAAACTAAATATTCATGCTGTCAAAACAAATAGAATTAGATGCCTGTACATTACATTCCTGTGAATTAGAAAACAATATTAGTCCTTTGAACAGCTCTTGCAGTGTAGTACAAAATAACCCACATTATTCAATATGGTAGAGTCCATGTATATGAGTAAGATTACAGTACTACTTTTGGGGAAAAAACCTTGAAGTTATTTTAGAAAAAAATAAGCTTTAAGTTTAAGGTGGCATTATTTGGATATAAACCCTTGAGTTTTTGCAATTAGTGAGAATTAATTGTCTAAAATATATTGGTTGTTTACCATACTAACAAAAAATTGTGGCCCTTTTTGTGAAATTCTATTAAATTGTTGGGCAGTTCACACACTTCATACACCGAACACATTTATGATTTAAAGAACCTATATTGTCCTTATACTTGAATAGAGAGGTAAAATTCATAATGCACACTTAATGACAAAACCTTTGGAAGACAGTGTTTTTCATGTAAAAGTGTTTCTCCGAGTCTGATTCATCACATTGAAACATTTTTAACAAATGTGAGAAATCTGGCATCATAATAAAATCATGATGCCTTGTTAAACAGTTCTCATAATTGGAATGCTTTTACACTTTCAACACAGGAGATGGTGGAAATTCTTTCCCATGAATACAAAAGGCATAAATAACTGCTTGAGGTGTCAACTGATGAGTAGAAATCAATGCTGATACATAAAGGTGTCGACAAAGTGTTAAGATCACATGCAGACAGGTTGTTGAGTAGACCAGGCATAAACCAGCTACTTGGTTTGGGAATCGGTTTACATTGGATTTTAAGCAATTTTGCATAAATATGAAGCTTACACTGTTTCACCATTGTTTTTCCACATGTGAGCTTTTTAAACTTTTACTTCCTTGCTGCATGTTATATCAACAATTACACCTTCCCAATAGTTTTCTGTCATGTTAATTTATTGATGTTTAATTAGTGTTTTTTTTTTTTTGGTGTGTGACCAATTTAGTCTCAGTTATAGACAATTAGATTTAGATTTTTTTTCTTAGTTTGTTTTAATCTGTGACACCAGTAGAATACAATCCTGTAGATTCTGGTGTTTCTTTCTACATGAATTCAGAACTGAAATCGAGGAAAATATTAGGAAATGGTAAGTCAGCAACTGGGCTGGAGGATGATAAGCAGTTGTAATATTCTGTTGCATCTAAAGACTGATTTTTTGGATTTTTCACTTGTCTCCAGTGGTGACTGCTGCCCAGGCTAAAAATCTCATAGATGCAGGTGTGGATGCACTCCGAGTTGGAATGGGCTGTGGATCAATTTGTATCACACAAGAAGGTGATGAGTTTTCCAATTTGCCTTCTTGTGGATTAATGATATGGCATGCCAGAAGTTTTAAAAAAGCACTTGACAGTAAATATAGCCTTTCAAATCTTTGTTGTGCTTCTAAAATGTAGGTTTAAAAATGCGTAGGATTTTTGAAAATTAGTAGAAAATTGTTTTTGCCCCCCAAATTGTTGCAAAGGAAATAAAATGTCAGAAGAAATTTTTATTGGATTGTTTTGTATTGAATCCTAAAACCACAAATATCTTCAGAATTGTATCCCTTTATTAAAAGTGTTTCTATTTTTTGTTTGAAGTTATGGCCTGTGGTCGGCCCCAAGGCACAGCGGTGTATAAAGTGGCTGAATATGCACGTCGCTTTGGTGTCCCAGTGATCGCCGATGGTGGAATTCAGACAGTTGGACATGTGGTGAAAGCTCTTGCTTTAGGAGCATCAACGGGTGTGTATTTGTCAACTAAGTCTTTGCTTTTGACATCTGCTCCTGGCTTTTCGCAAGAACTGGCCTGCTGGTTTTGCCTGTGTCAGCTGCCGTGTTTGCCGCCATTTAACAACACGGAGTCGGAAATGTTCGAAGCTGCAAAACCAAATTGATTTTCTTTTCCACCCACAGTCATGATGGGCTCCCTGCTGGCAGCCACCACAGAGGCCCCAGGCGAGTACTTCTTTTCCGACGGTGTGAGGTTGAAGAAGTACCGTGGGATGGGTTCTCTCGATGCCATGGAGAAGAACAGCAGCAGCCAGAAAAGATACTTCAGGTCAGCGAGCAGTAACAGCTGCTTGTGTTGTCGTTTTCATTTTGCTTACCCTCTTTGTGCACGATTTCTCCTTTTTTTTTTTGAGATTGCATTATAAGGTGAGAATTTCTGTATTGATAAACAGTGAAGGGGACAAGGTGAAAGTGGCCCAGGGCGTGTCAGGGTCTGTCCAGGACAAGGGCTCTATTCACAAGTTTGTTCCTTACTTGATCGCGGGGATCCAGCACGGCTGTCAAGACATCGGTGCTAAGAGCCTGTCAATTCTACGGTAAGAGGTTTTGCTTTTACCCAAAAGAATTGATGCAACAATGATTTTGCAGGTTCTTTGAGTTGCCTTTCCTTCTTTAAAAAATGCACGTTTATCTAAATCCAAATGAAACAAAAAAATATTTCGACTTCGATAAAATGTTTTATTTAGAAATATTACGTGTGAATTGGTTCTTTACTTGAAGATGAATACATCTGAGTTTGTCAGCTTTGGCCGTTACATTGTGCAAGATAGTTTGAAAGTAAGTCTGTGAACAGTAAGCATGGATCTATGTGAATGGTGTCTATACCAGTTATGCAGGGGTGGTATATGTATGGAGTAACACAGAACTGTTTTACTTTATTTTTAACAGTGCAGTGTTGCAATAGCCCAAAGGTTTTGAAGACTCTAGAGGTTATGAAACATGCTGGTATCTACAGAAAAAAAGTTAGTTTTCCTTAAGAAGTTGTACAAGCTGTTTTCCCCCTGTTGTTTGTAGTTCAATGATGTACTCGGGGGAATTGAAGTTTGAAAAGCGAACCATGTCTGCCCAAGTGGAAGGGGGTGTCCACGGGCTCCATTCGTAAGTATCCATTTTGCAAAAAGAACAGGTTTTGATTGAGTTGCTGCTGTAATTTTGATGGTAAGGTGATCTTGTTTCTTATACATATTGCTAGTCTATGAGCAGACATTCTGAATGAGAATCACTAGTTAAACTAAACATTTTTCATTAATGCAGCGCAATGGGCTGGTATTTTTTTTACAATTTATTCTGCCCACAAGACTATAGAATGTGACTCAGGAATGTCATTTCCTAGACTTGCTTGGTTTTAATGCTGTAGAGTTATAGAGCAGTATACTGGGATGAGGATATGACCATAAAATTTTGATTTGTGAACATTTGTTCTTACATATGAACAATATGAAATCAAGCATCTCTAATTCTATCCAGTTTCAACTTATTAATTGGAGTATGTGACAGTGCATTGAAATTTACATGTGTCTCAGACCTCTGTGGTCTAATAGTAAAAAAAAAATGTGCAACACATCTGTTATTACTGGAAATCCTCCTCAAGCAGTATTTAGCAGGGAAAGTGTGCTTGAAGTTGAGCTGGTGAACGGGCTTAGTCTTTGTTCATGCTTTGCAATTTTAATTTCTTCATTTTGCTTGTCTAAATTTGATTAGAAATATGATATAAGTTACACAGACTTTACAATTGCCTTTTTTAATGCAAAGAGATTAGTTATTGCCAATTTAATTATGCAGTTTCCAAGAATAGCATGTTATATGCAGTATTTTATCAGACTTTTCTGATAAAAAAAAAAATCTATAAAAATATTTTTTACAGTTTTATAATCATTGTTATCATTTAATTGTATTATCAGGTTACAGGTACACAGTATTGGAAACACAACCCTCTTTTAATGGGTAGAATTGATAGTGTGATAAAAGGAATAACATGTTTCAAATTGGGGTATTTTTTTGCAGTCTGTACTTTAACTTTAATTTAAGAATTGAAGCTTAGTAAAAGAATCAGAACAAAATAAACATGCCACTTCTGTTTGCATCTTATAGCAGGACAGTAAAATCTTAAGCCTAGTTTTTTTTAAGTTACTGTTAAAACCAAAAGTTAATAAAATACTAATTCAAGTCCAGGGTATGTTATTAGCTGACTTTTACTAGGATTCCTCAGGTGACGGCAAACAGTGAGCCTCAAGTCACTGTTATTTGGTGGGTCTGACTCTGCCTGGGCTTCTTCAGCTTGCTGTGTGACGGACACTGCCGGTACATGCAAGGCTCCTGGGAACTTGCAGCGTTGAGCAGTACTTTCTTCACTGACCCCTCATTTGAGCAAACTCTTTTCTTTGGCATCCTGTGATGCCGAAAGTGAAATAGCTCTGACAGAGGGGCATGTTGGTCCTCATTCTTCCCTATGTAGAAGAGGGGGAGTGGCCAAGTCACAGTTAATTGTCAGCATATTGCCAGTCATTCATATGGACACAGTGTGAATCAAAAAAAACTTTGTCAATGTTGGGAGGTAGAATGAAACTCAACCCTGCTTGGTACCTGCTTCAATTGACGGTGAAGGCCGCTAGCATCTAAATCATTAAAGCCCTTGTTCGAATTTAGAAATGTGAATGTATGCACAGAGCTTTTCCCATAATGGTAGGTTTATTGTATTTTTCAACCTTCTCAAACTGAAAGACCTGCAAATCCTATTTTTCTCTGTGTTAAGATTGTGATAAATTTATAAAAACTAAGCAATTTAAAGAGTGCTAAATGCTTTCTGAATGAGTCCTGTTGTGAAGTGCTCTCACTATTTCTCAGATTGCTTGTGAACAGTAGCTTTTGACAATATTGAAATGTATATTAACTTATGTTAATGGTTGTAAACCATCTATGAACATGCTAATTTTACATATTGTTACATAGAATGGTACTTATGAAAATGAAACTGGTGATTAGTCATCAAATTTCTTCTTTTTCTTTTTTTTTTACTCATGCATTCATCATAGATATTCTTTTGTGCCATGTAAGTAATCCAGTCCTGTGTTAATAATGTAGAAATATTAGGCCAAAAAAGAGAACAATGCAGTTTCTGGTACAGGTTTTATTGTGCAATGACAATTTTTCCTCTTTGAAGAAGTAAATTACCTGTCCCCATTACCTGTAAAGCGCTTTGAGTGGAGTGTCCAGAAAAGCGCTATTTAGGTGTAAGGAATTATTATTATTTATGGCACATGTTATGATTAAAGAGACATTTTTCACTGTACTTATTTTAGAATCTTATTTTCCCACGAACACCCTCAAATCTTCATTATTGTTGAGAAATATGAAAGTTGTATTTTAAATTGGTAATTATGCCAGTGTGTTCTACATCATTACTGCAAATCAGATGTGTTACAATTGTCCTTTTTTGCTGGCCTTTCACCTTTTTACACAAGGATTCAAAGTCAATTGCACACAGACCAGAAGCTGACTTGTTTTATTACTATATTTGAAGTAAACAATACAAAGAGAGCCATGGAATTATTCTTTTAACAACTTACCTAAAACAAGTCATTCATATGCCAAAAATATCACAGAAAAAGAAAGATATATTAGTACTTCCACCTTCATGGAAAAAGCAAGAAATATTGAAACAATAATGAGCATTGCTACTGAACTGCCAATACATTACCTTACAAATACATTTGGTTAGTCCAGCTTTTTCCTCATTTTCTAATACATTTAAATTATAGGTGATTATAGTGCTGATTCGGACTGTTGTTCATCATGTACTGTAAATGAATATTCTCTTTTGACTTGCTGGGGTAGTTGTAATTTTTAAGAGCCTTAGAAAACAATCATTCTAAGAAAAGTGGTGTCTCTACCTTTTTTGTTTTTTTAGCCTTCTTGTTAAGAAGCAGTTATTCAGAGTTTGCAATCGAAGTATGAGGCACTGGCAGGTAGAAGCAGGGGGTGAATTTTCAGCTGTTGCTAATGCACTTCCACAGAAAATTTGCAGTGTTGGCCATCGCTGTTGGGGGAATTCTGATTGGATGGGTTGTTGAAATAAATTGGAGGCAGTTTTAAAAGAAACCGTCCAGGATTCATCCCCTGTACTATTTGTTTTAATTGTTTCCACAGTTATGAGAAGCGGCTATACTGATGCAGGGGGCAGAGCACAGCTGCGGGTTGCTCCTAGTGTCCCAGCTCCAATGGCGACCAAACATAATGGACACATCTGAAAGCCAACATTGCATTCTTGCTACAGGGAGTTCAGCCAAGAACATGTACCAATTCCTGACCTGAACGAAATTGCACTACCACCTGCCAATGAAGTATCAGGGCTTGAAATAACTCAACCAATTTTTCAAGCATTAGAGAAATACATATAGCAGAATAACTGTGGAAGGGAACAGGTGCTTAGAAACAACATCATAGCTGTTTACAAAAATGACACTTTAATAGGATGTGAATAGTATTTGTACACAGCAACGCAGATAATCCCAGTTGAGTTCATTCAGGACTTACATGGAATGGAAGAATCTAAGACCATCAGAAATCACCAGTGATGTAGGAAATATGTATCTTGCTAGTTCAAGTGTTGTGTGGCAAATTTAGTTGTCAACTTGTTTTAAGCTATTACAGATATACTGAGTAAATGTATACACCGCAGTTTCTTTATAAATTAAAAAGGAACAAATGGTGTCTTGGTTGGTGACTTTAAGCCCCAAACCACAAAGCAACCATAGGAGATCTACAGTGGGTATTGCTGCAGTTTCAGGGTGGTGTGCAATAGGGTTCTTTTCATAGAGCAAACAGTTAAGTCTGCAGAACTTGAAAAGTAAGATCAATATTTTTTCAAAGAATAAAAATAACTGCAAACCTGTTATGAATTTGAGGTTATCCACAGAAATTTTTAAATAACACAAAAACTTTGTACAGTACATTCTGTTACTAAATGCACAGTTCTTTGTTCCTTTGTACAAGTGTGACATATTGATCATACTTGCATATGACGTGACATTTGAAGTAAATGAAAGGTTAGTTCAAAAGATGGCAGGGCTAAGTAGTTTAGTACTAATTACTGTATTGTTAGTAGTTTTAGTATTAATTGCTCATATTTAGTTATTTGGTGCATAAATAGTACAACTACAGAAAGTTTTCAAGCAGCTTTATTTTTTCATTTGAATGATTAAATTGCTTAACCTTATGATATTTGTCTGAAGGCCTACTATTCAAAAGGCATCTTGCAATATCCACTGAGCAGTAATTAACAGGTAATGCAGTTGGGACCAAAAGCTAAACAGTAGCCTTATATCAGGGATATGTTATACCAGAGAGCCTTATAACTGACTGGAATTCCATTCATATCTAACAATGAATTACCCAAATCATTTGTTTCATTCTCTAGATAAAAAAATAAGCATGAAGAGTTTACAGTATATCGCATTTTATAATGCACCTCTGAACTTAATTTATACCTGGCAAGTAGCAATGTATGGTTATTTTTTCATGTTATTGGCAGATTTTCATTGTTGAGTAAGATTCTGACTGAAATGAATGAAACTCCCAAATGAAATGACCTAAATTGAAATTTTGCAAAATGTAATGCTTGTTCACGATCCATATGGAATGACAAATGGTTATTAAAGCTTTACTTTTTAGGAGAATGCCAACAACATGCCTTGAAAGCACTTTCAGAAGAAATAATTCCTATTCCTCTATGGCAGGAGTCTTATTCCTCCAAGTTTACATTTTAGCAGGAATGACCAGCCTTAGTCTTTCTCCTTGTGTCTGCTATAGCTTTGTTGTTTTTCTTATTTTTTACAGAAAAGAAGTTTACTTTTTGCTGATACATGAGTAATGGATGATCTATATACAAATTAAATTTCAGCAGTGCTCGCATAGTTTTTAGTATATTTTGATAATGTACAGTTGGCTTTCTCCTGGAAGTTTTAGTATTATATCAAAATTTTGAAGACCTTATGTGAATACTGCATAGAATGACATAACTACTGTGAAGTCTTCTGAGTTTCTTGTCTAAGATGGATCGATTTAGATAAAAATACTTTATCTCACTATCCAGGGAGCCATATTTCTGTTGAACTCACTTCCTTGAGAACTGGAGGAAAAACTGCTCGTCTGTAAGTGTCCATCTCTAGATTCCAAGATTATGGCTATAAACAGGCTCTTGTTGAAACTATTTTTACTTATCCTTTATATTAACTTTTTCATTTATTCTAACTTTATTTTATTTGCTTTAATTTGCAAAAAATAACAGCATTGACCCAAGAAAATTATATATGCTACTCCACTCATTCTGGGGGTCATGATTTGTAAAAAGTAATTTATTTTTGTCATTTATTGAAGAGCAGACTGTGTTAATATACAGTGCATCTCAATCTCTAGAAACGTTTGATAAAAATAATGTTTGTGAGCTCTTAAGTAACCCTTCTCAACAGAATTGTGGTAAAAATTGAAACTGTGAACAAGTTTAAAACCTTTCTTATGAATTTCCACAAGAGTACCATGTACTGTATGTACATTAATATGAATCAATTTTTTCTGTTCTTAAAAATACTACATCTTTCAGAATTTAATACTATGTATCAGCACAATCAACTGTTCAATAAATACCCCAGCTTCTGTGATCTTTGTCAAAACTGTTGATTCCTTGCAAAAGATAAATTTAATATTTAAGTTCCTTTGCAAGTTAACCTTATTACAATACATTGTATAAAGAAGTAGTTATCACGAAGTATGATTTGTTTACACTTATAGTTAAACAAGTTAAGCAGAAACTGGGTTTTAATTGGAAGCATTTGTCTTGTTTTTTTTACTTATTACCCAGGTTAAGTTCAGAAGTTTACGTGCAAGAGAAATTTCACTAGGACTCTGGTAACTTGAGGATAAGATCTCCATTTCACCTGGTTATTTGCCACAAACTAAATCTTTTAAATACACTACTTCTCTCTGTTATTTATACTTTGAAACTGCCCGATTGTACTTTGGATGAAGTGCACAATCATAAATTACAAAGGAACTTGTTATGTTTTTTTCTTTAAAAATATTCAGTATTATTTTTAAAAAGCCATCTTCCGATGTTAACACTGCATTAAAAATGAAGTAATTTTGAAAATAAAAAGGATTTCTGTGCATAAATAGGGAATAAGACTTGTTTCTTTGCAGATGACATCTGTATTTTTCGATAAACATCTGTTCTGTCTTGTGTTCAGGAAGTGGCTGCTGTCCGATGAAAGATAACAATCATTTTGGTTTAAGCAATTCCCAGCTTCTCTCTTGGTGTACCAGTTTTATTTTTTTTCTATTCTAATAGCACAGAACAGTTGAGTATAGCAAAATCTCAAAGGTGTGTTCACTGCAGGATATTCACCTAAAGCTTTAAAATTGCTAATGCTGTTCAATATTGTAAAAGAAATAAAATGAAATAAAAATGGATTTGCATCTTTATTTTAATACACACTTTTCACTGTGAACCAGATCACTACTCTTTCCTTAGCACCACTGTTTCTATCATACAGAAATGTCCAACTTTGGATGCATTTTCTTGTGGTTCCTTTGTATTTGTGAAGGAATTCCAGATGTTTTTCTTTCCGAAGGAGGGCATAACCAATTCCACAAGGACAAATATCCCAAAATATTTTATGCTGTCCTAACATTTCATTTTCTGGCAAAGTCTTTATAATGGAAGTGAAAGGACTGTGGTTCAAAAGCAACTTTTCATGGCCCCTAAGCTCTAAGTGTTTCTTCCATGATGGTGACAATAGAAATTAAAAAGGGAAATCTTAAAGGAGAACAGCAGTGGATTTTAGAAGGAAAAAATGGAGATCTAGGAGAAGTGACCAACAGTAATTTATGCCAATGTAACTGCTCTGCCTTTAACTTTTTTCCCCAGGAAAGTGAACTCAAAACCTGTTTGATGCTTTTCCTAGTGGGAACTGGAGTCTCTTGTAAATAACTTACAAAATGACATAGCCCATTTTCCATTCTTCAGTTTGGAGTAAATGTCAAAAAGTGATAGCTTTTTATGACCCACTTTATTTCCTGGTTGGTCAGGATACATGTGATTTAGACAAGTGGGGTCATTAATCACCTCTGCTTTCTTTGTAAATTGAAAGTACAAGTCATGCATGCATCAGTCATTGCCTAAACGAAGTGTAATTGTTTATTGAACCAAAGTCCTGAAGTAAGCCCTAAGACCTGTTCATTGATTGTTTTGGGAAAGAATTAATCTTCTTAACTTACGGTAACACAATAGTTCTATAAAGTTGCATATCGCATTTTGCTATAAAACAGCTATGCACAATCTCTTTTCACAGTCATGATCTTGCATGTAGTCAAGCTGTCTTATCTAGTTCATGTCTAAATACTTGAGAACCCTTCAGACAACATGCAGCCGTTTAGGAATTAGCTAGTGTTTATGACCACTGATGGAAGACGGTTACATTGGAAAAAGAAGTCCTTTACAGTTATAAGTTACTTGTAAGTTTGTTTAGATTAAGAAACTGGTGGAAATTACTGTTAAGAAGTAATGTTTTACTGTACATAGTATATACATACTGTAGACTGAATAACTATAATTGATGACTTTCCCCACTATTTCTTAATTTAGCCCTGTGCTGCAGCAGTTAGGAAATACATGCACTCCGCACAGGGGCACAAATATTACCTCCTTAGTACCGCCTCTTTTCCTGCGCCTGATCATAAATGTATTATATAGTTGTTTAGTCAGAAAAAAAACAAGTTAAGGAGAGGCTGCTTAACGATCAGTATACTTAAATTTGTTGGAAATGATCAAATGGAAATAACGTGTCAAGCTCGGAACTGAGTGCAGAAACACGCAAGTCAAATGTCAAAACAAGCCGATCCATTAAAGATATCAATTGGCATAAGAGATGTGAAGCTCAGCTGGAATGGAAAATGACTGTTGGGCTTAATTGGATGCATGGCTTTCTCATGTGTAAAGTTTCCATTTTAAAATCCAGCAGACAAGGGTTGGTGGAATCATTGTGGAACATTTAAATGAGGGGCAGGGATCTTTCAACAGACAAAATCTAGTGTCTAAATGTACAAAATGGGATGAAGAAAGGTCAGGAAAATTGTAGAACTTACATAACATATTAAATAACTGCATTATTACTTAAGAAATTCTAAATGCCATAAACATGAGGCATAAAATACAAGAACTTGAAGCTACTGCATTAGCATGTGCTTATGACATAAGAATAAATTTAACATAACTAAGAGCTAATGATGGATGCAAATGTAATAGAATGAATATGTATTTGGGGACTAGACAATATTACAAGCAAGAGGAGGAAATTCATCCTATTTGGCCGGTTTCACATGTGATTTATTTAAAAGCTAAAGGATTTTATCAAGCCATTTATTTAAACAAGCCAAAATATTAATAATAATAATAATATATATATATATCTGGACAAAGCACTTTACAGATAATGGGGACTCCCTTCCACCACCACCAATGTGGAGCATCCACCTGGATGATGCGACGGCAGCCATAGTGCACCAGAACACACATCAGCTATCAGTGGGGAGGAGAGCAGAGTAATGAAGCCAATTCATAGAGGGAGATTGTTAGGAGGCCATGATTGATAAAGGCCAATGGGAAATTTGGCCAGGACACCGGGGTACACCCCTACTCTTTTCAAATACACCCTGGGATTTTTAATGAAAGTTTTACGTCTCATCCAAAGGACAGCACCTGTTTACAGTATAGTGTCCCCATCACTACACTGGGGCATTAGGACCCACATGAGTCGCAGGGTGAGCACCCCCTGCTGGCCCCACTAACACCTCTTCCAGCAGCAACCTTAGTTTTTCCCAGGAGGTCTTCCATCCAGGTACTGACCAGGCTCACACCTGCTTAGCTTCAGTGGGTTGCCAGTTGTGAGTTGCAGGGTGATATGGCTGCTGGCTATAACCCAGCCACGATGTAGTTGGGTAGCTTGCTCCATTCTCCCACAACCCTTTGTGAAAAGTTCTGCTTCGTCTTCTATGCAGACTAAAGGAACTGATGTAACAGTTTATATATGACCACCTAATTCTCAACATGCAGACGTACAGTAGCTTACTCAGAAATCAATATATCAAAGGTGATGTGGTAATAATAGTGGATTTCAACTTCTCACACACACATAAATTGGGATATCAGATGTGAGACTCATATTGATAAAATAGTGATGCTTCATAGACCCATTTATAACGGGACCTAGAAGGGGAAATTCTAGTGTTCTGAGGAACCATCTCATGAAAGAAGTCAGAGTATTAGCTTTTTTTCAGCATTTATGGGTCGTTTGAGATTTCCACAAATTACAGTGTAAAAGTCTAAAATTAGGGTTTATAATTTTGAAAAAAACATGGTGAAGTGGGACAGAGCTTGCAAACCGTGGACAGATACATAAAGCCTATAGGATGGTTATACTTCAAAAACAATGCTCGAGCTTAATTTATACATTATTTAAATTTTATTAAGTACAAATTAATTTATATTTATGACCACATCTAGGAAAATATGGTGAAAATACTTTAATCGCAATATAAGTCCATTGTCAGAATGCTGCTTAACCCTCATAAGGGTCATACCAGGAGCCTATCCTGGAAGCATAGAGTACTAGGCAAGACCCAAATCCATCTCAGGGTACACATACAATTTAAAGATGCTAATTAACCAAGCCAGTATGGTCAGCATATTTTTGAATGGCAGGAGGAAACCAAGTACCCTGTAAAAACAGGAAGAACACGCAGTCTCCACACTAAATCTTGGATTCACCCAGGAGCTGGGAGGCAGTTCAGCAAACTGCCAGAGCCACAGAGCTTCCCATCTCCTGTTCTGCCCTGACGAGTTCAGTTTCCATTAGGTCAGTATTTATTTTTACAGAAACTACAAATGTGGTTTCTTGGTGTCTAGATTATGTTTAAATCTATACGCAGAGTATATTTAAAACACATTTTATTAAAACGACAGGAAGCATGTAAGATTCAATAAAGATTTAATAGTCTATCTGGAACATATTTAAACATATACTGTAGCAGTTTGTCCAATTGAACAAACTAGGCTTTCATTTACAATATTACAATAAACATTGTGTCAAACATCTCTTTTTGCACATGCACATCCACAATAAATTGACTTATTAAGGTAAAAAATGTACACCTTTTCAAACAAAGCTGAAAGCAAATAAACGCTATTATTTAATCCTATAACAATAAAATTAGTATGTTTTTTCATATAAAAATCAAGAAACAATATACAAAAAGTATCACACGTCTTCAAAATGCACAAGTGCAATGGTGCAGATGCTACAGTCCTTGACTACAGACTTTTAGCCTTCAGAACCTACCAGTAGATGGAGCTGCTACAAAACTCTTATTTTCAGTGTGTTATTTTTCATATCATATATAAATATATTTAAGAAAATGTTTTAACAAAACCATGTAGGAATAAAGGCTGTTAATATAAAATGCCATTGGATGTTTATATTCACTGACCGCAATGAGGTACTTCGACACTATGGATATTGCAGCAACACCAAAACGTCTTAACAATAATCAATATTATTTGCTTCTATGTTTTTTATATTCCAGCTAAAGCTGTACATAATATATGCATGAGACTCATCAATAAGTGCTTGATTAAAATCACAGTATGATTAATTTATATAGGTAAATAAGAGGAGGACTGCATACATTTAATTTTTTAATAAATGTTAAAAATTAGAACATTTCAGAAAGGTAAATCAGCCCAAATGCAAATTTCTATACATTAAGGGAATTATTGAATGAAGTCTTTATTGATTTCTGCCATTCGATGGGCTCATTCCCCAGAAATAAAGCCTAAAATATCTCCATAAATTCAAGGCCTAGATTAAAACTAAACCATCTTCTAAGTCCTTTCTGAGTAAAGCCCCCTGTAACTTTTGGGTATGTTAATTCTTCCAGGCCTTGAAAAGGAGGAACCAAGATTTAAAGAAAAAATCTAAGCCTTCTCATTTGGCAATATTTTATTGTCAAGAAAATTAGCTGGTATGCTCTTAAAAGCAAATGTTAGCACCTTTTTAACACTATGATTTCCTCTGTATTCTAACTTCTTCATTTTACTGCCTTTACAGTGCTTGGTCAGAGTGAATTTGATCACAGTGTCTTACAAGTCTATGGTATCACTACAGACACTCAGTGCATCAATTTGCCTGCAGACATTGATGAATTCTGCTTGAATGGCTAAATCAGGTTCTCCAGGCTTGTCCAATGATTCCCGGGAAGAACATTCTAAGGCTTGATAACGTCTCTGAAATTGAGAGACCTGATTTAGGTTTGTCTGGGACAGGTTGCTTAGCGCGATTTGATTACTACTCAGGGAGGAGTAACCCATCCTTTCTGGACTGGAGCAGAGCACCAGGGAAGATCCATCTAAGGAGACTTTGTAAAGAGAACTGGAATTGCTTCCTCTCCACTGTTCTGTGGAAGATGTTGCATTTAATGTATTGGAACTAGAGACAGACCTCTTCAAGGGTGGGACTGCCTCCATCTCTAAGCAAGAAGAAGTTCTGTACAGACCTCGATCTGCTGCGTTTTCCTTAAAAACTCTTTTATCTGTTGTGTTTTTCAGGTTGAGGGAAAGGTTACTTGAACTGTAGAGCTTAGTGTTCTGGAAGAGGCTTTGAGGAAAAAGGGCTTCGCTAAAGAGGGCTTCATCTATGCTGCGTCTCAGATTTATTGGTGAAGGGGGTCGAAGATCAGCTGTGGAGTCACTGTCAATATGTACACTAGTGAAAGAGGATTTCTGTGAATTAGTTTTGGGCTTCATATTTAGGTCCATGTCTTTTGCTGTCAAGACCCTGTTGCTGTGATATAAAAGATCAAGCCCATCAATACTGCTGAGGTGATTTTCCACTAATGTATAAAGTGGAAGGCATTCTGATTCACTGCGAGCAATGGCATCACAGATCACCAGTTTTTCCTGCTGAGCTGAAGACCACTGGTAGTTATTAGGAAGGATAGGTGACTTCATCGTAACATGGCGGTGGGACAGGCAAAAGATGTTTGACCAGCAGGTGCGTTGAGGTCCATCATTTGAGCAAAAGATGGGATGCATGACAATAAGGACCAAAGTAAGGCACATGCCAACCTCACAAATCCTGCAGCTCAAGTGAAAGGCCCACCAGGGCCAGGGGTGGAATACTTCCATGCCTCCAAATCCCAAAGCATGGAGCATGGCATATAGCTGAAGACCTGCACAACATAGTGCAAACATGGCAGAGAAAACAGCTGTCACTGCTGCACGGTCCCAGTCCTTTGAGTCTGCGAAAGGGCATCTATTATATCTCTCTGTTGGTGGTGAAGTGTTATTCAGATGATAAATGTGCTTGGCATCGGCCCTCACATAACAGTAAAAGATAAAAAAGGATGCTGACATGAGAGTAGTCAAGATCACAAAGGTTCCTTGAGATACAAAAAAAAGGCAAGGGAGCTGAGTGAAGATCTGCAGCATTAGTATGGACCCAAATGTTGCTGAGAAATGCAGAATTACGAGGATGGTTAAGAAACAGGGATGCTGAAAAATGGAGTACGACAACTGCATCCTTGATCTCATGGAAAGGAGCAAAAAAACTATGCCGAAGGCTGAGGTGAGACATGGAAATGGCACTTCATAAAGGAGTAGAGTTCCAGTGTCAGGCAACTTGTCCTGGTGGCTGTAGGCATCATAAAATAGTGAGAATGCTCTACAGCACCCTGTTATTAAAAGGAAAACATTGACCATTGTGAAATAGCTGCATCCTGAAGGGCACCGAAAAGGGAGGCACAGCAGGTTTAGAACAGAGAGGAAGGCCACCAGAGAAAATAAGGATCCTAATCCATAGATGTGGGCTTCCCATGCTATCCCCCAAGTTCCCATCGCCGTGTTCCAGTCTGCATGAAGAGGGACAAACAGCTGGGGAGGCAAAAGCAGAAGGGGGTTGTAGGACTCATTAGCTGCACCATTGCTGCTTGGAAATGCAGGGCTCCACCCGTCAGAAGAATTGCAGATCCCAGTCATATCCTGGTTGCAGTCAGGCAAGGTGGACGATTCGTTAACGGCCATCTCTGAAGGCCAGGCCTCGTTAGAAAGTGCATCTGTGAAAAAATAAAAAGGATCAATCAATCGAGGTTTATTTATCAGTGCTCGAACAGAACAGCATACAGCGGTGTTAAGAGGGATTCAGAGTTGAAGGACGGAAGTTTAGGGATTAGGTGAGGATTACGATACAATAAATGATACAATTGCTATTTACAATACAATTACAGATTGTGCGGAAGTAACACAAGGATAGGAGGTATTTAGCTTTCATATGTGTGCAAAGTGACAGGAGGGTGCCGGTGCACCCTATCAGTATAAGTAGGTTGCCTATTCGCCAGCAAATATTTGGGTAATTGCAGGTGTCTGCTGTGGTTGGCTGTCTAGGCCAGTTGGCTGGATGCAGAATAATGAGACACAGGAATAAATAGTATCTGAGCAAAGAAAGAAAGGCAACAAAGACAAACTCTATTATTGTTCTGCGTCTTATACTGTATGCATTGTGTTATTTCAATTTTATAAGAAGTAAATGTGTTCATGTAATGTGCTAATGCTGTTGTTCACTCTTCATTGTCCACAGAGGAATTGCAGCATGGAGGAGGGGTCAGAAATTCCTCCTGAGTCGAGTCAAAGCCTATAATGAGGCTACAGGAAGCACCTTCTCAAATAAGAGTTGGATAGTTTATTACAGAAACGTAATTGCTATACAAGTTTGGTCCCAAAATAGCAGCAAAGCACATTCATAGGCTTAAATGAGTGCCCTACACTACTTAATGGTATCTGATTATATTTTTTTTAATGCAATTTTTGAAAATACAGATTCTTACTGACTTTTTTTCCAAATTAAAAAGTGGTATTTTCAAGACAAAGGTTATGGAAATAAATTTCTAATTTATTTAGTAGAAGCACATTCTGGCATATTCCGGTGTTAACAATGAAAAGACAGACTGCAGCTGTATTTGAATAGCAAATAATTATTGCAGATATTCAAAGATGTAACAGCTGTTCCATGGATTTATATTAAACTGTGATATTAGAAAGTGTAGACAAAAATGTTTCAAACTAAATCAAGTTTGCATTTGGACAAAGCAGGTGCTTTTAAATGTCCAATTGTTTCATTTTATTATTCATTTTAATGGTTTTTCAAATGCTTTACAATTGTTATCTGTGCCAGAAATGGTGATTATATATTACAGTACATCAAGCAATTTGGCATTTGGAATATAAAGAATAGTTTTTGAGAATATACACCAAGGTTAGAGATAGAGCAATATTAGTATTTTACTTTGCAGTGAATTTCCCTTATTTCATAAATGAACTAGATTAATTTTCTTTGTCAATAGATACAAAACAAAGTTTTAATCAAAAATAGGAAAAGGGTACAATATTGGCCACTGTTGGAGCTCTTTGAGCTCTTTTGCGCAGGGAATACTACCAAAACTACAGTAGTATTTTGCAGAACAGAATTATCAGATTAATTGCTTGCTGGTCATTTTAACAAAATGGATTTGGATAATACCACGTTTAATAAGTACCTAGATACAATCCATCAATGAAATAGATTTGATGTTTAATGCCAAATATCTGTTTAATTAAATTTAATTTAGCTTGATTTTTTAAATTCCAGTTTACATGTTGTTTCATTTATGTAAACAAGATAACGCTATGTTCTGCAAATACTCCAACTGTACATTTTTTATTAATTAAAGTTTAAATTCTTAATCTGCACTGCATAGATTTATAGAGATGAAACAGCCATTAAAACACTCTAAATATGTACCTTGTGCAAAAACCTTCAAATCACCTTCCAAATCCAGGCCAGTATTATCATTTTGTCACTCTCTAGTGAGTTTATTTTTAATTAAAATAAACAAGGTGGAGCTTTTCAAGACACTTCTCCTCCTGAAGCTCCCCACTGCTCCAGTTAATCTGAATTGCTGAGGAGGTGGAAGAGAAAGTAGAATAAGCGCCCTAGAGCTGTAGAGCATTTACAGAAATTTCACTAGAAATACCAAAAACAAACATACTCACTCTTCCTGGAGTAATTTATTAAAACAAGCCTAATTTATTGAATTAACATGTTATAAAAATGGAAGGAATATTTATTAAATTTATAATTGCTGAAGCTCTACTGTGTAAGATGCAACCTGCATACTAATCTATGCCCCATTTATAGTAAAGAAAAAGAAAGTGACAGTTGATTTATCTTCTAATTGTCTAAATAAAGGAGTTTAGGACATGTATACTCAAAAACCTTTACAAGAGAAGGAAGAGATATGTAATTGTACAATGTAATAAAAAGTATGATCTGTAACTTTGTTTACTGATTACGGGCTGATCCTAAATTTATCCTTTGATGGAAAAAGCCCTTAAATGGTCTTTGGCTTTTCAACTATAACCCATCAATTTGCGAATAAGGTTTACAACCATTTCAGTCTATTTTCAAATTTATTACTGAGGACAGACAGAGTTCTTTGAACGGCAGTCAATAATTTATCGATGTGTTCCTGTTTTCGGCTCTCTGTCTGTCCTTGTTGTTTTGGAACTTAGGTCAACTTTTAATACTATTGTCTGTTCTATTCTGCTAACCAGATGAGAACACACTGTCTCAATCTCAACAGTTTTTTTTTGAAGAAATACAGTTTGTACAAATTTGTTGTCAAATTCCATTCATAATCTGGTTTTATTCTTCTTGATTCTGGTCCCAATTTACTTGGTGATTCTGAGAATATTCTAAGAATATTGGTGAGATTCATCATAGGCTTGGTCTATGCCTTCGTTGCTGTGCTTATGATACCCAAAGCAGTGCATTCATAAAGCCTTATATGGAACTAACTGTCTTTGTACTGTCTCAATGTTCTAGAGATATTATTAAATGGGCAAAAAAAGAAATATCTGCAGTCTTCCTTGAAGTTTCCTGAAAGTACGTCTCTCAAAAAAAAACATGGTTACTGTATGATGACTAACATTCCACATAAATTGTACAAATATGAAAATTGTAACTTGATTATCAAAGTTAAAATTATTATTAAATTTAAAGAGAAAATAAGGATTTTTAAAATTGAAATCAAACATTGCTTAGGTGGAAAGATGCTGACAAATTTACATAAAAATCTAACTTATTCTTTAACCTCCACTTCTGTTATCTGGAAATTTCAAATGCCTACAGTCTAGCTGTCTAATTCTTGATGCGACACTGACCATTTTATTAATTAAAAACAACAACAAAAGACCAATTTGTAGCTAGATTGAAATAATAATATTAAAAGGACATAAGTTTAAAATCTATAAAAACAATACATATATATTATTAGCAATGATTGATGACCAAAGTGGAGTTTAAGGCTGGAAGTGAGTATGATATGAGTCGAAGCTGTTGTACATTGTAAAAACTATTTTAAATGTCAGTTTAGTCCCAGCAGAAGAGATGCATCTCTTCAGCCTTTGGAAAAAAAAAGTTATTAAATCTTGATGCGTAATGGTGGTATTATTGGGTTTAAAAGGTGGATAAAGTTGTAAAAATTGCTTAGTACTGACATGTTTTATATACAGTAGCTAAAGTGGTTAAATTAAGGGTGGGCCTGGGTTCAGCTCCTGGAGTGGTATCTCCATGGAGGTTGCATGATCTTCCCCTGTTTGCATGGGTTTTCTCCAGGTACTCCGATTTCTTCCCACACTCCAAAGATATGCTGACAGGTTAATTGGTTTCTGTGCAATTGGCCCTGGTGTGAGTGTGTGCATGTCTGTGTCAGTGTGTGCTTTGTGATGGACTGGCATCCATTCAGGGTGAATCCCACCTTGTGCACAAGGCTCTGGCCCCACTGTGTCCCTAAGTTGGATAAGCGGTAATTGAAAGTGATAATAGTTCAGGTGGGGAGCTGCGTCAGCATGCGTAGGCTGCAAAGGAACAAGTAATAGGTTTATTCCATGCTGAAAAAAAGAAGAAAGAAAACACAACGTTTCGGCCGAAACGTTGTGTTTTCTTTCTTCTTTTTTTCAGCATGGAATAAACCTATTACTTCTTCCTATGTAGTGATAATTATTGTTTGCTGCTTTGTGCTTCTCTGTTTGTGAGGTATGGAATCCATTTTCTAGAATTTACTGTTGCAGGGTTACAGTACTTGTAGTTACTGTACTGTATATCAGAATGCTTTCAATGTCCTACTCACATTCAAAGCTCTGAATGAGTTATCTCTAGCTTATTCTCTCTAATTTCCACCCCTTCTTGCATCTCTTTTTTCAATCCCTGAACTTCAGTTTACTATTTATAACTCAACATTAACATACAGGCATTTTGTTGGTATGTTAAAATATACTAGAATACTAACTATATATAAAATCTTTGGATATAATACTAAATATATAAAATCACAGTCCATTTCTTTTTCTTGAATCTTTTACATCCAAGATGAAACCTTATATTTATATGAGGTTTTAATTGTTGTTGTTAATGTAGCTTGTCAGACATTCAATAGAAAATTTACATTAAGTGTAGAAGACAACAATAGAGTTTTAGCTAAATAAATAAATTGACAATAACAGCACAAACTGGAAGGATAATCATTCTTGTTCATTTTATCTGGAATGTTTTTATATATGAAAAATGTGATATAAAATAGAGATTACTATTCTTGTTAACAACACTCACACACTCCAATAACACCTAAGCTTATCAAAGTATCAAAGTGCAAATTTAAAGTTAATACCTATTATGAAAATATTCTCAATATTACAGATTTGTTAGGAAATTCATTTATATAATAATCACTACATTTGTACAAGTTTGAATGACAAACTTCATGCCCACTGTCTTCAATTGTATCTGAAACAATTAGCTATTTGCAGTTCTAACCAATCCCTTATTTAGATGTTTAGTATTTCTTTTCATCACACAAATGTTAAATTTTTGTAGTTCCACCCTGTCTCCTTGTGTACAAATGCAATGTATTATTTATTGTTCTTTAGAGACAACTCCCATAGGTGTGTTTATTATTTCTGCACGAGATAATTTCCGCCTAAAGAAAATGTGTTCTAAAAATATGCTGACCGAGGCCATGAA